TGAAAACTGGACATGCTCGAAGAAATGTAGCAATTCTGGATTCTATTGTATTATTCTGAGGGTTGTAGGTTTGTTTTTTAGTAACTTGCCTGGGCTTAAATTGTGAAATCTGTATCCCACGTGGTTTGTGGCTACTGATGTCTTTGCTCTGATTTTGTTTCTGATTTTTGGTTTTTAGCCTAATATTCCTAGGATCCACATGAGGGGTCTGCACGGTTTAGTGGTCAGTCAAAAATTTGAACAGAGGTTGTACTCAAACACCTTGGGCTTGTAAGCTTCTGTTGCTTGGTATGTGTGTCTTCGCAGGGCACACAGAGACTTCCGGTCATTCGGGGATATGTGAAGAGCATATCTCAGTCTTTCCCATTTGCTGGATTGCCCCATCACAGTTATGATTGGTCTGCCCCTTGCCCCAACTGGGAACAAAACATGGAGCTAGCAAACTGTGGATTCCTCCCATTTATTCCCATATTAGTCCACCACTTTTCACTGATATGCTGTCTGTCATGCTTTTTAAATTTTTTCTTGGTTTTGGTTTAATTAGTGTTATCTCCTGGTTTAAAAAAATTGAAAGCCAGGCATTATATTTGAAAAGTGAAAACGATACTTTCATGCCCTGGTAGTATTTTGCTCCATAAAAGCTAATCAGGAATCTAATGGCTTCAAGGCTGGACTTTAGTCTTTTTGCAGGCTAGTCTATTTCCAGTTTATCCCTACTCCAAGAGTCTAGCTCTTTTAAGTTCCAACTGAAATCCTGGGATATTTACCAGGGTCCTTCCTCCTTGATGGATGCTGATCTCCAATGTTTCCCCTCAATTTCACGGAACTGTCTGGAGCTCTGCATAGCATCTCAGCCTCACTGCTGCTGCTTTGTTGTCCATGATTTGACAAATGCTTCAAGGGTAAAAATATTATCCAATGTTAGGCTTACTCTCTGCCCTTCCCTTCTCTCTGGGGTCTTGACTCCTCAAGTTTTTGCTGCCTTTATGACTCTCAACAGATACATATATATGCACGGAGAATGTGGAAATGCATAATAAGATGTCTGCAGTAGAAAAAATATAAGATTTTGTAACAGCTGCAGGAAAGATGTGGAGAGCCAGCTGTTGTCTTCAAAAACAGCCTCTTTTGAGCCCCATTAAACCCTTTTAAATCTAGATTCAGCAGATAGCTCTCAATCCAGCCTAAACTCTCTAAACAAAAATTTTAACTTTTGCTGCTATAAAGTTATACTAATGATATCTGTCTCCCTGGATTTTTTTTTTTTTTCTGAGACAGTCTCACTCTGTTGCTCAGGCTAGTGCCATGGCATCAGCCTAGCTCACAGCAACCTCAAACTCCTGGGCTCAAGCAATCCTACTGCCTCAGCCTCCTGAATAGCTGGAACTACAGGCATGCGCCACCATGCCTGGCTAATTTTTTCTATATATTTTTAGTTGGCCAATTATTTATTTCTATTTTTAGTAGAGACGGGTCTCTGCTCTTGCTCAGGCTGGTCTCAAACTCCTGAGCTCAAAGGACCCTCCTCCCTCGGCCTCCCAGAGTGCTAGGATTACAGGTGTCAGCCACCGCGCCTGGCCTCCCTGAATTGTTTTGATAATGAAACGAGAACTTTTCATCACAATTAATATATTTTAACATATACTTTGCACAGGCACTGGGTTAGCTTTTCTGCTTATTTTATTCAATTGTTAAAACTTTATAGAGTGCCAAGTATATTAGCTGTCATAAAAATCTTTTTTACAAAACTACTTAAAGAAAAGGTTCAGCCAGATGTGGTGCCTCATGCCTGTAGTCCTAGCACTTTGGAAGCTGAGGCAGGTTGCTTGAGGCCAGCAGTTGGAGGTTACAATGAGCTATGATTGTACCACTGCACTCCAGCCTGGGTGACAGAGTAAGACTCTATCTCTTAAAAAAAGAAAAAATCGGCCAATTTCTTAAAAAAAAAAAAGAAAGAAAGAAAAGAAAAAAAATCCAAAAGCTTTGAGGAGTAACTTCTTTATTTCTCCCAGGCTTGAGCCTGGAGAACTACAAGATGTACTGAATGAGACATTTCTCAAAGATCAGAGGGGATTTGGTATCTAGCATCTATGTTCTTCTACCTATGAAGGTCCCAGCAAAGCCCAGGGAAGAGTAGCAACAGCAGCACCAGCACCCAGCCTGGTAACCCAGGTAGATCCCAGGCCCCACGTGGGAGCCCTGAGGCTAAAGTCTATTGCTAATCACCATAGATGCCATCTTCCCATTTCACCTTGATAACCTCTTTTCAGTGCCAGTCTAAACCAGGGGTCATTTGGCAAATTATGGTCTGTGGGTCAAATCCACTCTGCTGCCCAATGTGGTATGATCCATAAGCTAAGAATAGCTTTTATATTTTTATGTGTGTATATATATTTTTGGAGATGGCTGTCCCGATGTTCTGGCACCATTTGTTGACAAGATTCTTTCCTCCATCGTATTGCTTTTGCCCATTTGTCAAAAATCAGCTGACTATATTTTTCTGGGTCTATTTCTGAGCTCTCTGTTCTGTCAATCTAATGTTGTTTTGCTAATGCCACACTGTCTTGATTGTGGTACCTTTTATAGCAAATCTTGAAGTTGGGTAGTGTCAGTCCTCCAACTTTGTTCTTCAATATTGTGTTGGCTATCCTGAGTCTCTTGGCTCTTCATGTAAACTTTAGTATCAGTTTGTTGATATCTTTGAAGGTTTCTATATTTTTTAACAGAAAAAAAAAGTAAAGAGTATTTCATAATGCACAAAAATTATATGGAATTCAAACTTCAGTCTCCCTAAATAAAGTTAATTTGTTTACATATTGTCTATGGCTTTCACGCTCTAGCAGCAGAGTTGAGTAGTTGTGACAGAGACCATATGGTGTGCAAAACCTAAAATATTAACTATATGGCCCTTTGCAGAAAAAGTTTACCAGCCCTGGTCTAGGTTGTTGGGCAAGTGGCTTACTTAGCTTATTGGTTATACTCATGGCCCATGGAGCCAGATGAGCCAGGCTGCTCATTTTCAAATCCTGCCATCATTATTAGCTATCTGTGTCACCTTTAAAAGATGCCACTTAACCTTTCTGGGCCTCAGTTTCCTATCTGTAAAGTGGGTATGAGGGTAATATCTGAAAGTAGTTGTGAGGATTAAATGAATTATTTCATGTAAGTGCTTAGAACAGTGCCCAAAACATAGAAGCTATATGTAAGTGTTGGCTACCATTTATATTTTTATCCTGGCTTAGAAAGAATATCACCAAAATAGTCTCAAATCTCTGCCTCCTGACTCCTCTCTCTCACTCATCCCAGAGTGACGATCATCTTAAAATACACCTTAACATCAGCTCTTCAAAGACTGGCCACGGCTCCCTGGTGCTCACAGACCAGCCTGGCATTTGTAGCTCCCCCGCCCAGCTGCTGCGTGCCTGTGCAACCTCATCTACCCTGCCCCCCTTCTCTGCCCTCCAGTCGTAAGCCCTGTGCTGCTGCTTTTTCCAGCATGCCGTGCTGTCCACACCTTCCTAATCATGTGGCTCTCTCTGCCCAGAAAGCTTGCTTCTGGAAATTATGTAAGGGTAGCTGAGGAGGTCTGGAGACAGGTTACAGCCGTCATTCTGTGCACAAGCTTCAATCAGTGCCTGATCTCACAGCAGGCATGAAATGGAAATGTACTGTTGCTCCTCATGAAACTCCAGAGAAATTATTTTCAGAGTCAAGAAGTAAAGCTGGGGTAAAAAAGAAGTCAAGCCCCTCCCACAAGTCAGGCTTCCCTTTGGTGTTGTCTGATGTCGTTTTCGGGTGTCGGCGTGGGATGCTCTTCCAAGGAGGGTACGCCCTGGGCGGAGACTGGGTGGAGAGAAGTCAGAGGAGGCAAGGGACCTGGATATCTGATTAAATATCAGTGTCATAAGCATGCCCTGTAGCTGTTGAAATAAGTATCAAAATTATGTAACAACATGAAAATGCTCATGATACATTAAGGGAAACAAAATTGCATGCATTGATCACAGCTGAATGAGAAGTATGCCTGATCATGGTCACAAGAATGTGAACAAATGATTGTCAGTAGTGGCATTGTGGGCCACTTTTTTTCCTTTTTAAAAATTTTGAGTGTTGTTAATTTTTAAATACTATTTGTTTAATTTTAAAAATGTGTTATGTGAAAGCTCATCAACTTGTACACTTAAAATAAGTTGTATAATTTACATACAATAAATTCTTTTTTGGAAGAAGTTTTTTTTTTTTTTTTTTTTTCAAATCTTACAGTGGTACAAATGTTTAGGTTACATATATTGCCAATTATACTTTTTTTTTTTTAAGTAAACCAATGTAAGTGTTTTTAAAGACTGGCCCAAAGTAAGCTGAGACAAGGAAAGTGTCTTTGCCGTGTCTCTACCTGCCTTTCTCCTTTTTCTCACACTGGGCAAGACCCCTTGACACTGCCCGGTCTAGGTATTCGGTGCAGTCGTGGCTGCCAGGAGTCCCAAGATTAGCACTTCTCCTAAAGTCGCCTCACGCTTCAGACTATTCTGGAATGCCGTTTGCCTTCCCTGCTTTGTTCTAGATTCCCAAACAACAACAACAATGTATCCAACATTACCTTTTGAGTATTTCATAATGCATGAAAATTATATGGAATTCAAATTTCAGTCTCCCTAAATAGAGTTAACTTGTTTACATATTCTGCCCTTTGCCAAGGAACCAATAAAGCGATCCGTGGTGATACGCCCGTGCATAAGATAGTGTGATGCTGACTGCTCCCAGATGACACTTCTGCTTTTCAACCTGGGGATTCTGCTCTAATAGTTGCATTAACGGAATCACAGCGTCCAAAGCAATGGAAGTGATAGTTGGAAGATGAAATCTGGGCTTTCCTAATACAAGGGACATTTACTGAGCTGGGCACATAGATAATAGGGCTGGGAGGAAGGGCATGAAAGTTATGAATTTGGGTGGGAGTTCATTCCAGCTAAACAACCTGAACTGTTTTTGCTTTCTTTTAGAGACCACGCAGATCCATATCTCTCTTGGAAAAAATACATTGGAAGGACAGCCAGGGCCAGAGGTGAGGACTTTGCCCTGGTGGGAGGTGTGTGTGTGGAGGGGAGAGGGGGCATCTCCCTTGAGTGGGTGAGTCCAAGTTTTGATGCAAGTTGGCGGCCCCTCCCGGAGGCCTTGAGGGAATGGGCTGGGTGAGCTGCTGCTTCCAGGGGCAGTGGACAGAGCTTGCCTGGCAGAGTGTAACCACATCTCCTGGAATTTGGGGCTCGTTGGCCCTGCAGACTGAGCGGATGATTCCCAGAAGTGTCCAGAAAGGGTTATAAATAGGCTCATTATCTCTGTGAACCTTGAAGCAGATGTTGTGAGTTATCTGAAGGAATCTGAGTGGGGTCTTCCCAGAACATCCACAAGATAAGAGTTGAGAGTAAATGCTGTGTCTCTTACTGTAATCAGTGATTTAAGAGAAATTGTGTCTTCTTGTGCTCGTGAGATGTAGTCAGGTCCCTCATTTACTACACGTTTTTCCCTATTGGAGAATTTTCCCTTCTACTCTCAATTTTGGGGAGAAAATATACAATTTCCCTTCCCTAAGCTCTCCATGTTGTTCACAGAAGCAGAAGCTGCTCTGGACTCTGAGGCCCCAGTGGTCTTGAGGTCCTGAGGGCCTCTCAGCTCTCAGCAGACTCCTGGACTCAGGACTCTGGTCTGGTGGGGACACGAGCATCTCCTGGTCTCATATTTACCCAGTTTTTACCAAGAAACAAATAGAATGCCTCATATACTTGCTTTTGTGTAAGTAATCAAATTAAAAGAGAGAAAATAGGTAAAACAAATATAACATAGAATTGATTTTTTTTTTCTTTTTTTAGTCTAGGTATACTGTGTCTCTTCTTTCTTGTGGTAAAATATACATAAGTTACCATTAACCACGTTTGAGTGTATAACACAATGACATTAAGTACAGTCACATTGCTGTGCAACCATCACCACTATCCATTTCCAGAACTTTTTCACCACCATAAGAATTGATTTTTATTCTTTGTCATCTGTCCTCCTTCTCCACCCCACTGTTCTGAGACATCCTTACGTGTCACCTGCTAAAATCATTGCCAGTGGACACATGTCCTCTTTTACTAGATGAACCAGGTATGGGTTTAGAACATGACTATGGACAATTATTGCTTCTGGATTTTGAGCCTAGATACGACAAGTATGTGATCATTTCTGCACAAAGTGTTGAGAACCTGCAATATTTTCATAAGACAGTTGCTGTTTCTAATGTTTGGTTTCTGTTGCAGACCCTGAAGAATTTGCCATTCCTATGCAACCCAAAGGAGTTAGGATTGAATGTACCGTCCAGCTCAGGTATGTGACCCTCTCAGGTTTTAGTCTGAAACACAGATTCTTAGTACCCTCATGGCCAAATAATGACCAGACACAGTAAAGTAAGACCAGCACGAAAATGAGGTTTATTGAGGAGGGAAAGGTATGATTAGAGGGCAAGAGCAAGATCCAGGTTTATGGAGCATGATACGTACACCACAGGTGATGACTGGACCCATTGTCACAGCAGTAAGAGAGAGTCTGGTTATGGTCTGCAACTTGTTTCATAGTGCCTGGATTGGGACCTCCCTAGTGGCTCAGACAAAATCATGGAACCACTATATTGGACAGTTGGGAGTTGTGTTACTAGGCATGTGGTGGTTCTAGGTCAATTTCCAGACACTGTGGTACCTATACTGCTTGGCCCGTGGGCTAGAGAGTCTTCTGCATTCTTTTGCAAGTGGTGCTAAGTTATTTATGATTGGCAGATTCCTAGGGTATTTCCTCCTCCCCCAGGTATGGAGAGGATTAGGGTGGGGCAATTGCACCAAGCCAAAGCACCCACTTTCGTCCCTAGGAGATGTGAAATCCCTCACTATCTACCTAACAACCCCAGCCATGAGCGAGAAAAGCCCAACATCTCTCTGATGTGGCCAGCAGAGGCTCCGGCCCTACTCCTCTTGTACCTGCTGACCATTCAAATCCCCACCTCTCCCTCATTCTTGGTCCCTCACACCATGCCTATTTCCCCTTCAGTCACTTCTGTGGAGGGACATAGCCTGACACACCACTCAGGGATAAAACCAACAAGGCTCCACAGTGGCTCACCTGCGTGGGGCTGAACTCTGGATCTTGCTTCCCTGCGGGTGGATGGTGACGTGGGAGCTGTGGGTTGGAGCCTAGTCCCCGTTCCTGTAATGTAGCCACAGTGGCAGCTCTAGGCATTTTCCCCTCTAGTATCTAGGTTTGTCTAACAACCTGCATGCTATGACCCCTGCGGGTCATCTTCCCTGCTTCTATCACATTGAGTGGCTTCACGACAGACTGTGTTTAACAGTTTTATGTTTGCATCATACTGACTTGATTGGGGTTTCCAGTTAAGCATATTATTCTTACTATTATATAAGGACTTTAGGCCAAGAAATAAATTGTGCTTTTTAGGAAATGGCTTCTTTAGGAGGTTTACATTTAAATGCCCCCCCAAAACACGATCAGAGAGTATGGTCGGTGGCTTCTAGGGAGACTTAATTTCTAAAAATGCTGTTGACCCAAATGAAACAAGGAGACTTCCATACGTATCATCTGCACACAACTTGCATCTGGTGTTTATGTGCACACACAGGCTATGAGGGCTATTGTCTGGCAATCTCAAGCTAAAGTGATACTTTTGATTCCCAGGGAGCTTTAATTTTAATTTGTTGCCCTCTTTCTTATATTGACAATAGCCCAGAAAAGCAGGGCTGTGGGATAGAGGGATGTGAGAGCCAAAAGGAGGGCCAAGGGAGAGGGAAAATGAGATGGCCTTCCATGGGACACCTGTTTGGAGAGCCCAAGTCCAGTTGACAGTGTAACCTCCAGAGGGAGTGAGCCTCTTTCCAGCGGGATTGCTAGGGCTCCAGTGATTGCATGGTCTGCGTGCAGCTGTCCACTCCCACGGCCACATGCTTGACCTAGCAGCTGTCCAAGGGCTGGGGGATGTGGGTCTGCCCCTCCCATGTGACATTCTTGGCCTACATTTCATGAACATAGATCTGATCTTCCTACGTGGGTTCTTGTCTTCACAGTTCACTCTCTGAAGCCTTCTGATATTAAATTTGTGGCAGCCATTGGCAATCTGGAAGTTGTGAGTATTTAAAGCAGCTTGGGGTGGGAGACAGGGTTTGATACTGGTGACCCTCTGAATGAGCTTCTAGTAACTAGGCACCATGTTTCATTTTGGGAGAGAACTTTATATGAATTGGAGAAATCCTAAAATCCAGGAGTCTGAGTCTTTTTTTTCTTTTTATCAAATGAATGCCTCCCTTTATATTAGGGTGAGGAAACTTTTGGAGTTTCCCATTAATAAATTAAATCTATTGATAAAAAGTTCACACAGAGGCTGGGCACAGTGGTTCATGCCTGTAATAGCAGCACTTTGGGAGGCCAAGGTGGGAGGATTGCTTGAGGCCAGGAGTTCAAGATCAGCCTAAACAACATAGTGAGACCCCTGTCTCTACAAAAAAAAAATGGTAAAAAATTAGCAGGGCATGCTGTTCCTGTAGTCCCAGCTATTTTATTTGGGAGGCTGAGACAGCAGGATCACTTGAGCTCAGGAGTTTGAGGCTGCAGTGATGAGCTGTTGACTGTACTCCAGGCTAGGCAAGAGTGAGACTATCTCAGAAGGAGGAAAAAAAACATCACACAGAATTTTCAAAGTAATTCTTAAAACTTCCCATTTATAATATTATAAAGAAATGTCCTTGCTTGCTTAGTAAGTTTTAAAAAACAGCAATATTAATGAACTTAAAAATTTCATCTTTAATTGTGGTAAACACATAACAAAATTTACCACCTTAGCTATTTTTAAGTGTATAGTTCATGAGTGTTAAGTATTTTCACATTGTTGTGCAACCCACCTTCAGAACATTTTCATCTTGCAAAACTGAAACTCTTTACCCATTAAATAACATCTCATTCTCCCCTTCCCCCAGCCCCTGAAAACCACCATTCTACTTTCTGCCTGTGTGATTCTGGCTACCCTAGGTGCCTCCAATAAGTAAAACCATACAGTATTTGTCTTTTTGGGACTGGGTTGTTTTACTCAGCATAATGTCCTCAAGGTTCATCCATGCTGTAGTATGTGTCAGAATTCCCTTCCTCTTTAGGGATGAATAATATTCTGTTGCACATGCCATTTTTTTTTTTATTCACTCATCTGTCAGTGGACACTTGGCTTGCTTCTACTTTTTGACTATTGCAAATAATGGGGCTATGAACATGGGTGTACAAATATCTGTTCAAGTCCCTGTTTGCATTTCTTTTGGCTATATACCCAGAAGTGGCATTGCTAGATCACATGGCAATTTTATTTTTAATTTTTTTGAGAACACACCATACTGTTTTCCACAGTGGCCGCACTATTTTACATTCCCACTAATAATGCATAAGGGTTCCGATCTCTTCACATCCTTGCCAACACTTATTTTCTGGGGTGTGTTTTGTTTTTTATAGTAGCCATCCTATTGGTTATGAAATGGCATCTCATTGTGGTTTTGATTTGATTTCCCTTATGATTAATTATTCTGAACATCTTTTCATATGCTTGTTGAGACTAGACTCTAAGTGGTATGTTTTATATGGCCAAGTAAGGGAGAAAGAAAAGCAATAAAAAAGAAAGGGATGAGCAGAGAAGCACCTGGAGAGACCAGCTGGAGAGCAGAGAAGGTCAGCACTTCCCAGCAGCCCTTGCTCCCCCGTCCCACCTGCCCCCAAGTCCCTTAGCAGAGCTCTGTAGGCAGCCCTATTGCCCCTCAGCAGCCAAACAGAGCACTTCCTTACCAGGTCTCTGCTCTGCCTCAGAGCCCTGCTGTGCCTCCCACACCTGAACTAGGACACTCTCCTCTCTCCCCCAGGGTCTTTCTCCCAGCTCCACCTCCCAGCCATGTTTGCTTCCCAGCATCCTCCCCCTCCCCGCTGCAGCCTGCACCCCTACAGCCTCAGCCCCTTCCTGTGGTTGCTGCAAGCCCCAACCCATACTCCATGCACAGTGCCAGCAAACTCAATGTCCTCAGAGACCCTGGGTCTGTCCCACCTTCTCTTGTTCTCAAATAACCAGCTTCTACCTCTCTGGAACTTATCTGGAACACTCTGCCCAGATAGTGCTGGCCCTGCCTCATCTATGAATGCCACTCTGCTGGAACACTGGGTGAAGCTGCCTAGACCCACAGCCTTATCCTTGATCACAATTGTGATTGGCGTGTATGGGGGAGGTGGGTGCAGCAGGGAGACGGGTGAGGAAGTGCTGGTGTGTGTGTATGCAGAGACAGAACCTTAGGAAACTGACCACAGCCCAAAGAAAGCTGGCAGGCAGAGCTTCCCCACCTGTGTCCTCTTCTACCTGTGCTGGTGGTTTTAAAATTACATGTGTGACTGTCGTGCATGTTGATGGGGGTGAGGATGAGGGTTTCCACTGGATAAAGGGTTGAAAGGGGAGATAGGAAATAAGTGAGAAAAGAAGTTTTGCGTCCTGGATAGCAGAGTAAGTTTGCTAAGCCTGTGGGTCTGTGCACAGTGATATTTACATTCCAGAGCCTGGGACGTGGGACACGTTCCCTGCAGGACTCTTGGATCCTTCCACCTTGGTCAGGGAAACCTCTGCCCAGAGTCAGATTTCTAACATTAAAACTCAGTGATGTCCACCCTTTGGTCCCATCTCTAAAAGAGCTCTCAGGTCCCTGAGTTAGTCAGGGCTGACAGCTCCTGCTGTCACTCAGCTCCTTCCTGGGGAACAGCTCAGCCAGGATGATCTGGCAGCCCCAGGATCGCTGTCAGTGCAATGACAAGCACCTTGGCCTTCAGGATGAAACCTGAAAGCACGATTCCTGGCAGGCCTCCTTCCTCAGTTTGTCCTGAGAAACACATGGCCATCGTGAACTTGGCTAAGATGTGTGTTTAAAAAGACAGATCAAGGAAAAATAATGAAAGACAGTAAATTTAAAAAGAAAAAAGTCCATAATGCTGGTACTTCTGTTTTGGGTTCCTGGCGCTTTCTATAACCAAGGCCCAATCACTTATGTGGGACTATAATTAGCACTTGTTTAATTGCTATAGACCTATTTTTCCTCATAGAATTTTAACTTTTACAAACATTTATATAACTGACTTTTATTTTCAAATAGCACATGTGATACATGTTCAGTATAAGAAAAAGGGTTGTATACAGAATAAATAAGTCACCCCATTCACATCTCCTGTTCCTCTGTCTCAACACACACACACACACACTCTCCCTCTCTCCACCCCCCAACATATGGCAATAAATAGGCAAACAGGAATATATAAAACCAAATATGATTGCACTGCAATATCCTATATGTGAATTGGGTTTTTTACTTAACTAAGTGTCATAGACATTTCCCATGCCAGGGAGGTTACAATCCACTGTGTCAATTCCCAGGGGGTAGAGCTGCGGCTTATTTAGCTCCCTGTCCCCAGGGCCATAGAACCTGCCACAAAGCAGGCGCTGGGGTGCAGGGAGGAAATGGCTGGCAAAATGGAGAAGTGGGGGTTTGCTGGGTTTGTCTAAGACTTCTCTTTCTGGGACTCCCCCCGCCCCCACTCCTGGCCTGGTTCCTCTTGTTCCCTCCCCCGCCACCTCCTCACCACCCCTACCCCCAGTCAAGCTTATTCTGGGGAAAAGATCTGCTATCCGTCAACTAAATAAAAGAGGCAGTATGTTGGTGGTCCTAAGTCACATTTTGTCTTTAATTAAATCAGTAGCCAACATTGAAACCAGCAGATTTTGAATAAATAAATTTCCAGCTTCTCTTGAACAATCATGCTGGCAGCCTTGGGGCCCGCATTCCTCTGACAACCACCAGCTCAAGCCTGTGGGTGGCGCCCCCTTTGGTTGGGCATGGGCTGTGCAGTTGGCCGTAGCGCGGGAGACCTGCTCCCTTTGTTACCTTAACCTGTCTGGCATTTACTTTATAACTAGTCACTTCCTCCTGGAAGATTTACCTTTCAAAGTTCCTGTTATTGAGGAACAAAGGACGCTGTCCCAGTTGGAGGGATTTGGCAGTCGGCCTGCCCTACCTGGAGAGCTCCGGAGGTGCCGCAGGGGCACAGGCCGGCCAGGCGGGCCGTGGTGTGGGCTGGGTGCTTAGGATGGGGGCTCCTCACAGGAATCAGCAGCAGGCTGGGGTGGGCGTGTGAGAAGAGCCGCCTGCCTGTCGCCACCACACTGGGGACACTGTCTCCTAGGAATCTTGAGAGACAATTTGGGTCAGAAAACATGAAAATAATACTGCTAAAGAGAGCTAATATTTGCTGTGCATTTTCTGTGTCCTACAATTCCAAGCATCCTTAGGAGCTTGCAAAGGATGTGATTCTTCAGGGGGGTTACCATGGTTTCACCTCCAGCCCTACCTTTAGGGAGCTTGTCCAACAGAGAGTGTCCCTCTGCTGGGGGTGGGAGGATGAGAATCAGAAACTTGTTCATTCCAAAATGCTTATTCAACAAATATTTATGTTCTAGGTCCAAGGAAATATAGTCAAGTATAAAACAGAAAAATTCCCGACCTCATGGCTCTTACATTCTAGTCAGGAGAAAAACAAACACAATAAATTCTAGATTTTAGAGGGTCACAACAAAACAGTCCTTTGTTTCTATGTAGAAAGCTAACATGACCTTGTGAGTCATTCAGACTTAATCTCTGAGGACAATGTCCACACCTTCTGTCGCTCTGAGGTCTGACAAACACGCCGCTGAGGCAGCCAAACGGTTTCTCCCTCCCTACGACACAGACACGGGTGGATTCGGCCCTTCTCTGGATCCCTGTGGGTGGGAGGGGGTGATCTGGCGGGCGGCTGAGAGCCTCACGAGGAGAGGTCCTGCCGCCTTGCCTGGCTGGGTTGTTAACACTGAGCATCTTTTCCAGTCCCTGGACCCAGAGTTGGTTGACCTGGAGAAGCAAAAATGGTAACTATCCTGCAGTCACAGATGGAGCAGAAAGGAGGCTCAGAGAGCCTCTGATCTCATCTCCTTGCTTATTGATGGGGAAGACTGAGGGCCAGAGAGGTTAGGTGCCTTGCTTGGGTCTACCCTCGGAGCAGGTGGCAGAGCAGACACCAGAACCCAGCCCCTCCCTCCTGGCCCAACCTCCCAGTGCCTGGGAGTCCCCATGGCCCCTCGGGGTGAGGAGGAGAGGTGGGAAAGGCTGAGAGATGGAGCTCTTGTTTCTCACCACCAGGCCACCTTGCTCGCTCTTGCAGAATGATGCCGGGGCCTCCTTCGTTCCACACTGGAGTCATCTGCCAGCTGTGGGCCAGACTGGGGGCGGGGGTGGGGAGGAAGGAAGGAGCGTCCAGAGGGAGCTGTTTGCCCCATTTGGGCTACTTTGGTGCTTCTGACTCCAGAAAGGGTAATTCCAGAATAGAGCAAGGCTGGGCCAGAGCTCGTTATGAAATAGACCACAGCCAAGGGGGAGGCTGTGGCGTCCAGAGGGAGCTGTTTGCCCCATTTGGGCTACTTTGGTGCTTCTGACTCCAGAAAGAGTAATTCCAGAACAGAGCAAGGCTGGGCCAAAGCTCGTTATGAAACAGACCACAGCCAAGGGGGAGGCTGTGGCAGGCGACAAATGCAATCTGACGCTGGCATGCTTGCTTCTACTTGCAGGACTGAAAAAAGGCCACAGCAGGCATGCGTGGAAGTGATGACAGGTGAGCTGTTTTCACAGCATACTCCACATTGTCCGCACCCCTCCCGACACAGCGACGTTCTCGTTAATAAAGAAAATGGGCTCTGCTGGCCACTTTGTCACCAGAGCCGAGGAGAAAGGGGAAGGCATTCCGAAAGGACAGACAAGGGAGGGCCAGGGTACGAAGAGTCACTTATGCTAAATGGAGACCTTGAGAAACGTATCCAAGAGAGAGAGAAGCCAGGAAGCACTGGGTTAAGATTAGGGGGCACAGGAGAGAGTTAGAGGCCAGCTGGGGTGGCTGGGCCTGAGGCTCCTTGCTCCTCTGGGCCTGAGGGCTGGACTTGTAGCACTTTATCTGGGAAAAATGTCCAGGTTCACTCCCCCATCCAAGGAGAAAGGACCCAAGCTTAATTTTCAGTCTATTTCATTTTGTAATATCTCTGACTTCTAAAATAAGTACATCAATTGGATTCAGGAAAATTCAATGAAAAAATAAGTCAGCTGTAACCCCACTATTCAGACATAATTATTGTCAACCTTTTGGCCTTTTGATATACAAATGTGCTTATAAATATACTATCTGTAACTTTTTCCCCCCATTTATTAGCAGAGGCGCCTTATGACTCTGTGAAGTCACCTGAAACCCCTAAGTCGTTAGGCAGCCGAGCAAGCCTAGCAGGATGTTAGTCTCCTATGCTTGGTGCTCGTGAATCAAGAACAGGGGAAATCACCTTGCACTCCATAATGAGAGCGAGAAGACAGTCCCCAGTGCAAGTGCCCTGCTGAGCTGGAGTGACAAACAAGTGGGGTAGTGAGTGCCTTGGCAATCCAGCCAGTGGCTTTACACGAAGGGCCTGTGAATCGTTAGGCTCCCTGGAAAGGACAGAGGTGAACAGGATACTGGTCCCGCCTGCAGAGCTCGTGATCCAGCCGGGAAGGTTGAACCCTCCGGGATCTGACTGACAGCTGAGGGATGTTGGTGGCCAAAGTGGTAATGCCACAGGTGGAAGCTCAGCAGGGTGGGCTGAGCCAGCAGGAGTGACTGGTCTTCCTGGGAGAATGTGCTCTAAGGACACCCAGGTGGGATGGGGCTGGCCTGGGCTCAGCCCACCTGTCCTTCATTCCCAGAATGTTAGTGCTCTCCGAGACCTCCAAGATCTCCAAATCTGCCCATGGCCTTGCCCACCATGGCCATTTTGCAGATGGGAAGACTGAGTGTCAGGAGGTGCACGAACTTTCCCAAGGTTACATGTCTGTAAATGGCAGAATCCCTGTGACCCCAGGCGTCCAGCCCCATAGCCTGTACCCTCTGTTCCCTGCTGTCAGGGAACCCAGAGGGAGGCAGTGAGAGCAGCCCAGGCATACAGCAGATGTGGAACAAAATGACTGGCAACGTTATGTGAAAAGACCTAAGGTCGTGTTTGATCACAAAGAAGCAATAGAATACAAATACCTTTAATTTAGAAAGCAGTCTCTTTCAGACCTGTCTCCAGATGTTTGATTTTGTCATCCGTCCTTACAGACCATCTTCACATGGGGGAGCAAGTGTCCCCATGCACGCAAGCATGCTGTCCCTGTAATCCTGCACGGGGCTCAGGACTTCCTGCTCTCCCACCACCAGTGGGAAAAGCCGCCTCTGCTTAGAGTGAAGCTCCCCAGTCTGGGTTAAGGACAGGGAAAACCGAGTCACAAAGTTGGTGGCCACCCAAGATCACAAAGTGACCCATGTCCTGACTTCGAAGGCAGCTCTCCTGCCCCACCCTGCTGGCTGCCTCACAGCCCTGGGAGCCCCTTTAAGGCTGCCTGCTGGGTCCAGTGCCTGTGAAGCCCCGAGGCACTTCAGGGGCCAAGGAGAGAGGGGGACTGGGAACGGGAGTCTCACTCCCATGACACTCTCCCTGCTCTGCCCTCTCCTCTCTCTGGAGCAAGACACAGCTTAACTGCTCCTGACAGCACTATTTTTAGCGGTCCGCTGCCTGTCAGCTCTGGGACATGTTCTCTGTGTGTTCCCTGGAGCTTTCCCGCCCTGCTGTCACTCTCAGGAGCAGGGAGGGGGGCTGGAAGGCAGCCCGAGCCCCTGTGCCAGCATCACTTTCTCTAACGAGGCAGTAGCACATAACAATCAAATGCGTCTAGAACTCTGGTTCAAATCCCGGCAACCTCAGTTAATGGTGAGGCTTTGGGCAGCTGCCTCAGTCTTGGTTTCCCCTTTTCTAAATTAGGACTGATAATTATCACAAGTTTGTTACTGAGGATTAAGGGAGGTAACGCATGAAAAGCGCTTAGCACTGGGCCTGGCCTCGCACTGGACAAATGTTTGTTTAGCTCCTTCCCTTGCTGGGCCTGCTACAGGGTTGACCTCACAGCCCAAGGCGGGTGTGAGGGCCTTACCTGGGGGAGGTACAGCGACTCTGGCACCTCACCCTAGAGGGGGTCAGTCTTCAGAGGTGACCTCCAGCTGTGAAGGACAAAGCCTCAATCCAGGTCTCTCTTTAGTCCTTGCAGACATCATCAGACATTTCAATCCTGCTGTCCTGGTGCCCACGTGCCCCCCTCCCGGGAAGAGGAATACATCCCAGGATGGTGCTAAGTGAGTTCCCTTCTGTCTCTGTGACCATGCATTTCTGCTGGCCTTGGGCAAGTAGGTGGGAAGATCTGGGGGGTGGCAAAGTCAAAGAGGCTTAAAAATAGAGGTCTGTATTAGGTCAAAGCCAAAATGCCTCTCCCATGCTGACTTCAGTCTGCCTGATGGGCCTAATTTTAAAAAGCAGGTCAATGTCTGCCCTTCAGAAGCCAGGGGGTGGGCCAGGCTCAGAGACTGGCACCTGGGCTGGGGCAAGGGACATGCTTCCAGCCTTCAGCTAAATAACATTGAACTGACTTTTCTCTCTGCTTCCCTTCCTCTGCGCAGAGACTTGTGGATTCAGGCTCAAGAGCTGGTGAGCGGCATGAAAGAGAACCGGGTAAGCATCCGTCTGACTCTGGCTGGGTTGGGCTGCCCATGTGCACTGCAAAGCAATCAGATCAAAGTGATGACAGCCCCGGTGCCATTTTACCATGAACAAAGCAGCTAGCATGGCCTGGGTTCTTCAAAAATGTCCTTTCCATGGAGATTCTCTGGAGGTCATTAAAGAAAAAGACCAATTCTTATGTTCAGAATGGTTTTCTGTGTGGTCCTGCTGAAAGTCAGCAGATGGACTAAATGAGTTTCACATAGGGAGGTAGCAGAGAGCCTGGGGTCCAGGGTGAGATTGGTTTGAGTTTGAATTCTCCACCTATTAGCTGTGTGATGTTGGGTAAGGCGCTTAACTTCCCTAAGCCTTGGTTTTCCTATTTATGAAATGGGATAATAAACCAGCCTGGAGCATAGGGTTTAGAGTGGATTAAATGAGGTATTAGATGTGCCTGGCACACAGTCTACGCTCAATAAATGTCTGTAGCTGACATTGTAGCAGTGATTGCTGTGATTAATAATTACCACGTTAATTTTAGTTCTTAGGGTGGAGGCCTCTGTAACATACATGCTCGGTGCCTTTTTACCCACTCTCCTAACAATTCAGATACTCTTATTCAATAACCTGTATAAGTTTGTAATAAGCATCCTTTGATTTTTGTGCTGTCCTTATGGGCAAATATCAAAGCAAGGCAAGCATTGCTAGCAAGCTGGCTCTGATCAGGCCCTGAGCCTGGACGGCTGGAACCAAGGGAAGCTGTTGTCTCAGCCAGCCATGCACACATTAAAGAATTCATGAGTTACAGCGAAAGTCACTCCAATTCATGCCGGCACAGTGACCAGTGCAAGAGCTACGCCGTAGAGTTTGTTTCCCACTACTAACAGGAGAATTCCAGAATTTCTGAAATAATATGATTATTCTACAAAATAGCTAGGAGGTCCTGAATCCAACCCTGTAATTTTCCAGATAAGGAAACTGAAGTTCCAAGGAGTCATGTGATGTGTTCGAGTCCGCACAGCTAGTTAGAGCTAAAATCTAATGTGCCCAATTTACAGTCCAATGTTCCTCAGCTACACCAAGCTGCCTCTTAAAAAATGTTTGTTTTTTGTTATATGATGAATACATGTATATTACAGAAAAATGAGAAAACAGATAAAAAGAATATTAAAACCATCCTTAAACCTAATATGCAAAGATAATAACTGTTATTACTAATTTGGTGTATGTTCCCTTCCATATTTTTTCTAAGCACATACATCTATATATATTATAAAACAGGGATGTTACTGGATGTATATACTTTTTATAACATGCTTTTCTCAATATATTTCCTATGACAATAATTACATTTTCCAGCATCATTTTACATAGCTACCTAGTGTTTTATGAGTGTCCTACAGCAATCCCCTATTTTAGACATTTATGATGTTTCTAGTTTTTCATTCTTATGAAAAGGCTTCATCATTGTAGCTAATTCTTTCATGTATCCTGTTTCTTTAAAATACACTTTGGGAAATAGAATTATTGGATCAAAAAAGTATGCCCTTTAAGAAAAAAGGTTTTTGATATATTTTGTCAAATTTCCTTCTGGAGCAGTCATTACCCTTTTAGACTCTTACCATATACTTCTTATTTTGAAAACATCTATAAGTGTGATTTTTAAGGGGGTGGGTGTAGGAAATAGAAAGACATAAAAAGAAAGAAGTTCTTTTGATTCAAGTTCTTACGACTATCTCCTTTTCTTGCTGTTGCTCTTTTCTTCAGCAACTTGACTTTCAACTGGACTGGAAGCTCATCAATGTGTTCTTCAGTAACACTAGCCAGTGTTACCTGTGTCCCTTTGCCCAACAGGTAAACCGCAGGCTGGGAGGCTGAGGGATTGCAAATGCTGGGGTGGGGAGAGTCATCTACATCTGCCTGGCCCCCACCTGCCATTCTATTTCAGAATTAAGGCAGGTACGTGGGTGGTTGGGTGAACAGGTGCATGCTCAAGGAAACACATGCATGGATGTGTTCTGTGGGTTTTTTTCCTTCAACTTTTTATTGTGTTAAAATACATATTAAAATTGACCATTTTAACCATCTTTAAGTGTACAGTTCAGTGGTATTAAGTACATTCATCATGTCATACATAATGTTGTGCATTCAAAACCATCACAAGGAACAGGTGTTCTTTACTTACCATGCCTCGTGTCAGGAAAAGGAAATTGAGGTGTAGATAAGCTGAGTCAACAGTCATCCTGCAACTGAGGAAAATTAGCTTCTTAGCTGGTTAAAAATTATTTTGCCTCTTTTAATTCTGAGTTCATATAAGTGCTGAATGCTAGTTGTGATGGGAAGGCTGCTATTTATCTGGGTACACTGTTGTGTCTTCCAGGCTCTTGCTCTATCCTGGGAACAGGATCTAAGATGTGGGGCTTGGTTGGGCACAGTGGCTCACACCTGTAATCCTAGCACTCTGGGAGGCCGAGGCAGAAGGATTGCTCGAAGTCAGGAGTTCGAGACCAGCCTGAGCAAGAGTGAGACCCTGTCTGTACTAAAAATAGAAATAAATTAGTTGGACAACTAAAAATATACACGAAAAATTAGGTGGACATGGTGGCACATGCCTGTAGTCCCAGCCACTTGGGAGGCTAAGGCAGAAGGATTACTTGAGCTCAGGAGTTTGAGGTTGCTGTGAGCTAGACTGACGCCATGGCACTCTAGCCCAGGCAAAAGAGCAAGACTCTGTCTCAAAAAAAAAAAAAAAAAAAAAGATGTGGGACTTCATTTATATGTAGGTGACTATTTATGACTTAAGTCATTATTAAAGATTATCTAGATTAGGATGAGTTGAAAGTGTAAGGGGGCATCTTAGAAACCGAGGCCACAGTGGCATAAATGGCACATGGACTCTTCTTCAGGAACCTGAAGTCTGGTTGCCACTAAGCTGCGCCTGCCGTTTATGGCAGCCCAACTGCCTGCCCCTGTCCTCTCAGCCATCCTCCCAGGGTCTCTGCCAGGCACAGGAATGGATAGAGTTTCTTGAGGTGCTGTTCTCCTCTTTTCTGTGCCCCTGTCCTACGACAGATACTCCCGCCTCTCTCCAAATGCTCCATGTTCCCACAGATCCTGGCCCACCCTCAAAACTCCCCTTCTTTTAGCCATGGGCCCTGGGAGACGAATGCTCGTGGAAATCTGCCTTCGGGACTAGCTCTCGTTGACGGATACCCCTGCAGAGCTCCTGGGTGTGTAGCATGCAGAAACAAAGGTTTATTGTTTTAGTCCACCCTCTGTTTTCTCCAGTGCCAAGTGAAGTGTATGTGCCCTGTTTATTCTCTGCCCCACCCCTCTTGTCGGTCATTATATACACTGACATTAATACTTGAACATGTGTAAGTGTCTTCCTAGGTACAGTGATTTTTCAAGTTGTGGAGTAAAGCACAATAGTGGCTCAAAAAATCAGTTTAAAGGATTGCAACCAAAATTGTAAAAAATAGAAATAGAGTAGAATAAACTAAAATATGCAGGTTCATTGCATGTATGACTAGTAAGGTGAGTGTTGGTTCATGAGATTTTTGCTCCATTTCTATTTGGAGAGTGATGTGAAATACATCTCATACTATGAGACCAGGTCCTGACAGTCTGAAGAAAGGTGCCTAGAGTCAACTCCTAAACATAAGATTGCAGGTCCCCAGGTATGTACACTGAGTTTTAGTAGGCTCTGCCTAATTGCCCTCCAAAGTGGCCAAACTCATTTATATTCTCACCAGTGCCCGAGAGCACCTGTTCCCTAAGACCTTTCCAACATTTGTTCTTAAACTTAATGATTTTTGTCAACGTGTGAAACTTCCTCAAGATCTAGTCATGTTGATACAGATGGGTTGAGTTTATTCACACTTAGAAGTTCACACTGTTAATTGGTTACAAACATAAGACAAAAGTAATCGTGCCTCACTCCTAGTCTCTAAACAGCTGTCAACCAATAGCTCCATACATTTAGCTCATTGCAGCAACACTTGCTAGCATCCACTCCAATTCCCTCTTCCTTCCGTTTTTTTCTTCCATCTTGATTTTCCATTCACACACAGACCACCAAGACCCTGGAGCCCAGAATAAATGCCATCTCCACACAATTCCCCCCTGAAGCCCTCATGCCTCTTAGGTCTGGCTTCCTGTGTCACCTGGGCCTGCTGGCTCCTCCCCAACGAAGTCCAAGGTCACAGCTCCCATCATCATCTTCCTGGTAGTGACTCTGGCCACGTCTCTCTCTTCCCACTAATCCCGGGGTATAGCTCAGCACCCCCGTTTGAGAAGTTCTACACGCATCCGTATACTCCTCAAAGCACCTCTCGGGTCTGATCTCTCCCTCAGTGGCCGTCAAAATGTGCTCTGTAGAGTCCTGGGGCCAGTGGGGGTGCCACTGAGAGCAAAGGCTGAGAAGGTGGGCACCTGGCCACCACTCGCCTTCAGGGCAGCTCTGCCTCCACCTGTGTGGTGTCAAGGGCTTCCTGAAAGTTCGTTTGAGAAAAAGGTGGTGTTTTACCATTAAGAGGAAATGTTAAACTGTCCTGCCCTGCCTTAGGACCTGGAGCCCTTGAGGCCCCTTCAGTGGGGAATAGACAAGGGCCTGTGTCATTTGTTCTTTAGGGCTTTCTGGAGAGCAAAGTCAGGAACTATCCTGCAGGCAGTGACAGTGTCTCTCCAGGGCCCCTATGGCAGGCCCAGCTATTCTAAGGTAGGTACTTCAGAGGTGAATGGTAACCAAGCTCAGAGCAGTGACATGAGGATGCTCAGGGTCTGGACACTGGTTTACTGCTCTCTAGTTAAAGTCTAGTTTTATTAATGAGTAAGATTTTTAAAGATCAGAAGAAAAAAAATGAAAAAAAACAAAACCTGATGACAGCAAGAAAACAGACACATTTACTCACTGAAAATGCCTTTAGAAGCAGGTGGCAGCCCTTTGGAGGGTGCATGTGCAGTGCGAGTCAAGAAACCTAAATGTGTTCCTGTCTTTTGACTGAATAACCCTATTCTTTGGAATAAGTCCCAAGGACATAATTTATTAGAAAGAGTTAAGCCTGGTCTCAGGCACATGTCTGATAATAGACCTTCTTCTGCATCTGGGACGAATGATAGGAACATACAAGTTCATTTGGAGATTTAAGCTTTTTCCTGACTTTAGGCTCAAGGAGGAGTTTATTATGTGTGACCTTATAGATGAGGGACATTTTATAGGAGCAAAGTGTCCTCCACTAAGAAACAGGGACAGTTGGTGCCCTAAGTGAAATCTGTTCAGTGCCAGGAGTGGCCGGCCGGGTGGGCCCTGGGCCCCTCTGTGAGCAGGAGCCTTGACTAAGGATTCCCGCTCGGAAGCAGCAGCCAGGGCTTCCCCGGCCTCCCCAGGGATGACGAATGTCCCGAATGTGGTGCAGATGGGCGGTGAGGGTGTTTCTAGAATTCTCAAGGCCCTTTGGGAGGGAAAGTGTGACGCTCAGGGAAAGACTCGCTTAGGAGAAAAGCAGACAGAAGGCTTTGTGGCCAGCTGTCACGACAGACCCAGCTGCCCTGGCCTCCCCGCTGCCTCTCATACCGAAGCAGGGACAGAAGTGGCAGGACAGGGATGTTGTGTTTCCTCCTGCTGTGGGGGCGCCGCCCTCCCTGCAGTCCCAGCTGGTGATTGGCAGCTGTCTCCAGAGTCAGTGCCTGTGTCCCCCAGGAAACAGCCCCTTGGCCTTCCTTGTCTTCCTTCCTGAGCCCAGTCGCCTCGGGGGACAGTCAGTCTGCAGGCAGCTCGGGAGTCTGCCTTGTAAACTTTATTTTTCACGTTGAAAAGGCAAATAGGGTGAGTTTCTGAGGTGCTCTCGTTTATCATTTTTGTTACCTGCAGCAAGGGGAGGGGTGTGCGTTGGGTGGGTAGGAGACATGTTTAAATACTCGGGGTACAGGGCCACTCACGCTCTTTCTCTGGAAACTCTTCAGGCAAGTGTGGCAGGGAGAAGGCTGATAAAATGACCATGTGGCCCACCTGGGGCCTTAAATCCAGAGATAGTTGTGTTCTCCCTTCAGACCTGGTTTTTTTTTTTTGTTTTTCTTTTTCAGGAAAAAAGTGGTTCCCTCTGCCATTGGGAACAAGTCTCCCAGCCCTCAGTGTGAGCTTCAGAATCACGCCAGGCATTTCTTACCTCCCTAGTCTAACCTTGAGTTTGCCCTTTCTCCATATGGAACTTCTTACCAGGGGGGAGTTTTGTCTTTTTCCTGGTGGATGATGGGTTGGGGGAAACCAGGGAATAGACAAAAACAAAAACGGAACTAGGAAGTTCTGGGAACTCCACATGTGTTTGTGGAAAGCTGGGTGTAGACGGGGCCGGTGCCCATCCTATGCCTGTCGTCTTGCTCGGCACACGCAGGGCCAGGCCTGTCGTGGGTCTGGGTGTCCTTGCCTCGTGGCCCTCCCTGCTGCCGCCCTCCCTCAGCACAGGCTTCCTCTCCCAGCAGAGGCACGTGGCGGGCGTCATGGGCGAGCTGACGGCGGTGCTGGACTACCTGCAGCAGGAGGTGAGGCCGCAGCTCTCCGGCTCTGTGGGACCTTGGGCCCGGGGCTTCCCAGAGCATGGGTGGGGCGGGTTGTGGTTTACCCTCCAGTGGCCCCCACCCTGGTGGGGAAATGGACTCTCATGAGGGAGGTCAAGACCCTTAGGAAGAAGAAAGCCTGGGAGGACCCAGTTTCCTTGCCCTGCGAAAGGAAAACACGAGTCAGGCTGGAGCACTGCACTCTTGCAAAGGATGTTTCTGAGGGAGACTCAGTCGGGGACTCTGGCCCTGCTCAAGGCCACTCTCTGATCGAGTCCAGGCAATGATGGGCCAGAGGGGGCTTGAGAACCGTCAAGGCCCCTGTTTCTAGAGTGACTGTGATGATACTGTAGGTTCTGAGGACCCGAGGGGGCAGCTGGCTCTCACCTCCCCGTTCCCTGCCGGGGTGGCAGCTCTGCTGTCAGAGTCTTTGCAGGCCCCTTGGCACTGTGACCCTGCTCCCTTGTTGACACTGTGGCGGGAGGTGCCCTGCCTGCCATGAGGGATGGTGAGACGTGTTTCTGGGATGGCACAGCTGGCAGCTTTGGACCCCCAGCAGGGCCCAGACCAGGAGTCCAGACAGCCCCTGGCAGCCAGGCGCCTTGGCAAACATCCCCCTTCTCCTCTCTGTGTCCTCCTAGGTCCCCAAAACATTTATAAACCTGGTGGATCTCTCCAAGGTGGCAAAGGTCTCTCCCTGGCTGCAGGGGACTCAGCTCAGGTAAAAAAGGGAAGTGGAACGGGAGCTGCACCTGTTGTGTGGCTGCCACGTGCCTCAATCCCGTGAGGGGGACCCAGATAACCGAGGCCAGGGGGTGAAGTGACTCGTGCGAGCTCACATACGAATGAGTGACAGAGTCCGAGTATTGCTTTGGGGACCGAGTCAAGGACAACACGCAGTGTGGCTGACGTAGCATCAGAGGCCCTACCCCTGCCGCCGTGATCTGAGAGTTGGGTTTGGCAAAACATCTATGAACCAAGAAGTGTCACTTTTGGAACTCAGATAGAAAAACACGCAGCCTAAATGTAGTTTAACTTCGTAGAACTTGATTTTGATACATTTCTGAAAACTTTCACAGACTTTAAATGTTTTGGAGCCAGATTCTAAGAATTCTGGCTTTGAATACAGAAAAGAAGTTCACGTGGAAAAAGTCAAGGCAAGGGCGGCTGGAGAAAGGAGGGTGACAGGACGGGGAGGAGGAGGGTGTCGGGGCAAGGCGGCTTCTGAGGAGGCAGCGAGGCCAGGGGAGCACGGAGTTGGGGGGGGGGTTGGCCCCGTGCGGGGAGCAACAGGGGAGTGGAGGACTCTCTTCACACCCATCCCCCAGGAAGGGCCACCGCCCCATTTTCCCCAACACTTGCTTCCTCCCTTCTCCCGTACCCACTAAGGCCCTGGCTTCTCCTTCCCCACTCCATACGCGACCCCCAGGCCCCAACAGCCCCCTTCTTCCTGCCAGAGGCAGCCTGGATACACCCCGCTTCCACCTCCTACCACACTCCCTCACGCTCTCATTCCCGGTGTGTTTTAACCCGCAGCCCCACAGCAGAGCCCTGCAGTTGCCCGGAGGAGACCTCCACGCTGGCCAAGATCCTAAAGCAGTGGTCCTACCAGGTGAGCCCTCTCCAGGAGCCCGCGCTGCTGGCTCGCAGGGGCTTGGGTGGGTGTGGAGGAGAACAGGGTTGGCAGGAACCGTTCGTTGGGTTTGCTAAGGTAGGATTTGTATTTGGAGATGTGTGGCACTCCTCTCACTCTGGAAGTGGCAACATTTTTTGAGAGGTTAGTGGCACGTGCCTCTACAGAACTTAGGCCTCGAAGAGGACATGGGGCCCAGTTACGTGCCGGGCTGGCTTGTCCTTCTCGAGCTTCCAGAGGACGCAGTTCAGGTCTGCGTCTGGCGTTGCCTAATGCTGGGGCTGTAGGAGCAAATGGAGACTCAACTTGGCTCATCCAAGAGCCCTGAAGTATGAGACGAGCTTCAGAGGGAGCTTCTGAAAAGCACTTAAGTGAGAACTTAAATGCGAGATGGGCGATTCCGACCACAGGCTGCTGAGAACCTTCTGGTCGGGGCTGGGCAGCTCTGCTTGCTCATGCTCCTGGGCGTGCATCTCTCTGCTTCCCCCCTCAGGAAGCCTGGGAAAGCCTCCTGGCCTCCAGCAAGTACAGCGAGCAGGAGTACTTCACCGTGGTTTTCCAGCCTTTCTTCTATGAGACCACCCTGTCGCCGCCCTTGGTGAGTGGGGCCTGCCTGGCCAACGAGGGCGCAGGTGGGGAGGGGGCCTGCCCTGCCCCACCTCACCCCAGCCCGGTGCGCAGTCTCGGGGGGAGACGCTGCAGTGTTCTCACACCATCTCATGTGGTGTCCCCACAGTCGCACAGGGCCACGGGGCAGGCTCCTAGAGGCGGGGCAGCCCAGAGGGGAAGGGCACAGACTTGGCCCAGGTGGCTCTGGGATGGGCCAGCTGTGTGACCTTGGGTACACTGAGAACTCTCTGTGCCTCAGTTCCTCATCTGTAAAATCAAGACTGTTCAGGAGCATTTCCTGAAGCGAGTTAACACAGTGGAAGCAGCATCCGGCCCCTCTTAACTAGTGTGATCGTTCAGGAGAGGGTTTCGGGGATGCCAGTCCTCCTCCTATGTCCATCCCTGGAGGTGGGGGGAGTTTGGGATGCAGCCTCCCCCCGGGTCGCTGGGCAGGGGGCCACCCCAATGATGTCACGCCGTGGGTGGGTCTGTACTTGCCGATTAAAGGCTCTGGGCCTCTGAGGCCTCAGTGCTGTGTCTGGGAACAGTTCCTCCCTCCAGACTCCTGGCTCTGGCCTGTTTCTGTCCCTGTGCCACCGCCAGGCCTCAAGGGATGTTTAAAGTGATGGTTTAGGAGGAGCAGGAGGAACATTAGCTTCCCATCTCTTCCTTCATCCTCCTGCTCAGACCACACCCGACTCCTTCCCTGCCACCTGCTCCTTTGCCTGTTCTGTTCAGTTCAGTTTTGGAGAGCCCCATGACAACTCCGAGTGACCAGATGTTTGACCTGCTCCTGCAGGCTCTGGCCCCGAGCCCCGGCCCCAGACAGCGGCCCTGTATGTGCCTGCCATTACTGAGGGAGGGAGGGGCTGGGGGGAAGGGCCCGGACGGACAGGTCAGGGCAGCCCAGCTCCCCTCCAGGGAGAGGCTCACAGTGTGCAGCAGGCCCGTCGCATTCTTGGAGAGACAAAGGGCTCCTCTCTTATCTGGCTCTCTTTCAGGAGGAGCCTCTGCTCCAGGACCCCACCCCGCTCGCCTGGAGTCTCTGGAACAGGATGGTGAGTGGGCGGGGCTGGGGCCTGGGGTGCCACCAGGGAGGGAGGCAGGGTCACCACCACCATGGCGCCTGCTGTGCCCACTGCTCTGAGGGGAGGCTGCAGGGCACCAGGAAGACTCCAGGACGATGGTTCTGGGCCACCAGGGATGCTTCTGACACCTGGTCACAGCCCAGCTCTGACCACCGGGGAGTTTGCCCACCTCATCTGAGGGGCTGGACCATTTCCTCAGAGTCTGTGGAAGACGCCACTTTGAGTGGGGTCCTGGGGAATGGGCTCCCCTCGCCATTCCCGGCCAGCTTTCCTGCACCCTTAGGTGGCATCGTACGGTTTTAAAGGCCCAGGGTGGTGCCTGGGATGAGCATGGACTTCACTGTGATAAAGACCTGGGTGCAGTCTTAATTCTGCCCCTCACAGGCTGTGCGGGCTCAGGGCCTCGTCCCTTTCTGCCACCCTGGGCCCAGCATGCCAAATGTGCAGCACTCGCCTGGCCTGTACTGAGCACTGGACGCGTGCTGGCCTCCCCACTGTGGACCCCACAGGCTTCCCCCGACTCCAGAGCCCCAGGGATGTCTGGGTTAGTCAGTGGACGGGCTGTGACGTCAAGGCTGTGAGCCTTTCCAGGGCACCAGACAGACCTGGTTTTGCCGTTTATTTTTTCCCCATCAAGCTGCCCTATTTTTAGAATTCTAGTGACAGAAATTTGTTTTTCTTCTTACTTGGATTAGAAAAACTTCTCTCCCTCTCTCAAATGATGTGCCGTGTTGAGTTCCGCGAGCAGCTGCATTTCAGCACACGTCAGCCAGTGTAGGAGGGGGAGGGGGAGGGACAGCCCCAACAGCCCCTATCAGGGGAGACACTGTCCTCGGAAGAAAGCATTTGATTTCTTTGAACAGGGCCACTTGGTGGGCACGACCATGGGGTGGGACGTTCCCCCGCAAACGCACCTCGCTGCTGATCTCCCATGGGGGCAGAAAGAGGGATCCCGGCCCCTCCAGTGGGGCTGCCCTCCCAGCACCCTCTCTGGGGGGAGCAGGGCTGCCAATTCCAGCTCAGCCAAACTGATCTCCTCCTGCCATGTCACCGCGCTCCCAGCCAACAGAAAGGCACCTACCTGTGGCCTGCCCTGTGCGGGGTGCCCAGGAGGATACGAGGAACACACCAAATGTGGCCTCTGTCCCTACTGACCTTCAGGTGTGGCTGGGGATGGCCAAGCAGCCGAGAGGGACAAGATCAACAGGGACTCGGCCAGCAGTGCGGGCTGGGTGCCAGAGGCAGTGGGGACAGCTGGGCCAGGAGAGCCCATGAAGAGGGGTTTGAGCTGGCTTTGTGGGGCGTGTTGCTGGAGGTCAGGGAGGGCGTTCCCGGGTCAGAAAGCCTTTGTGAGCAAAGAGCATGGAGAGGAGAACAGGCCAAGTGCAGCAGCCAGGGCCAGGAAGGAGGCTGGCCCGGTCAGAGAGGGCGCGTGAGGCTGGGAAGGCCCAGGGAGGGGTGGGGGGCCCAGGCAGAGAAGCTGGAGAGAGCAGGTCCAGGGGAAGGGCTGGGCCTTCCTCCCTCTCCCCTTTCATCTTGCTGTTGTCCTTTGTGCTGGTGGCAGCAGTGATGATACCACCTACTGAGCCTTGTTCCTGTGCAGACAGGCCCTGTGCATGTGCAGCTTCTCGTAGCAACTGCAGGGGCGGGACGGGCAAGTGCACAGAGGGGATAGAGGGTCTCACCCTCAAGGCCAGTGGCCTGGGATGCAGAAGATGTCACCAGGCTCTGGGGAGGAGGCGGTGGCTTGCCTACGAGGGCAGTTACCCCATTCTCTCCAGGCCTGTCCAACCACCCACAAGTCCAGTTTCCCAGGACAAGCCCTCGAGGTTCCCATCGCCCAGGCCAGTGGGGATGGGGAGGAGGAGAGAGAGGGGAAGGGGTTCCACTAAACGTGCCTGTTCCCTGGTTTCCCCACAAGCAAAATGCCAAACCACCCATGGCTCCCAGAGCAAGCACAGCTGCTAGAACAGAGCAGAAGCTCCTGTAGACCTGAATTCATCCGTGAGAAACTAACAACGTGACAGTTTGGGGCAAAGGACACCTGATGAAAGTCGGAAAACCTGGTTCTAGTCCTGCTTTTGGTGGTTTAAGTCACGTGGGATTTCTGGGCCTCCATTTTCTCTACCTGCCAACAGAGCCTAAGCAGAGGGCCTGTGAGAGCAGGGAGCGACTGGGTTCCAGCACACCCTTGGGCGCACGCATTGTGTCCTCCTGGGGCACGGGTTAGGGCTGGCGTCTCTGTCTTTGTGTTCTCTGCTGTGTTGGGCTGAACAGGGACCACCGAGATAAAGGCCAGCTGTGCCTATTCTATGCCAGCCCTCGCGCACACACACAGGGCCCGAGTGAGGGCTGCCTGCCTGCCTGGTGGGGAACGGGGGTGAGCAGAATGCAGTGAGCACAGGGGGCTGGGCCCACCACTTCCGTCCTCTTCCACTCCCAGGACACAACTGGGACGGGGGTCTCTGCTCTGCAGCCACAGAGCCACGTGCATGGGCCACGTCAGCATTCGCCCTCCCTGACCACCCTGAGCACAGGTGTAAGCTCTGAGGACCAGTGAGGGGAAAAGCACCACACGCCAGCACGTGGCAGTGTGAGTGGCCCCATTTGAAACACGCTTGGAACTGTCCCAGCTGAGTGAGGTCCCCAGGCTGAAGCTTGCACTCCTGGTACCGAGCTTAGGAGAATCTTGTGTCCAGGACATAACTCGTCCCCTCTTTCTGCGTCTGGCTCACCAACTTCTGGTAATTCTTGTGCAGGGTAGTGTACAAGTCCCAGATTCTTCCAGTGATCACTGACCATCCATTTTATTCCAAACCCTGCATGAGGTGCTGAAGCCACAGGGCAGGATAAGGAACTCAGGACTTGCTCGCAGTTGAGGAAGAATCCTCCTCAAAGAGGATTTTAAATGTCATCCCCTCATCCTTCCCACACTCCAGTTAATTCTACGGTGGCAGGGAAGCAGTACTGATGAGATGCAGTGACTAAAGGACCAAAGAGTGGAGTAGAATCTCAGACCGGCACCAGTTGTCCCGAGAGTAAAACGTGCATCTGTGCGCAGCGCAGGGTGGCGGAGAAAGAGGGCCACGCCGCTCTCATCCTTTGAGGACACGGAGGAGAGAGGTCAGAGCCTCGAGAAGGGGATCTGTGGAAGGAGGAGGATGTAGGTGACTCTTAAAGAGACATTTAGGACTAAGTTCTTAATGGAAGTGAGTTTACTGGGAAAACCTACGAATTGTCCTTGTCTGAGGTCCTTACAAAAAGAGGCTCTGCTGTATCCACATCACCAGAATCTTAGGTCTGGCTCTCTCGTGGTTTCTTTCCAGATTTTATTGATTAGATTCTTAAAAGGTTGGAGGAGGGAAGGCAGCAAGATGAACACCAGGCCCAGCCTCTGCCCCGGGCTAAATCCCTCTGAGAGCAGCCCCGAGTGTTCTGGGAGGGACCTTCCGTTTCTGGGAACAGCCACCATCAGAACAAAACTGAAAGAAGCACAGTCCAGTTTCACCCCAGCCTGTGAGCTGAGGAGTTGCCACTCCTCTTCCAAACGCTAAGTAAGCTAGTTACACCTCCTTATCGGGATGTCCTACTATCTGGGTTAGGAGCCCATCCTGAGAAGGGTGCAGTTCTTTCCCAGCTGCTTGTTTCCTGGAGCCCAGAGGCCGGGCTAAGATATTGCTGGCAGAATCTGTGACCAGTGACCTCCAGCACCCTCTGTCAAAGCTGTTGGAAGGGGAGGTGGGGGACCAAGGTGCTGTGGGAGCCCAGCCCCTGTGGGCAGACCCGCTGACAGCAAAACAAGAGGTTCCCAGGCCTCTTGTTTTGCAGGTTTCACATGCAAGAGAAAAATCTGTGATTCTCGCAAAGCCGTTGCATTTTCTTTTTAAGTGCTGATATCTGTATGATGAACATTTTGAAATAACAAAAAGAACTTCCAAAACAGGTTTCTCATCTAATTCTTCAACTGCCTTCGTTTCCCTGTCTTCAATGCTTCTCCCTAAGTTGATCACCTGCTGGTGTCCCCTGCTGCTACGCCATAGCTATTGTCTATGTTGTTAGGTGGCCTTCGTGGTTGTCATCTAAGTAGCTGCCTATTTCAGAGTTGACACACAGCCCTGGCTCCTGAATCACTAGATAGTCTGGTTGTTTGTGAGTGGGGTGTGCCGTGTTCCATGTCACTGTATCTCTGTGTCCTCGTTAAAGACATGGGCATGACCCAGGCCCCATCTGGTTGGATCCAAGACACCAATGCCCTAGTCCCAGGTCTGCCTTGGCTGACCAGGCCCCACCTCAACCTCTCTGGTGGTGTTTCTCCTTCTGTAGTATCATAAGGAGTGAATCAGGAAGTCCTTCCTTCCAAGGTCAGAAATCCAATGATTCCTCTTATGTAGCGGTTTTCAAACCTGCATGTGCCTCAGAATCACCTGGAAGGGGCCTTGTTAAGACACAGATGGCTGTACCCTACCCCCAGAGTTTCTGAGTCAGTAGATCTGGGATGGTGGCTGGAAATCTGCATTTCCAAAGAGTTCCCAGGTGATGCTGCTGGTCCGGAAGTCAGACTCTGAGAAACACAGGTCTCATGAGTCCTTCTCAGTGGTGCCGTGGAAGGCTGCTACCTGCACGGGCCTCTGTGTTCTGAAGACCACCTTCTTTTCTAGATGGAGCCAGCAGGCCAGAAAGCCGAGCCGCTCAATGCAAAAGAGTGGCGGCCAGTGAAATGTCCCTCTCAGGTAGGAGGCACTGGGCAGGGGAGGGGATATCTTACTGAATCGAGGGGACAGATGAGGTGGCTTAGTGGGCTTTCCCGTGAAGTGAGGGTCTTACACAACTGAGACGTTAGCCCCATGAGAATCCTGGCTCTGTTCTTCTGGGCCTGGGGCAGAGGTCTGCATACACAGCTGTCTAAAGGCTTACACTGCGGGCCATGAAAGCAGTTTTAGCAAAACCGAGGTTCCCTCCATGTCTGTGGAAGGCACAGGGACAAAGCCACAGCTCACCTGGCCCCAGTGCTGCTCCTACCCATCTTTTCTGGGGCATTGGCCTGGGCCCCCCAGATGCCATTTCTAGAACTTCCTCCCTCTCGGGTGGAGAAGGAGGTGGGGATGATGAGTGCCTGAGCAGTCTTGACAGCGGATCATTTGGCTTTGTCTCAAATGTGCATCTGATAGGTAGTTGGCATATCATTCACATCGCCAAATAAATGGATGAACAAATAACATAAATGAATGGGATTCCTTCTATCATTTAAGACTAGTCAGATTTTTGGCTTTGTTGATAAATTGGTAAGTTTTTCATTACTAGGCAATAAGAAGCAAATAACTTACTCTGTTTCCCTTTGAGCTTTCGTTGCTGAGAAGCTTAAAATTAGGTTCTCTTCTCATTGAAATACATATCCTTAGCCTGGTAGTAAGAATCTCCAGGGCAGACAGCAAGAGCCTGGCTCTTCCCACCGTGAGTGGGAAACTCAAAGCACTGATGTTCAGGCACCTGCTGGGCAGCAGAGAGGAAAATCCAGAGGATGGTTTGGTCCTCATGGAAAGGATGATATGAATGCTCCAAGTTAGCCAAGGGCATTGCTGGATGATAAAGCCTGTTAACTAAGGGGTGCAAAATTCTGGGTTGTGGTTGTAACATGCTACATTTCTCTGCAGGAGAGCCCCTACCTGTACACCTACAGGAACAGCAACTACCTGGCCAGACTGTCAAAACACCAAGGGAAGCTGGAGGTAAGGAAAGGTTTTCTGTAATTGATGAACACACAAATGAACCAGGGGCCACACCCTTTGCTGAATCTTTGGAACCTTCCCTGTGGTTCTTTGTGTCCTGGAATTCCATCTGCCTCTGAGCAGGCTGAGGGAAGCTGCCATAGACATTGGAGATTCGGTCCGGGCAGGCTGGGGGAGGCTGGAGGATCGAGTGCGTGCCTGGAAACAGAGCCCGCTGCAGTTCCAGAACCTCCTCAGCACCCAGCGCTGTGGCTTCACAGGCTGCTGGGGCTGCCAGGCACCTCCTGTGCCCAGTGTGTTGGGATGCAAGGCAAATTCCTCAGGCCCTTCCTAAATCTCCGATAAGTTCTTCTGAACTCCTTTGAGGCCTTAATCTGAAGAGAAAATTCAGGAAAGGCAGAGAAATGTGATAAAATCTGAACCCAGCAAGTATAGAGACCAAAGGCCTTCGAAGTCAGTGCACGCCTTGGTGAACCCCCGCTCATATCTTGCTGCTGTTTATCTCAGGAGTCCCTCTGTGACACTTCCTGTTGAGATTAGATAGGGCACCCTGCACTTCTCTGCAGAACCAAGAAACACCTCAAGGTCGATGTCCTCTTTCTCCGAGAACTGGGGGCTGAGATGGGTTGAGAGAAATTTGGTCCTAGTGACATCCTTGCCTCCTTGTTTTACGAAAGAGGGTGAGATTGACTCCAAGTGGTGGAGGCAGAGTTGATGGCCTGGGCCTCCGCCCCGAGAGAGGCAGTGTGAAATATTCTTATCCACTTGTCCCACACTTTCTAATATCATAGCAATGAGGATGCACCCAAGAGTCAGCAAAGCACAGTGAGGCGAGGTACCCAGCTCTGGGTTCAAATCCAGACTCTTTCACCTACTGGCTCTGCATCAATGAGCAAGGTACTTAACCTCTCTGTGCCTTGACTCTTTAATTTGGGAAATAGCGATAACAGTAGTCCTACCTCATAGAGTTATTACATTATAATGGGTTAGTAAGTATAACACACTTATAATAGTATCTGGCATATCATGAATTCTGTAAGTATTGCTATATCATCATCTGATAAAAGGCAATGATACATTCCTTCAGGATCCATTTATTGGATATCTGCAGTGTACCACTAGAATGCAAGCTCACTGAGGCTGGTCAGAGTAGATACCCAATAATTATTTGTTCAATCAATGGATAGATGGATACCAGGCATGAGAGAGAAAAACATAAAGACATTGCTTGTCCCAAGGAACTCAGTCTGGCAGAGAAACAGATAAGTCGGCAGGCAATTACAGGACAATGTAATAAGTGCTGTCATTAAAGTGTTCCCGGGGTTTTCTGGGAACACAGAGTAAAAGAAGTTAACTCAGACAGGAGAAAGTTGAGGATGGCTTTCCGAAGTATACCGGTTACTGCAGCCTTGAATGATGACTAAGGTTGGGCCAGGTGGATGGGAGGTGAGAAAACGGGAGGAAAGGGGAGAGGGAGAGCAGCGGTAAGTGCTTGGGCAGAGGCATGGCTGCCTGGAGAGTACAGAGACTTTGGCCAAGGGCTGGTAGTTCAGAGTGTCTGGAGGCCTCTTAGGCCATGCTAGGGAAAATGGCCTTTATGCTGAAGTTAATACAAAATAAGAGTTTATTTGTTGTTGAGCATCTACTATGCCAGGCACGATTCTAGGCTCTGGGGACACAATAATAAACAACATGTTAAAAAACCTTCTTTCACTGAGAATTTGGGCAGCGGGATGGCACATAGCAACATGCTGAGAAAGGCCACCCTGGGTGGGTCTAAAGGCGGAGGAGCCAGCCCACAGGCTGCCGGCGGCGATGCCAGTGAATGCTGCAACGTTCCAGGCAAGAAACAGCGAAGGCCTGGACTTAGGTGGAGGTGGAGGCACTAGAGAGGAGGGACAGACTCGGAAGCCCTTGGAAAGGATGTTGTGGACAACTGGATATGAGTGTTGAGGGACAGGGAAAAATCCCAAAGACATCAAGATTTTTATTTTAAGTGATATTTTATAAAATAGAGGCTCCACTTTCTCTACCCAACTTCTGATTTAGCAAAATCCATTTCTTCTTATTTCTCTGTGTGTCTCATTTCAGGTAAGAGAAGGATCGGAAATCAGATGTCCTGACAAGGACCCTTCCGACGCGATTCCCACCTCAGGTACTCAGCTGGAGTCTAGTGATTTTTAAAAACTCATTTGAGGCCTGAAATTGTACAAGTAAGAGCAGGCTTACGATGGCAAGTGCTTTCCACACCACTGGAAATTCTCCTGAGTGGTTTTCCAAGGACAATAGAAATAGCTGTTTATATAAATAAGGTCATGCCTGTGTTTGATGATTCTTTAACTAAAATATGATAACATCATTATCAGAAAGCATTTATTGAGTATTAACCTTGTGCCACACCATGTTCCTCAGAGAGCCCAGTTGTTGGTCGAGTGAGTTGTCATTGTCCCTGCCTTGAGGCCTTGATGGGTGAATTTGTTCTCCAAAAGAGTACAAGTACATTTAAGCAGAAAGCAAAAGTAGCCAGTCCACAGTCCCTGCCTGAGTCACGTGCAGAATGCACTCAAACGCTGCACAGAACAGGAAAGTACACCATCCTACAACTGTGCCATTTTCACTGCCTCTCAGCAATTCTACCATGTCGGCTGCTGGGCCGTGAAAATGAAACTCATGGAATATTCTAGGCAGTTGTCAGCAACCATCCCAAAGATGGTCTGCCTAAGGGCTGCTCCTTTTCCTCCAGGCAAGGCAGCCTGGGAAAGATGGCTCTGTGAATGTGACCTTAGGAAGTCATGGGAGGGCTGTTTGGTGACCCAAGTGACTCAAAACATCAGCCTAGGAGCATTACAACTGTGCCGTAGGTTCCCAGGCTTGGTCCTGGAGCGTGGCTTATTTGTTCATTTATTTATTCTCTTGTTCATTCACGTATTAGAGAATTGTCAAGTGCCTATGTGCCTACAACTACATTCTAGTTGATCTCTTGCTGCTCATGCCTCGGCATTATCAAGAAAGATAGAAAATTAAGTTTGGAGATGTCACAGTGCCTAGCAGGAATCTCCCCTGGATGCCAGTCTGTGCAGTCAGATGTCTCCTTGTGCTGAGTGATAGCCAAGCGAATAAATGCCATGGCTCCACATCCTCAAATTATGCCAGATGACTAGCACAGAAATTAAAAACCTTCTCATCAAAACCTTGGTACCTAACTGACTCTTGGCAGGGCACAGTGGCTCATGCCTATAATCTTAGCACTTTGGGAGGCCAAGGTGGGAGGATCACTTGAGGTCAGCCTGAGCAACATCGTGAGACCCTGTCTCTACAAAAAGTTAAATAAAATAAAAAATACAAAAATAAGCATCTCAGCTTTTATAACTGACTCTTGTTCTATGTTGCAGAATAGTGGGAAAGGTGATATCCATCTTATATACACACATTTAGTCTTTCTCCCTACCCCCATACTTGGCAATAACTCATTCCTCTTGGTTAGTTTACTAGGAGAAATAAATTATCAGCTTCATATTTAGGCCTTATTGTAAAAATCCTTTCTCAAAGATGTATAGATATAGGTATACATAAATATGGATAGAGATGTGTTATATACAGATATATGTATATATAGGAAGTATCAATTGGAATGTTTTAATAGCCATACTCTTTACAGCAAAATACTAGCCATTCCCTTTTTAATCTTATCACTCTGAAAGGATGACCTATAAAGCACTTTGCAATCTGTCTAGATTATGTTTCTGTAATGACAGTGATAACCAATCCATTAGAGCATATTTCAACATCTGAAAGCCAGATAAAATGTAAACCTTTTCTTCATTCCCTAACCCTGGAGATTATTGTGTTTATCAGCACTTGGAGATATAAGAGCAAGAAATCTCCAGACCTTTAGATCTGAGATACTATAGGGAGAGGAGCTGTTTATATAAAACAGATGGATAGATGTAGGCTCCCCCATCTAAGCAAGGTGGGGATGGAACCCACACACTCTCTCTTTCCACCTTGGTGGCAGCACTCATAGATGGGTGTTGGGCCTGCCCTTCTGAGTCCCACCTGGAAAGTGCCACTCAGAAAAATGGCCACTGCTAACTAGCCAGTAATGAAAACACATTTCATGGTGCTCTTGATCTATGATTGAACATTCTAACCTTCCTTGTGACTGCTTGGATAGGCAAAAGGACTTAGCACAAGGTCACATTATTATTTTCCTCTGATAAGTATATTTCTGGTGAGGTCATTCACTCTTCTAGAGATCATGTTTGCAATTTATAATCGAAATGAAGGCATCTGATACACATCTTATAAAAGTGAATCATCTTATCTTTATACTTCTAATGACTCAGCACATGGTAGGAACCCAGTAAATGTTGAGCTAATCTGAACTGCTGAGTATTTCTAATTCATCAAATCAACAATGCTCAGGATTGAAAAAGATCTTAAACATCAGCTAGACAAAAGTGACTTCCATTGAAACAATTTTTCACTAAGACCTTCTTTGTAGTCCCTTTCTTAGTGTTTCTCCCAAATCAACCCACAGATATATGGATCTAAACATCATCAAAAATGATGTTCCAAAATAACGTACTGCCTGTCACCGATAGGCCGTGGCCCCTGGCAGCCTAGGTGTCTCATACTTACTACATGTCAGAGCTCAAGAATGATGAACCTCCTCCACTGATCTATGGGGCCTTGGGATGAGATTATAGAGTTGATGTAACCAATTGGCATTTGGTAGCCAACAAAAAAACTTGTGATTTTTTTCCCTCCTAGTCATTGCACGTGTGCAATTTGCCAAATGTCACTGTCTATGGGCTTTACAACTTCATAAATGCATCATTTTACGTTACTAGGTGACCCTCTCCCTACATAGTTAGCATAACTGAGAAAAATGAATCGGGCCTACTAGCTGATTTAAAGTTTTCCCGGGGAGGAAAAAAAGTAGCTTCTCACAAATAAGAGTACCAATGAGGAGTCAGAGGGACATGGCTTGTTGGCTTTCTATTGAAATTGGCTATCTTAAAGTCAATCTGCTAATTCCATGAAGAGGAAAAATTCATTGCTCTTGACAATAGGGCTTTACAAAGTTAATTATATGCTGCTATTACCAATAGTATAAACCAGAACAGTTCATTCATTTATTTTAAGCTATTAATTCCTTTCTAAGCCCCTGATACCATTTATTTGAAACATTTGGCTAAAATGAGCTCTTCAAAAGCCTGTAGGAAAAAGGCCCAGGTTATGGCACTGCGTGGTCATTCATTAGAGGTTTCGCTTCACTGTGAGCCAGGAGTGTGATGCTTAATGTAGGTCCTGAAGCTGTTTCCATGATTACCATCTGCTCTTGGGTCTGGTGCCTTGGCCCACCCTGCCATCCGAACGGAATGATGCCACCCAGTGAATAACAGCCTGCTTGTCCCTAGACATGAACAGACTACTGAGCAAATTCAAACTCACCCTCAAGACACTTGGATGAATAAGTGTTTCCCTGCCTCAGAGTTTCATCATTTAAAGCTTTGAGAGCTATGAAGTCCCTGTCATAAGCTACTTAGCCTTTAATTCAAGTTAGCACATTTCTTGAGCACACATTTGTTCATACAAACTCATACAGACTCCAAGGCAGAAACAAGGTTCCAACTTTGTGCTAGCAGCTTTTCACTATTGTGGAAGTCCTTACATAAGTCCCTAAAATCAGACAGCAAGTAGGTTGGGCAATCCTAGCTGTCAATCAAGAGAAAGTTGGTTTTTACAGATTATGGCCCCAGGTAGTTAAGTTGTTGGGTGACACAAGACAAAACACCAGTGTGCCAAACCTTTCTCCTGGGCATAACTTTTCATGTAGTATACAGTTTCCTTGCCATTCATGATCCTTCATCATGCCTTGGATGGCCTTCTGATAAAAGGCCTCCTCTGTGGAAATCTTGATGAGTTATTGATGTGCTTATCGATTTATTTCAAGGTGGTGGACAGTTTGTACCAGATAATGTTTAGCTAATCAGCCACACAAATTTAATCTTATCTCTAAATAGTTCTTTTTCCAAGGAGAGCAATTGCTAAAGTGCTTTGCTGTACTCTAGGCTGTGTCTTTGTCGCATATGATGACGTTAACAAGCCTCAAACCAAGGTCTGCAGAATATTAAACCAGCGAAATGCCCTGGGCTCTATCTCAACAGTAAAATCTCAGATAAATCAACCCCTCCCACCTAGGCTTGCTTCATTTGGTTTATTATTGTGTATCTTGCTGAGATATCTTCAGAATAACCAAAACTGGAAAACTGCTACCCCCACCAAATCAATCTGTCTACACATATGTACACACACGGACATAAACATACGTGTGTGTATTCTTTATGCTACAAATTTAGGAGATAGGAATGGTCAGTTTTAGCTGCCCCTTTAGCAAACTATAATAATAATGCTTTTGAAGCAAATATTTTCATCTCTTCCACATTTTACCAGCCCTAAAGATTTCCCCTAACCTTCACACTCTAGCTAAAGCTCTTAGAATTAACTATATTTTGCATTATGGCATTAAGAATATAGTGATTGACTATCATCACCAGGAACTAAAATAAACCACTCCAGAATTGAAGAGAGGGGCTCTTATTTTCCATTTTGTTGCCTTTTTTACCCATAGCTTGATTTCTTTGAGAAGAGATCATTTTAAAGTTCTCGTGCTCAGCCCTGTGGACGTGTGCACTGCAGCTGGCTTTGTGATTTGATATTGTTCCTCTAACCAAATCCTGTAGCTGTGGGTGTCTGGGAAGGGCCAAGCAGGCTGTAATCATGTGGAAGGGGGTGTGTTGTGTGTACACATGTGTAAGGAGGAATTCAAGGCATGGTGCTAGGGAAGGAGGAAGAGCTCTGAAGAAAGCCACTCAGTGGCTCTTGAATCTAAGAGGCAGAGCTGCAAACCTGCCATCAGAATGTGCAATGGCAGCTTCAGTTGTGTGAGCCAAGGGACAATTTATAGAAAGAAACAATTCTGGTCTTTTTAGCTACAAGTGTAGAAACTTTTTTTTTTTTTTTTTTTTTTTTAAGACAGAGTCTCACTCTGCTGCTTGGGCTAGAGTGTCATGGCATCAGCCTAGCTCATAGCAACCTCAAACTCCTGGGCTCAAGCAATTCTTCTGCCTCAGCCTCCTGAGTAGCTGGGACTACAGGCATGTGCCACCATGCCCAGCTAATTTTTTCTATATGTTTTTAGTTGGACAATTAATTTATTTCTATTTTTAGTAGAGACAGGGGTTTCCCTCTTGCCCAGGCTGGTCTTGCACTTCTGACCTTGAATGATCCTCCTGCCTTGGCCTCTCAGAGTGCTAGGATTACAGTTGTGAGCCACCTTGCTAGGCCAACTACAAGTGTAGAAACTGACCACCACCAACAGCTTCAAAAATACAAAAGTGCCTGTATCAGTGGTTCTCAAAAGATGGCACCCAGACTTGACTGGTAGCGTCAGCATTAATTACTGGGCACTTGCTAGAACTGCTAATCCTGCTGGGTGTGGTGGCACACAGCTGCAATCCCAGCCACCCAGGGAGACTGAGGCAGGAGGATCACTGAGACCAGGAGTTTAACATAGTGAGACCCCTGTCTCTTAAAAAAAAGAAGAAGAAAAGAAAAAACATTAGCCGGGCATGGTGCGCACCTGTAGTTCCAGCGACTCGAGAAGCTGAGGCAGGTGAATCCCTTGAGCCCAGGAATTCGAAGCTGCAGTGAGTTATGATCGCACCACTGCACTTCAGCCTGGGTAACAACAGAGTGAGACCCATTTCTTGGGGATGGTGGGGTGGGGAAGCAAACCCTTGATCCCATCCCAGACCTACTGAATCAGAAAGTCTGAGTTCGGGGCACCGCCATCTGTATTTGAGCAAGCCCTCCAGGTGATTCTGATGCACACTGAAGTTTGAGGACCACTAATCTATGTATTTTGCATGTATACATTCACAATTATGCAGGGGTTTGTATCCTTTCATGGGAAGAGGCAAGGACTATTTACTTTTCCAGTGAGAGCAGATCCTCAGTTGGCGTGGCAGTTCCGGTCAGCAGGCAGCATGGACTTTGACGAGATGTCTCCATGGAAGGAGGCGAGGCCCGGGGATCCCTCTGGGCATCTTTTCCACTGTGTGCTAATACAGCTTCCTGCATGGGTATAATCCCACAATCAGGATTTGGATGTCAGTGGGTGCTGTGGGCTATCTGTAGTCCAGCTGTGTTGAAATCATCTTGTCCTCTGTGTTTCACTGCAGGTTTTTATAGGTTTCCTCCTGCAGACAACTTTCAGCTTGTCCATCTTAAGCAATGGCCCACTGAAATGGTGGGCCCCTTCTCCTGGGGTGGGCCGCTCCCTGGTACACTCTCTGTGTTAGGCTGCTTCTGAGGCGTGAAAGCTATTTTCACAACTTAGCGCAGCACTGCACCCCTAGAGATGACGGAAGACACCCCTGAGAGCAAAGGTGGAGCTCTGGCAAACTCGGGGGAACCTTGGGAGTAAGGTAATTGGGAGAGTGGGAGGTGAGCTTGTGACTTGAGGGACCAAGCTGTATATGGCAGAAGCAATTGTAGGTGTGGTCCCCAGCTGCACTTGGATTCATGATCGTATGTGCATAAGGTAAAGGGGTAGGTGGATACAGTATGGTATAAGTATGTATGTAATTTCATATATAGCAATGGTTATGTTAAGCTCCTAACTCATTAGCCAGGCATAAAAGGCCTGTGGCCCCATCTGCCTTTCTGACGTTATTTTCTGTTAGTCTCTCTCATATGCTCTTCACTTAAGCCAAACTATGCGACCAACTGTGCTTTATAGATGTCACACACTTTACCATACCATATCTGTCCTTTATACTTTTCCCTCCATCACCCCTTCTCTCTCTCCCTCATCCTTGTCTCAGTATTTCCTGAGGCTTAATTCAATTGCCACCTTCCCCATGAAGCCTGCTGTGACCCTTCCTCACACCCCCAAGGAGAGATCATCCCTCCAGCTCTCAAACTTCATATCACTTTATATCTCTCTTAGCATTTATCAGTCTATGCATGGTTCTAACTGTGGATGTTTCTCATTTTCTCCTTAGCCTGTGAGCTTCTTGAGGGCTTCTCCATTTCTGATCTCTGTGTAGACCCCAGAGTATCCCACCACTGCTTGGTGTTTAATATGTTTGTCCTATGAACTAATAGCTGCCACGTCACAGTATGTGATTAAACTTGAGAGATTTTTTAAAAATGGAGTCAGGCTGTGGGAAAAACAGGTTAATGGATCCTCAAAAAGCTAAACATAGTAAGATTACCATATGACCCACCAATCCCACTCTCAGGTATATATCCCAAATAATTAAAAGCCAGCATTCAAACAAACACTTGTACCAAAGGTTTACAGCAGTGTTATTCATAATAGCCAAAACATGGACACAGCCCAAATGCCTATCAACAGATGAATGAATAAACAAAATGGTATATGCATACAGTGGAATGTTACTCAGCCATAGAAAGGAATGAAGTATTGACATATGCTATAACATAGTTGAACCTTGCAAACGTGCATGGTAGAAGAAGCCAGACACAAAAAGTCACAAATTGTATGATGCTATTTATGTAAAATATCCATATTTTACATAAATGGGTAAATCCATAGAGATGGAAAGCAGATTATTTGTTGCCAGGCACCAGGGGGAGGGAAAAATGGGGAGCAACTGCGTAATGGGTACAGGGTCTCCTTTTAGGGTAAGGAAAATGTTTTGGAGCCAGGTAGAGGTGATGGTTGCACGATGTTGTGAATATACTAAATACCACTGAATCATTCACTTTGAAATGGTTAATTTTGTTATGTTGTGAATTTCATGTCAATTTAAAAAATAGTCAGTGGTATAAAAGTGTTTCCCTTTTCACATTAAACTGAGCTGATGTTTTCATAGGATGATATATAATATTTTTATCCCAAGTATCTTCAGATTCTAGGATAAAGTATTGGTTGTGCTTCCACGACAATTCCTTCCCTACTCCCAAATCACCTTGCCAATGGCTGCCACTTCTCACCTGTAGCATCAGGTCTCAGCAAACACGAGCAGTTCCCCTCTTAAAGCAGGGCCACCTTTCGGGTCCCGACCTCTGTGCCCAGGTGCTGCAGAGAAGAGACGAGCACTCAGGCTCCATGGCTGGCACTGTTGCCCCTATTGACAAGGGTGGCCTTTTCCTATCTTTTGCCCAAAGTGTATAGCTGTTAAAAACTGACTTTCTCTCCATTTCCCTGGAAGATGTTCGTTTGTTTTCAGGAGACAGGCCCAGTGCTTTCCTAAAAATCTCCCATTTTCCATTCACTCCTGCTTGTTCTCTCAGTTCATAGGCTGAAGCCGGCTGACATCAAAGTAATTGGAGCACTGGGTGACTCTCTCACGGTAAGTGACCCTGATGGTAGAAGGAAGGGGCAGGAGAGGAAAAGATCTCGAAATGAGAACCTGGAGAGAGGAGGTCTCCTAGCTCTTAAACTTTGCCATCCCGGGTCCCGATCTCCAGTTCCTCTCTTTCCCCCCAACTCACCCTGGCATTCAACAGCATTCCCTGCCCACGGTGGTTTCCCGCCGCCATTCTAGCCTCATCTTCCTGCCTCAGTGTTGGAAAAAAGAGCAGGAGTGGAGGGACCCCAGAGTGAGCACGGGTGACAGGAGTGAGCCACACAGCCTGTCAGCGGTGGGGCAGGATTGGACCAGGTCTCCCCAGCGTGGTTAGAACTCTGTAGAACTCTGTCGAGGAGCCAGTGCTTTGTTTTGCCCATGTTGGAAAGCTGAGGGAAGATGGTATGAAGGAGAGGGGTGAAGAGATGACAAGACAGAAAAAAGTGATAATGGTGGCAGGGAGGGTGAGAAGGCAGGAGTCAATGGAGGAGGCGGAGGTGCCAGAGATGACCCAAGCCCACTGCAGCTGTCCCACAGGGACACCCCCCCTCTTACAAAGAGCTATCTAGCCATGAAAAGCTGAATGAGGCCTTTTGAGAGCCCGGGGGCAGGTGTACCCAGAGGTCCCCAGACACCAGCTTCCATTGGATAGCCACTCATTATAGACTCAGCTGCTGTTCCCTGGGTCAACGAAATGCAGGATCTCCAGCCAAATGCTCCCCAAAGACCAGCTGACACCTTTCATGTCTGTGGCCTGTTCATGTGATAATATCTGACTCAACGTCCTCATGACAAAATCCTGTGAAGTGTGACTTTCCTTAGATTCAAGCAATAAAGAAGGTGCAGCTGGGCAGGGTGGAGTGAGTGCTCATGCCACGCAGCTTGCAAGTGCTGGAGCCAGGATCAGGACTCCATCCCTATACTGTAGCAGCCTCCTCCATGGCCCTGCAGCGACTCTTCCACCAAAGGCCCAGCTGCTCATAACCTCTCAGGAAGGACTGGCAGGCTGGTCCTTAGCACCTTCCCACCCTGCTTAATCTCAACTGCTTCCTGCCCAGTGGGGTCTTAGGTCACCTCCCCCTAACTCTCTGGTCTCCTTAAAGATACTCTCAGGATAGGGAGTCATCAAGACTGAGCACAGCTGCGCAGGACTTCCTGGGAGGCCTACCTGGCAGGTAGCAAAGGAATGGGGCACTAGAGAGTAGGACTCATGCCTGGGGTTGGGTGGCACAGGGGGGACCTCTGGTGGAGGTCAGGCTTCAGCATGGCCTTTGGAAGAGCTCTGCTCACAAACAAGCTTTAGGCAAGGGACAGGCACCTGTAGAGCGTGCCCACATCGTGCTCTTTCTTCAGCTGAGTGGTAAGGTAGCTAGGATTTCGTTTTGTTACTACTTTTTAAACTGTACGTATGTGAGATAGTATAGAAGGATTATAAAATGTTTCCTTTTACAACATATTTCACGTCTTTAAAAAATGAGAAAAGACTCTGAAATGTGTCCTTTTGAAAAATGTACAGTCTAGTTTCCAGCGTACTTTTGCTAAGCTGGTTTCACTTGGTCTGGGTCCAGGCAGGGTTTCTTAGAATGAGGCAGGCCTGCGGACGGCGCCAGGCATGCCCGGTGGGAGCTCTTGCTCATCTCTGCAGAGGCAGGATGCACATCGAGCCGCGGTGCCATCTAGACCCCAGATTCTAGGGGCCATCCTGGTGATCCTGTGCAGGATGAGAACACGGCCCTTCCGGCAGGCAGCCAGAAGTGGGCCATGGGAAACATAGGGAAACTCACCCCCTTGTTTTTCCCTCTCAGGCAGGCAATGGGGCCGGGTCCACGCCTGGGAACATCTTGGACGTGCTGACTCAGTACCGAGGCCTGTCCTGGAGGTAAGTGAGGGTGTGGCAAGGCCCCAGAGACCCTTTTGTTGCAGAGCAAAGGAAGAGCCCTGAGCATTCTAGAAAACAGTGCCTCAAGCAGAAAAACGGGCCACCTGGTTCTTTGCCATGACAAACTTCCAGGTTTAACTTAAAGAAGGTAATGTGAACAGTTTCCCCAAACCATTGCAGTCCCCAAAATAGGAGCCTGAGACCTGAAGCAGGAGTTGTTTAGGTGAGAAACTACATAGATGCCTGGGTTGGAAATTCTTCTCTGTCTTACATTTCCCCTCTGTGATGTAATGTCAGAAGAAGGCAGCGGCCTGAATGAGAAACAGATCATTGTCTTCAGAACCAGAGCTGTTCGTGAGCCCCAACTGCCCAGCTATATGTGACCTTGGGCAAGCCTAACCTCTCCAAAATTGTCTCCTCATCTTTGATGCAAGGATAATAGTACTACCAAGCACTGCCTGAAGATTAGAGAGAATTGAAGTGCCCAGGGTAGCGCCCAACACAAAGCGGATAGAAATGGTAGTTGGTATCATTATTAAAGGGCCTTCATTTTTTTGAGGAAAATGTTTGAGGAAACAAGGCTCAGAGAGGGCAAGTAACCTGTCCAAGATCACAGAACCAGATGGTAAAGAACAAGAGGCAGAGCAAATGGTTCTTGACCCCTAATCCAGTGCATGCCCCCGTCATGGATTGCTTTGGGCAGGTTTGTTCCCTCTTTGCCTGTGAGCAACCCTCTGCCGCCAGCTGCAGCCGGCAGGACTTGCGCTTTACCTCCGTGCTTTGAAAGGCCAGCTGGGGCAGGTTAGGTGTTTCCTCACCCTGGAGTCTGGCATCTCCACCTGTCACCAGCTTTCGCCTGAGCGCTGAATCTCTGGCATTGCCCCCTCATGTTGCTCCACAGAGCTAAGCCCCAAACATTTGGGGAACCTTTTAGATGTCCCCAGACATGCTTGGCACAGAGTGAGGGAGTATGGAAAAGCAGGGAATCCAATAAAAATGGGAATGCTTCATATTTTTACGCCTAGAATCCCATCTAACTTAGACCACCTTGAAATTCTGGAATTGGCTTGGAAGATCCCTTATTCTCTAGAAGACCCCTTTTTAAAATAGCTTTTCCAAGCCCAAGAGGAAAAGAAAGAACAGGGCAAATTTCTGTTTTTTAACTGTTTTTACTAATAACGTTAATGCACTGCAGCGGCTGGTTGAGATGGGGCCGGCCACAGAGGGGCCGCCTTCCGGTTGGTGGGACGACCTGGTTCCCCTGGCCAACGTCAGAGAAGATCAGATCGTTTAAACGCGATTTTGTGTGATCTTCCGGTGTGCGGGGAGCAGAGAGAGACGCCGTGTTCCGGGTTGTTCTTTGGTTTTTCTACGGAAATGATGGGGCAAGGGCAGGCTCCAAGCCCCCGGGTCTTTCTCGGGAGAGAGGTGGTAGTGTCTGAGGCGTTCCGGCACGGCTGGCATCTTAAACCTTCGTTTTCTCTCTCGGTTCCCACGAAACAGCGTCGGCGGCGACCAGAACGTCAGCAGCGTCACCACCCTGGCCAGTGAGTGCGCGGGCGACCGCTCCCGGCGGGCGGGATGGGCGGGATGCGCGGGGGCGGCGCGGGCCGCGGCCGGCAGGGGGCGCTGCCGCCCCGGGGCTGCGCGCGCTCCGCTCCCGGAGCCTCATGGGAGTAGTGGGGGTGGGGTAGGAAAGAAACAGTCCTGCTCACCTGGCGGGGGAGATACCGTGATCGGGAAAAAGAAAAAAGCCCTGGCTGCCACCCGGCCAGTTTCTTTCCCAATGGGCTTCGTCCAAGGGAGTCGGAGAGGGAAAGAGAACAAATCTTAGTGCCAGTCATAAAAGGGACTCAAGGAAGAAGAAAAGGAGACCCGCGTGCGGGGCCAGGAGCACCGCGCCCCTGGGGAGGCGTCCACGCAGCACAGCGCCCCTGGGGAGGCGTCCACGCAGGCGCTGCCGGGCGCAAACACGCCCGATTCCTGTGTTGCTTTGTGAGCCGCTGCTGTGGCGGCAGGATGAGGTGAAGTTCCGTTTCAGGCTGTGCAAACACGGCCATATTTGGGGCTCCATGTTTTCCCTTAATTTAACAACCTACTCGGAATGATATTTTAAAGCCTGAGGACGTTCTCTGAAGGGTCTGGTCTTACCCATCTCTTGATTCTCCTTGGTGCATACGCATCACAGCACATGTTCTTAAAGTACACAAGAGGTATATGCTTACATTGAATTCATTCCCCTTAAAATCTTCTAGCTAATTATTTTGCCAGAGAGAAATTTAATTGGTCCCATTTTCACTTACTCTTCTGGTACGTATCCCTTTGTGATATTATCTTTAGAAGCTAAGAAATGATTTGAACTTTAAGCCACTAAGACTTTGGTGACAGAGGCAGAGTTGATCAGACCTGGCATTTGTTATCTGTTTTGGTTATTTGCAAATCCTGTTGGAATTTAAGTAGGCATGGTCTGTGCCACAGGTGCTGTCTTCTTCATTTTTTGGCCTACACACAAGAGCTATATAAATAAGCCCCGCCCCCTGCCGCTAGGAGATGGTTTGGGATGTCTTTGGAGGTGTGTTGAACTTGGCTGTGAGATGGCCCAGCATATACAACAGCTCGCTGGGCTCTGACTCCCATGCTATTACCCTGAACAAGATGACTGGGAGTCATTTGTGTCAAGGTCTTCTACCAAACTGATTTACAAAGGATTGAGGCGATGTCACCCCTCAGGTGGACTCCCCTGACTCACTTAGCCCAAAAAATGGAACATTCACTGTTCAGATTCTTCCTTGCTAGAGATGGAAGACAGTTTGATTGTAGGGGCTGGAAATAACTATATGGAAATGTGTTAGAAAACTCATAAGAATGTAAGGTCAAAACAGAACTCTGTTCAACCACCCCATTTGATTTAATCCAGGAGACAGTCTGGTGCTGGGTCCTTGGGAAGTAGCAGAATGCCCTGGTGACATCACCAAAGTCTGTTTTCAGGCATGTCTTCCTAAAGACAGACACATGAACCAATAATCATAGCCATGTATGAAGTTTAGGGGAAAATAAACATGAAGGCTGCTAACCCTGTCTTCTGAAAAATAGCTTCAAGAACTAGAATTCACCAGGTAAGGAAAGGGGACGGAATGTTCCTGGCAAAGATAATTGCATGTTCCAGCAAGTTATTGCCTTATCCAATGTGTAGTTCCTCTCTCTGACATTCCTGGCAAGTATTAATAGGTAGGTAGCCTGTGATGGATTCCTCCAGTAACAAGGAACCTACTACCTCCTAGGACAAACCATTTCATTTTCAGGTAGCTCTGGTGACCTCACAGTTCTTCCTTCTAAGTAGAAATCAGAATAGTTTCTATACAGTGTCCCCAAAGCAACAGGAATGAGTCCATCTGTGTTGAGTAGAAGCTACAGTAGTGCTTGATTCTAGAGAGCACTCTGCCGGATGGCATGGGCCCCTAAAGCCCTGGCTGCCACCCAGCCAGTTTCTTTCCCACATCCTGGTAGATTGTGAGACAGGGACCAGTGCCCTGTGTTGGACCTGTGAAACCAGGGTTCTAGCCTGGGATTCCATTCTCAGTAGCTATATGACTTTGAACAATTCTCCTAGCCTGGTCTGAACTTTATTCTATTTCTAATTCAGTCCATAAACATTTATTGAGCCTTATGTGAGGCCCTGGGATATCTTCAAACCCTGCTCTCAGGAGTTCTGAGCCAAGTTGGGGAGATGAAGAAGTGAAAAGTCATGTATAAATACAGTGTGGCAAAAGCATTAGAATGCATGAGATTGAAAATTACAACAAAACTAACGAGTCTGTAACTAGATTGATTGGGGGGGTGAAAATCAAGAATGTGAAAGAGGAGATACTACCAACCTTACAGAAATAAAAAGGATTATAAGAGAAAGGGAATGCTATAAACAATTGCATGTCAATAAATTAGATAATTTAGATAAAATGGACAAATTCCTAGAAAGACACAACTGAAACTGACTTAGCAAGAAACAGAAAATCTGAATAGACTTATAACAAGCAAAGAGGTTAAATTAGTACCAATTACCATTTATTGTGCTTCAAAGGATACCATCAAAGTAAAGGCAAACCAAAGAGTGGAGACAATATTTGCCAATCATGTCTAATAAGAAACTTGTATCTAGAAAATAAAAGGACTCTCATAACTCAGTAAACAGACAACCCAATTTAAAATGGGCAAAGGATCTTAATAGACATTTCTCCAAAGAAGATAGAGAAATGGCCAATAAGCACATGAAAAGATGCTCAACAACACTAATTAGTAGGTAAATGCATATCAAAACCACAATGAGATACCACTTCACATCCACTAGCATGGTTATAATAAAAAGATATAATAACAAGTGTTGGGGATGTGGAAAAATTAGAGCCCTCATACGATGCTGTGGGAATGTAAAATAGCACAGCCGCTTTGGGAAAAGGCCTGGCAGTTCCTCGAACGGTTAAACAGGGTTACTATATGATCTAGCAGTTTCATGCCTATGCATGTACCCAAAAGAAATCCACACAGAAACTTGTGCACAAATGTCCATAGCAGCATTACTCATCATAGCCAAAATGTAGAAGCAACCCAGTGCCCATGAATTGAACAATGGATAAATAAAATGTGGTGTATCCATACAATGGGATATTATTCAGCCATAAAAAGGAATGAAGTACGGATACCTGCTGCAACATGAGTGAATGTTGAAAAGATTATGGTAATTGGAAGAAGCCAGCCACGAAAGACATCACATTGTACGATTTCATTTATATGAAATGTCCAGAATAGCAAATCTATATAGAGAGAAAGTAGATTAGTGATTGCCATAGGGTTGCAAGTAATGGAGAGTGACTGCTAATGGGTACACGGTTTCTTTTGGGGGGGATGAAAATGTTTTAATGTTGATTATATGATGGTTGCATAACTGTATGAATGTACTAAAAGTTATAACTTTATACTTTAAATTGGAAAATGTTATGGTATACAAGTTATCAAGTATTTAGAAAAAAAGAATATTGCATGACAAAAGCACCAACTGAGACTCACATTCATCAACAATAATTGAGCAAGCACCTACTGTGTGCTGTCCTGTGACCAAGCGTCAGCCTACTGACTGTTCTCTTTCTGGGCTGGGTGAACCATAGGGGTAATAGTAAGGGCCATGGGGTGGGGACTCTGCTTTGTCCCCAACACCTACTGATGTTTGTCAAAGGAACTTGAAGATTACTTCAAGGTGGTTACTATGCATGTCTTTTCCTTGTATTTCCAGACATCCTCCGGGAATTCAACCCTTCCCTGCAGGGCTTCTCTGTTGGCACGGGGAAAGAAAACAGTCCTGGAGCCTTCTTAAACCAGGCTGTGGCAGGAAACCGAGCTAAGTGAGCATGAGTTCCCAGGGGGGTGGACAGCACAGGTCTTCTGGGGACCTAGGCAGGGTGCTTGAACCTAGACTGGGACTTATGGCTGAAGGTTGGGGGTCTTGGCCAATCAAGGGGGTCTAAGGGTCAAAGGCTGAATGAGGCTGTCTTGGGGGTGTCCCTTACTTGAGACACAGAAATCTGCTAGTTTCTCCCCAATTCCTCTCTGCATCCAGGTTATCTGATACCTAGTGTACCATGACCAAGATCGGGTTAGTTAGGCTAAAAGTTAAGAGGGGAAGAGGATGACAACTAATGCTTCCTGCTAGGCACAGGACCAGGGACTTTTCGACAATGGTAGAATTAATTCAATGGATGGTTGCCACGTGCCAAGCACTATTCTAAAGTTATTTATATGGCATCTCATTGAACTCTCCCAACAACTCTATGAAGATGGTATGCTTACCATCCCCATTTTGCAGAGGAAAAAACTGAGGGCTTGCAAGGTGAAGTGCTCTGCCAAGGCCTCGGAGCTGTCTGTGGTGGAACCAGGATTCACACCCAGGCTGCTTGGCACCAGTAGTGGCTTTTACTCGCACGGGAGTGCTTTGCCATCTCATCTGTTCCCGATGACCAAGATGGGTGGGCTTATCTACATTTTGCAGTCTTTTAAAACTGAGAATTTAAGTCACTTTCCCATAGTTAGCAAGAGGCAAGTAAATGTCCAACCCAGGTCTGTCTGGGTGGGAATGCCAAAGTCATGGCACCTGCCAAAATGGGCACATGCTGAGCTGTGTATGACATGAAATACTCACATGCAGGCCTTCTGTTTGCCCAGAACAAGCCTAGCTTGGAAGAGAAAGAAAAGCAGGTCATCAAATATGCCGATCAGAAAATAGTCACACTAAGAGTCACCCTCTCACATGTGCAGTGCTTTAGCCTTCCCGAGCACAGTCACCACCCCCACGCCGGTGGAGCCTGGATGGGGAAGGGGCTCTGTGTCGTGGCCTTCAGTCGATTCTCCTGCAGGAGGCCCAACATGCTAGATGTTTGGTTGCTGCTCTCTCTGCTCAGTTCTCCTCCCAGCCCTGCCTCTCACACCGCTTCCTCCTGCCTGTGCCAACAGGGACTTACCTGTCCAGGCCAGGAGGCTGGTGGACCTGATGAAGAATGACACGGTGAGTCTAGGGGGTCCGGGTGGGAGCCCCTGGAATGGGAAGTGGGCAGGAGATATTCATGGACACAGAGGGTCAGCTCTGGGGCGAGGGGGGGTGGGAGCCAGGCTGGGCTTCTGGCAGACATATCTGAAGCCTGAAACACGGCACCTCTGAAAAGAGGAAGCCCATTCATTTGTTCAGCCACTCAGTCAGCTATTCAAACGTTTGTCATGAGTCAGCATTGGGCTGGGCTGGAGGTACACAGGAGAGCAGCACAGCACCGTTCGGTCCTCAAGGAGCTGACAAGGGGAGACCAACATGATGACTCAAAATTGTAAAACAGTTGGCATGCGCCACATCAGGAGGGCTCTGTGGGTGCAGAGGAAGGGGAAGGCCCCTACGCAGGGGAGGGCTAGGGAGGTCTAGAGGAGGACACATTTGACCTGGGTTCTGAAAGATGACAGGAGGGTTCTTCCTCAAGCAAAAGCAGGATTGGCAATTCAGGTGTTTTTGAAGCTGTTCCCAGGTGGGTAAAACAATTAAAGAGGGGGATAGGGATTAGTTATGTTGTATATAATATTTAATGTACCTCAAAATCTATTAGAAGGTTTTTAGGATATTTCTACCCATAATGTCAAACTTCCCTGGATTTTGTCTTCATCTTTCTCTTCCTACCCTCTTTTGGAAGCATCAGTCAGAGAAGCAAAGCTATGTAGGCCTATGACAATGTACGAGGCTGTGAGGACCACTGCTGTCCTCGGGCCACAGTTTCTGGAATGTGTGTGGCTGCCCACCTTCCACCCAGCCCTGCGACTTCAAATATTAATATTGTCCACATCCCTCTTGGAGGAGACAGATCCCAAAGGTGGCACAATCTTTTCAGAGCATGTGCTGAGAGTGGCCACCTTGCTCTAACTGGCCCCTCCAGCTTGCTTTGTTCACAAGGAGCCTTAACTATGTAAATGGATCTGAGTTTGGAGAGCTCCCTCTTTGTGAAAGATGGTCCTTTCTGCCTTAAGGGAAAGTTAGAATTCAGGACATCTAGAGATCGTAGAACAAACGTTCCTTTCCCATGGCTAGACAGCCCCCCCCAGCTCCTTCCCACTTCCATGCTGTGCCAGAGACAGGAACGAAGCTCAGAGCTGGGAACCATGACCATTGTGCTTTGTGATTCTACCTAAAGTAAATGGACCATTTAGGACCTGTGAACTCAGGACCCCAAAACCAAAGAACAGAAAATAGGAAAGCCCACTAAACGCCCTCCTGTGTGAGACCCATCCTCTCTAGTGTTCAGCGCTTTGCATTTTCGTGACTCTGGGACAGGGCGCTTACTTGTCTGTTTCCTATTCGTTTCAGAGGATACATTTTGAGGATGACTGGAAGATAATAACCCTGTTTATAGGTGGGAATGACCTCTGTGATTCCTGCGATGACCCGGTAGGTCTCCAGGCCCTTCACTCGGGACTCAGCCCCAGAGCAGGATTTCAGTGGCCCAGTCACCTAGTCCTGGAGCAGGGCAGCTGCTGGACGTGGGTCCAGCCTGGGGTTAACCCTGAGACCAAGAGGGCATCTCCCCCCAGGAAGAGGTTCAACTGGACAAGCAGGATTGGGTACAAGATTGATCCTGATTAAGTTTCCTGTCAAGAGAGCTTGATCATATCATTCTAGAAACCAAGATATCATTCCAGTGACGTAGAAGAATTTTGCCTCTCTTTAAGGTAGTCATAGGTTAGCTCCTTTCTCCAGGCTTCAGTGGCCTTGCCGTCTCCACCTGCGAGCTGTCACGCGATGGGAAAGCTGATTTCCTACAGAGGCACTTAGAGGGGAGGCTCAGAGCCAAGTCATTCTGGGCTGACAGGAAACCCAAGATCAAGGCTCTATGGTTGCTGCTTTTTGTCCTGGAACCCCAGCCTCTGGGCCAGAAGAAACCCCACAGGCCGTACTGACTATTCTCCCAACTGCACCTATGCCAGGTGCTCCGCTGAGAGCTAAGCAGTGGCAAATGAAACACAGGCTCTGTCCTCAGGGAACTTACACTGCCAGGGAAGGGAGACAGAGACAATGCATCATGACACAAGGAAGCCATCCCGATGTGGCTCTAGCGAGGCAAACAAAAGAGAGGTCTTGAAATCAAAGTTGCCATGGGAGGCCAGGTACAGTGGCTCATGCCTGTAATCCCAGCACTCTGAGAGGCCAAAGTGGGAGGATTGCTTGAGCTCAAGAGTTCGAGACCAGCCTGAGCAAGAGTGAGACCCCGTATCTACTATAAATAGAAAGAAATTACCCAAACAACTAAAAATAGAAAATAAAAAAATTAAAAAACTAGCCGGGCACAGTGGTATGTGCCTGTAGTCCCAGCTACTTGGGAGGCTGAGGCAGGAGGATCGCTTGAGCCCAGGAGTTTGAGGTGCTGTGAGCTAGGCTGATGACACAGCACTCTAGCCCAGGCAACAGAGTGAGACTCTGTCTCAAAAAAAAAAGTTGCCATGGGAATTTGGTGTGCATTGGGGAGGGGGGTGTTGAAGAGGTTTACATCAAGCCAGTAGGCTTTCGAACTGGGAGTTGAAGATGAGTAGGTTTGTCAGACAGAGAGGGGATCCAGCATGGTGATGTTTAGGAGGTAGTGATCTTGCTGTAGCCTGTGAGCATCTGCCCAGAAGGGCGACCCTGTCCCCCAGACCCCTCACAGTCTGCTTTCCTGGCACCAAAGTCACCAGGAGTCAGAGGTATCAAGCTATGATCTGAAGGACCCACAGGGGAGCCTCGGGGTGCGGGTGGGGGGTGGGAGGCCCCTCACCTGCTCCCCCTAAGTGTGGCCCAGCTTTGCCATGGTTCATAGAGCAGGCTTTTAGTTAGATTTTAATCAGAGAAAGAGTTGTACTGCTTAAAAAAAAAAAAAACTCAAAAATCACAAATATCAAGATCAGAAGCAATAAGTTAAAATGTGTTTAGGCTTGGAGTTGGGGGTATTTCACAAGACCCTCTTTCCTTCCCGTTATCTCCTCAAGTGATTTGTTTAGGGTGAGGCTCCACAGACACTTGAGGCCCCAAGCAGAGGAGACACGGCCACAGGACCAGAGACTGCTCAAGTTGCAGAGATCTTAGCATCGTCTGCTCCAACACTCCTCTTTTACAGGGGCCCAGAGATGGATGGGCCGAAGCTAAAGCTCTACCTCTAGTTACTATGAAGTAGATCCAGAGTTTTCCACAACTCCATGCAAAACAGAGAGCATTTCCCTGAGGGTCACAGCATGACAAGCCCCAGTACCGTGGGGCTGGTGTCGAGACTGGGGCCCCTAAAGACAAACCTACATTTCAGCGTTGTCCACTCTGACTGACATGCAGGGAGAGGGGGACCCAAGAGAGCAAGTATCCCTAGTCTGTAGAGAGATGGGAGACACATGGTGTTGAAGAGACACTTTCTCTTCCTGCAGGTCCAGTATTCTCCCCAGAACTTCACTGACAACATCAGGAAGGCTCTGGACATCCTTCACGCTGAGGTACGGAGGCCAGGCCGCACAGCCTCTGGGCAGCACGACCTCAGCCCTTCATCTGAGGCCTCAGACCCCACCTGATGGCTCTGGCTTCCCGCCGAGACCTCCCTGGCAGGTGGCCTTTGCCATGGTCCCCAGCCACCTGCATGCAGAGGCGTCCATGGGGAACAGAGGGGGTGAGGGAAGTGGGTGGGCAGACAGAAGTCCCTAGGTCTGGCACTCCAGCGGGGGAGCAGGCCCCAGACCCAAGTAAGGGCTGCAGCTGCCCAGCCTCACCCTCTCGGCCACTATGCTTTCCTTTCTGCAGGTTCCTCGGGCGTTCGTGAATCTGGTGAAGGTGCTGGAGATCACCTCCCTGCGGGAGCTGTACCAGGACACTAGAGTCTACTGCCCAAGGCTAATCCTCAGGTCAGATGGCAACTCCCACTGCTCAGCAGATTCGTTAGAAAATTTAAGAGCAGAGATGTGAGGAGTGCTGAGACACCCCCTCCCTACCATTTTCTAACCTGAAAAGGTCCAATGGGAGAACATTCCAGGGTTTTCTGACCCCGGCATAGGCCTCAGCTCCCTGCCTCAGATGTGCATGTGGACCCACCTCTGCCTCTGTTGCCATGGCAGCCACCAGGCACCCTCTGGTCCTGCAGGAGGGGCGGGTCGAGCATTAGGAATGGACTCAGGCTATGTGAAAAAGGCTGCAGGAGCACTCAGGCTCTGCTAAAACTAACTTCCAAGTGAGTCCAGAGCTTCCCCAACCCCTCCTGGAGGCCCATCTCCAAGACAGGGAGCACCTGTGGTTGGCATGGGTGCTCCAGGCTGGGCATTCATAAATACAGGGCCACCGTCACTTGCTAGAGGAGGAGGTTGTCAAATCACAATCCAGAGTCCAAAAAACAATCTTTCCCAGAGAACAGAGAGCCCTGTTCCTAGGAAGGCCACTGAGAGAGATGTCATTATCCCTCAGCCTCCAGAGCCAAACACAAATGCCTTTTCCCACTAGCACAGGTTGAGCATCCCTAATCTGAAATCCAAAATGCACGCAAATCTGAAACTTCTTAAGTGCCAGTGCAGTGCCACAAGTGGAAAATTCCACACTGACCTCATGTGATGGGTCGCAGTCAAAAGCAGAGGCACACAACACACAGTTATTCAGTGTCCCCAAGGGGAGAAGGCCCTCCCGGCCCCCTTCAGCCATGGTCTGGTATCTCTCCATGCACACCACAAAGGGTAACAAGATGCCGCGTGTGCAGGCCAGGCACGCCAACGGCAGGTTCCCCACGTGGGGCCTAGACCTACATGCATTACTCACTGTGGAGGTTGGTTGGTTGCTTGGTTTTTTGCTTATTCTCTGTGCTGTGGTATAAAGGTATTGTTGAAAAAGGTAAAAAGGCCTGTGTGATGCCCATACGGTAGTGCAAACATTCCCAAATTGGAAATCTGAGATGCTTCTGGTCCTGAGCATTTCAGATACCCAACCTGTATTGCACGGCCCTCAGGAATGAGATGTTCTTCTAACCAAAGCATGAGCATTTCCCGGGCATTCCTCCTGCAAGGCTGCCTCTGGCTGGTGTCTGAGCTTCCCCACTCCTGCCCCTCCCCCACCCCGGCCCTGAGCACATCTCATGGTACCCACGTGCCTGCCTCCCTCCCCCACCGCCTGTGAACTGCGTCTGAGTCACTGCTAGGACAGCCGAGGGGCTCACTGCTGTTTGCTGATCACTGAATGAATAATTCACAAGGGCCAGACTTGCTCTTAGAAATTAAGGGGTACTTTGGTCACTCCCCTAAAGGTCCATGCCAACCCATACCTAGGGTGCCCTGGCTGCCCAGGCCCCCTGGAGAAGGCAGCGAGCAGAAACAGGATGGCCGCTGGTGACACGTGCCTATCAGCGCAGCTGGCATCAGGCATGCTGTTCTCAGCTGCTGACTCATTCCCCTGCTCCCACTTTCTCTAGCTGCTGGGCCACACAGGGGTTCAGTGTATTCATTTCAGAGCAGCTGACAGAAAGGCTCTTGCTACCCGTCACTGCAGGGTTTTTCAGATCGTTAAAACTAAAGGTTCAGAGGAGGCATTTGCCGGGTCATTTGCACATCTGAAATGGCCAAGTCACTGAATGTCAGGCTTGCATGGACTTGGGGTCACCTTGTCCTGCTTCCTCTTTGCTGTTCCGCCTGAGTGGCCGTGCGTCCCTTGGCGCTACTGAGTCTACGCTAAGTCATCCACACTATTGTTACCTCATCCCCCAGCCCAAAAGCCCAGATTTGCCTGATGTCCAGCCAGGCCAGAGCTGCAGACTGGACAGAAGCAGCTCAGTAGAGAGATTAAGAGCTCAGGTTCAGAGCCAGACAGACTTGAGCTCAAGTCCTGGCTCCCACACTCAGCAACCCTGTGACCTTGAGAATTTTATTCAACCACTCTGAACCTCAGTTTTCTCATCTATACAATGGGATAATGATAATACAACTTCTAAAATGGCTGGGAGGATTAAACATGTCAATACTGATAAAGTTCTTACCAGTACTTGGTGCGGTAGCATTCGGTGTACATTAGCAATTATTGTCATGTTATTTGGAAGGGGGTGTGCCTCATCAGTACAACACCCAAAGTCACTCCTGCACATGTCAGAAGAAGTAACTATTTCATCCTTAAGAGCAAATCCAGGCCTGGGAAAGGTACAGTCAACAGGTTAGCCAGCCAGACCCCTCATTAGCACAGAGTTCAGATGCCTCCAAGTTAAAGGAAGTATTTCAAGTCTCCAGCCAAGGTTTCTGCATCACTTGTGCTCTTGGTGGGGGGGTACATCTCTTTGGTCTGCAGGTCTCTGTGTCCCTGTGTCCTGAAGTTTGATGATAACTCAACAGAACTTGCCTCTCTCATCGAATTGAACAGGAAGTATCAGGTAAGCCAGGAAGGGGCTCTGAGACTGCACAGAGCAGCGGTATGGTGTGGTGGCTCTGCTTAGAAAATGAGTCAATGCTTAGGTGATTTTGACCAGAAAAGCTCACTCCCTTGACCATCATGAGTTTCCCCCAAACACCTGTTCAGTCACTCGAAGAGGACAGTGGTAGGCTGCCTTCCAGGGTAGGCTGCAAACAGCTTGCAGGCTTGATTCATCCTCCAAGGTGCTCACTCCTTGAAGTAGAACCACTTCCCTGCAGACTCCTTTGGGTGTATCAGGGGCTCAAAGAGACAAACCTTTATCAGCCTCTGTCGCCAGCACCCAGCCCTCTGGGGAACTCCCCACCTGTATTCCTCCTGCGTGCACGACTCTGGGAGGAAGGCCACGGCCCATACCAGGGGAGGGAAGCTGAGGTTATGGCCACGAGAGCAGCCCTGTTTCAGTTGGGATTCTTAGGTGTAAGCAACAAAAGCTTATATGCAGTTTCTATTAATTTAAGGAGATTTGCTATTTAAGCAGAATCTCGGGCAGAGCTTAGAGAGCTGGGGTCAGAGGCCAAGGGATTCTAGGGTCCAAGCCTTGAGAATCAAAATCAGGTCACAGATGGAATCTAGTGAAGACGTCGTGGACTCCACTGTCTAGGAACTGGACACAGCTGCCACTCCTGGTAAAATGGTACTTTGCTGTCCCTAAGACAGGCAGTGATTGGTGATGCCTCAGTCACACACCCTGGCTGCGGGGGTGTTGAGAAAGCGAGCGTTCGTCTCTTTCAGCCCCTGCAGTGGAGGCAGGCTACTCTTCACGCAGTGGGGGGCTTCAGACATACAAGTGGTTTCAGATGCTGAGCAGCCAAAGAGGAGAGGTGTCCCCACCAACATTGTCCCCCGGCCTCGGCAGCGAGGCCAGCTGTTCCCAGGTCTGACCCTCGTCACCACTGAGACCCCAATGTGGTGCTCTGGAGACACTTGCATGTCAGCCACATGAGGCCATCATGCCCTCTAAAAATCAGCCCACTCCCTACTTCCAGCAAACACTGTGGTTCTCATCACTCTCCCGGGAGATGACCATTACTGTTAATAACCATGGACCCACCTTCTTTCCTTCCCTCATGCCTTAATCAAGGCAGAGACTGGCCTGGGAGGTCAGACACGAGGGGTCCCTAAACAGGGCTCTCCTCCCATGAACTGTCTTTTCCTGGGGTCTTCAGAGTTGAACACATTACATTCCTGGGTGTCTAAGCCCGACTGCCCTCTTCAGCTGGAGTCCTAGCCCCAAATAGTAGAAACCCTCGTGTGCAGTGGAATGGCAGAGTCTGGCCAGAGTAGGAGCCAGAACTGGGGTAACTGGTTCCCTAGAAGTGACCGCAAGCAGAAGCTGTGATGGTTACAGCCCTGTTACTCTCCTAAACAGGTCTGAGAGTCTCAAAGAAGCACACACACACCATGCACAAGCAGTATAAATACATGTTCAATATTATTGATTCACCTTTGATCTTTCTGAACACATGTAGGATAGAAATAAATTATTAGGATTATCCAAAATGTCATTTAATCAAATAATGCCACCCTCAGATCTTTAATCACAATAGCTTTAAAAGGGGGTCAAGCTGACAGACTTAGGTTTTTTTTCTTACCTTCCCTGTTTCACAGCCAAGGTCAAGTATATGCATTTGCAGCAGAGCTTGGGTTGATCTAAAAAGGGACTACCGTGTTTCCCTGAAAATAAGACCTACCCATAAAATAAGCCCTAGCAGGATTTCTAAGCATTTGCACAATAGAAGCCCTGCCCCCAAAATAAGACCCAGTGACGGGCCGGGCGCTGTGGCTCACGCCTGTAATCCTAGCTCTTGGGAGGCCGAGGCGGGCGGATTGCTCAAGGTCAGGAGTTCGAAACCAGCCTGAGCAATTAATTGGCCAACTGATATATATATAAAAAATTAGCCGGGCATGGTGGCGCATGCCTGTAGTCCCAGCTACCCGGGAGGCTGAGGCAGAAGGATCACTCGAGCCCAGGAGTTTGAGGTTGCTGTGAGCTAGGCTGACGCCACGGCACTCACTCTAGCCTGGGCAACAAAGCGAGACTCTGTCTCAAAAAAAAAAAAAAAAAGACCCAGTGACGGGTGTGGCTACGCAGCGTATCTGCACAACCCATGCATTTTGTCTCGGAGCAGTAAAGAAGACAAGCAGCTCTTCTCATCTGCCCCATGAGAGCTCTATTGCTTGACATGAGAGATTGGGGCCAATGGTTCTGAAGGAAATAGAGTCGCAAGAAATTCAGGATGGAATTCGGGGTTTAGAGAGTTATGATGATGATCCAGAAGAAGACAACTATATTTGAATAAATGTAGATTATTGTACTGTACTTAAAAAAATAATACATCCCCTGAAAATAAGCCCTAGGGTGTCTTCTTGAGGAAAAATAAATATAAGACCCTATCTTATTTTCAGGGAAACACGGTAGCTGGCTTCGCATCAGTTGAGATTTTGCTGAAGGTCGATTTCACTCCACAATTGGGTTCTGTTTAATGGTGTGTTGGAGAAAGAGACCAGCCAAGGACCGAGTGGATGCAGAGAGGACCGCCTAACCCCTGTCCCCTTCTCCTCCTGCAGGAGGGGACTCACCAGCTGGTTGAGAGTGGACGGTACGACACGAGGGAAGATTTCACTGTGGTTGTGCAGCCGTTCTTCGAGCACGTGGACATGCCAAAGACCTCGGTAAAGAAAGCAAGCATCGTAGATAAACTGAATCTACAGATAGCGTGTGGCTGTTTCATTTGTCATCCAGTGTCTATAACTGCCTCTCTCTCTCTCTCTCTCTCTCTCTCTCTCTCTCTCTCTCCTGGTAACCAGGAGGGACTGCCTGACAGCTCTTTCTTCGCTCCTGACTGTTTCCATTTCAGCAGCAAGGCTCATGCCCGTTCAGCCACTGCCCTCTGGAGAAACATGGTAAGACAGTTGAGGCAGGAAAACCCACCCTCCCTCTGATAAGAAAAAGACTCCAGAAAGCCTTTGGAGGACCTCTGAGGCCCGTCACTCAGGCTGTGTCATTCCTGCACAGCAATGATGAGAAGTCCTATTTCCTCTGTCCCCAACCCCAACCCCGACCCAAGCTGTCCATCCTGGCCACCTCTTTCTCACTCCCCATCATCCTGCTTCTTGGTTTAGCTGGAACCTGTTGGCCAGAAGACAACACAGCATAATTTTGAAAACAAGATCAATGTCACGTGTCCGAGCCAGGTAGAGTGAAACCCCTGTCCTTCCAACGCCTCTGACTGAAGCCACTTCTCCAAGTCCCAGCAGCCTTCTCGGTTCATCACATTCTAGGCCCTTACCCCACCTCGCTGTGTCTACCTGCCCACCCCATTTTACACTCCAGGCTAACCGCCCCAGATGACCCATGTGGTTGGGCTGAGAGGGACAATGACCCCCAGTGGCCCTGGAGCGCTCCTTGGTCTCTGCACGGCCGGGGCTCTAGCACAAGTCTGGGCTGGACACAGCCTTCCAAGCAGGCACGAGGCATGTGGTGCATCCAGCTCTCATGCCGAAGGCTGGGGCAGGGGAGAACTTCAAGTGCAGATGGGACAGAAGGATCCCCTGTCTTCGTGTACCCACTGCCTCTGTGAGCACATGGGCAGAGTGAGGAGCTGAGACCTGGAATGCTGTCTGGCTGGGCTGGGGGCGGGGGTGGTACGTTGGCAGCTGGAGCTAGGAAAGCACACATGAACCAGGAAGGACACGTAGAACAAGCCCCGATTTTCACTCCAAAGTTGTCATAAAGGTTCTTGGAGCTCTGCAGCTGTCATCCTTGCCCTGTAAATCCCTCTGAGGGGTCCCGGGCTGATGTGAGGCAGGTCCCTGAGCACCTGACTTTCCTGGCCTGGGCAGGAAGGACCCAGGCCACTGCACGGTGGGGCAGGCTCGGGGTGGCGAGGGATCCCGGGGAGTAAGGATGTGGGCTTTTACCAGCAAAAGGAGGTGCAGTGTTGGGGGGTGTGCTGGGTGGAGAAAGGGAGGCCACACAGCCACCCCAGCTAGCAGGGTGGGAGTGGGAAGGACAGGTATGCACATTCTGGGAGCTGCTGAAGGGTTTATGCTGATTCTTGGTGTGGGTCGGGTTGCAAAGAAGGCCCCCCACACCTCCATCCTGAGGGTGTCAGCCTGGCAAGGAGAGGCTGGGCTCAGGAGCACAGAGCAGGGCGGCAGGAGTGTTTGTGCCAGGTGCACGCTTACTGAGGGTCGGCAGGCAGGGAAGCTGCTGACCTTGCTGCTGTTGCTCATGGTTCCTCCCCCATCCATTAGGTCTGGCCATTTCTGAGCACCTACAAGAACAGCGTGCAGGTACCTGCTTTTTGTTTCCTTCTGGCTTGCCAGGCAAGCAAGTGGGCAGTCCCTGAGCTGGGACTGGCCCAACAGGGTGGGCTGGGAAAGTGGGCAGGGGTTCCAAATGAGCACGAAGACCATCCACCGGCCCACCACACCTGCAGACAGGGGAGAGGGCAGAGTTCACGCCACTGATGACAGCTGAGTGGGCCGCCAGCCAGTCACATCCCTTCTTGCTCAGGATGTCAGTGAGGATGACCATCCTCCATACGGCTGGTGCAGAGGCAGGGGCGGTGTGGGGCCAGGGTCCTTGCGTTGATGCCCCGATTCTTGCATTGGCTGACAAGGGGTCTGAACTAGGTTAGCAGATCCCAACTGGGCTGATGTTCCAAATCACCTAGGGAGCCTCATCAAAGGCCCTTTAGAGGCCCCTCCTGAGGAGTAGGACCCAGGAATCTGTATTTTTTAGGGCTCTCTAGATGAGTCAGAGAGCCTCTCTGGTCCCTTTCAACCCTGAGATTCTGGGATTCATTCTGTGCCCATAGGGCCATGGGACTCGGCTGCTGTGCAGGGACAGAGCCCCTTCAGCCTCAACCCCCACCTCAGGTAAGCCCCCTACGACACACCAGGACCCAGGGCCCCTCCCCAAGGACTTACACACAGTGGGTTCACTGTGTGTAACTTTTCATACACTGAAGACTTTCATACACTGAGACTTTTCATACACTGGCTAAGGGGCAGTTATGACCAGCGCTTGCTAGGCTGAGTCCCTGCATTGCCCTGTTCTGGCCTGTGGTGGCATCATGCCCAGCGGACACCAAGGTGTCTGGGGCCAGGAGCTCTGTGCCCTCCTCCTTCAGCCCCTCAGACAGAGCACGAGTAGAAGAGCCACGTGAGCTCACTCTTTGGGTGGCCCAGCCCTGTGGCATGGAAAAGCCCAGAGCTGGGGGTGGGCCAGAGAGTCCCAAGAGGAAGCTAGCTCTGGGGGTCACCCGTGTGGCCCCAGGCTCTGCAGCCTGTAGCAGGGCCTGGTAGGTTCCCCGGGCTCTTCAGAAGAGACCTGGGAGGAAGAAAAGGTCTGACATGATTATTCATCAGATGCTTGGTGGGAATTGAGAACCCAGCTGTAAATGCACTGCACCTCATGCCCTACACCTCATCTCGTGGGTCCGGTGCCCATCTGGTTTGCACTCAGGCATGGCTGGCATCTCACGTGTCCACTGGCACTAACATGGTGGGCTCCTACTCTGCCCTCTCTTCATTCCTTCCATCTCTCCACTTTCTCTCTCTCCCTCCCTCCCTCCCTGTACCTCTCTCCCTATAGGTCCAGGATTAGTTTATTGTGTCTCTTATGAGGACACTGTCTTCATCTAACCTCTGTCTCCGTGACACTGTGCACGCCCAGTCCTGAATGGCCCAAATGCACACGCAGATCGTGTTTCTGCTCTCGCTTTGAAGCTAGAAGCACTAGGCTGTGACTGCACCTTCCCTCCTGCAGACTCAAGTGTGTCCACTTGTCTTTCCAGTGCACGCCCTGAGACCCGCAGATATCCAAGTTGTGGCTGCTCTGGGGGATTCTCTGACCGTAAGGACTTTTGGTCCCTGGGTGGGTTGGGGGTGGCTGGGCCAGTTCCAGGTCCCAGTCCTCCTGACAGGCCTGCAGGCCTGTCCTCTGCATTATCTTGCCTTCTCTCCTGGCTCTGTCAATCCAAGAGCATGGCAACAATTTGATTTTGCAGCCACCTTCTCAAGCAGGTGTCCAGGGGAAATCTTTTTCAGGAGTGAACCGAATGGTCTCAGATGGGGGGGTTTGAACACCCAATAATTTTTTTTTTTTTTTTTTTGAAACAGAGTCTCGCTTTGTTGCCCGGGCTAGAGTGAGTGCCGTGGTGTTAGCACAGCTCATAGCAACCTCAAACTCCTGGGCTCAAGCGATCCTTCTGCCTTAGCCTCCTGAGTAGCTGGGATTACAGGCACGTGCCACCATGCCCAGCTGATTTTTTCTATATATATTTTAGTTGTCCAGCTAATTTCTTTCTATTTTTAGTAAAGACGGGGTCTCTCTCTTGCTCAGGCTGGTCTCAAACTCCTGAGCTCAAAGGATCCTCCTGCCTTGGCCTCCCAGAGTGCTAGGATTACAGGCATGAGCCGCCGTTCCCCGCCAACAATTTTTTAACATACACAAAAATATGTCATTTTGCCTCAAAATTCCTCTAAACCTGCCTGCGTGGGTGCTCTTTTCCATTCGGGTTCTGTGCTATGCTCTGCTCACACCCTCGCCTCTGTCGCCTCTTTGCCTCTGCACGGAAAGCAGCAAAGCCCCTCGGTTGTGGATATGAGGCTCTGCTCCTAACTTCCAAGAATCAGGGCTGTTCTACTATCCCAGATCGCCACTTCCCAGCAGCACTTCTAAGGCTTTGAGACTACCTTACAGAATGCTCCAGAGGGAAAGAGGAGAAACGGGAAGTTTATGAGAAATCTGTCCACTGCAGTTGCTCAAGTCAGTGAGCTTATAAAGAACTCGGGAGGATAGTGCCAGGGAGGGTATTAACTAACACTCTCTCACATTCGTAAAGCACTTGAGAGTTGTCAAAGTAGTTTTTACAGCTTTGATCCAGTTTCCTCCCCAAAACACCCCTGTGAGATGAGCCGGGCACGCCCTTAGCACAGGGGGGGAGGCAGCCGAGAGTGGGGCAAGGCACACAGCCGGGATGGACGCCGAAGATGGAGAGCCCAGGGCTCCTGGCTCCGTGAGTGCGCTGGGAACCACCTCGGTGGAAGCCCTGCTCGTTCACAGCCTGCCTTTTCTGTGGCTTGCTGATGTTCCTGTGCGTTTTGCTGTGTTTTCTAAGGCTGGCAGTGGAATCGGCTCGAAACCAGGTGACCTCCTCGATGTCGCCACACAGTATCGGGGACTGTCATTTAGGTAATGTTAATCTTTGACCTTTCCCAGGGTTCATCCTCAGAGATTGGGTGTGGGGAGGAGGTTGTCTCCTGTAAATGCATAAATTGCAAAGATCAAAGACTTGGTCTGGAAGGGGCTTTCAGAAGGAAAACATATATTTCTGTAAGACGTGAACATTTGTTGGGTGGAAAGGATATTTTGTTGATAATCTTTTTTTTTTTTTAATTGTGCAGAGAAAGTAAACACAAGGGTTCTTATCAAACTCCTGGGTCAGCAAATCCAACATGAAATGCACGTGAAAAGCACCAAACCTCTGATTCTTCACTTGTCTGCTTGCATGTATGTGTGCACATGTAGATGCCTCTACGTCTGTTTGCCGTCATGTGTGTTTATTCACGTCATCCTGTCCTCACACCTCCGCCTTTACGTGTGTGTACACATCTGCACAGAAAACCTCCAGAACCCAACGCACGCTTTAGGAGGACATAGTGAGATAAAACTCACGATCAACAGGCGCCCCTGAGCCCCTCCTGTGCACTGGCACACTGCGAGGAGTTAGGGGGTGGGTGAGGGAGGGACAGCAAAGCATAGGCTCAATGGGCAAGTGCTGTTTAAAAACAGAAATACCTGAGCACTACAGGAGTATGGAGGAGGAGTACCCAACCCTGCCACGAGGGACGAGAAGCTTCCCAGAGAAGGTGGTGCCCATGTGTGTTGAAAGATTAGCAGTTAGACAAGAGGAAAGGGGGGGAAAGTGCATCCCCGACGCAGGAGTGGAAAACCCAGGCTGTGTCAGGTAGGCAGTGGCATGTGGTATTCTCGAGTTTCTTTCCTAATAAAGTTTGTGTTTATTGAGACTTCAAAGTAACTGGCGCGTAGCTCAGAGTTTGTTACCTGGGAAAACAACTACAGCAAAGCTGGCCTCGAGGGGGCAGAGTGCTAATGAGAAGTTGGGCGCCAGGAGAACGCCTTTGCCAAATTCACCTGGAGTATCTCCCCTAAGAAAGTGAGAAGGGAGCAGGGTAGGGGTGGCCAGGACAGTGACAGGTCTCTGGCCAGACCTGAGGAGAGTCCAGGTGCTATCACTTAGCCTGTGGCCACCCACAGCAAGGACCCAGGGCATCCATAGGATGAGGACATCGCCACACCCCGAGAGCTGAGCAAATGCCTTCCCAACCCAAGATGCCCACGTTTCCACGCATCTGTGGCCAGGAGGGTGGTCTCTAACAGGCTGCCACACAACAAAATAGAGCCTCCCTTACCACGCTGCCCCTGATGTTACTGAGCCTACAGGAAAAAGAAAGACCAGGGGAGAGAAAGAAAGCAGAGCTTATTACAATCAAGAAAAAAAAGCATGAGGTTGTGGCAGCTGCACTTGGTTTTGGCTAAAGTAGGCAATGACCTCACGCCATAGTGTGGGAAAATAGACAAACCACACAACAGGTGACAGATAAGTTGTACCTGGTGGAGCAACCTGGGGAAGTGAGATGATCTGCCCAACTTTACCGCAGTTCAGCTAGTGGTGGCTGTTATTCAGATACAAACAGGTAATCTTATGCTAAAAGTTTTTCTCTGCAGCAGTGGGGAAATTCAGCCATTGTTCTGTTTCTTCCTACAAGGAAAGTCCATTAAGGCCTAATGGCCGAATCTTCTAGGCCTAACTCCAGGTGGCTGTTAGGACTCACCTTCGGTGGCTGCTGTCACTTTAAAGCCTTTATCCTAAATGTTTTAAACATCTGCCCAAAATGTTAAAGCTGGAAGCTGTAGGTCAGAGTCTGAGAGATAGTTTGACACTTGGTAGAATATATAGACTAGTGTTTTCCCAAAGTATGTTCCGTGGACCATTAACTTCAGATAGGTTCCTGAAGAAGGGAAAATCCTTCGTATTTTTTAAGAAGCATTACTTTATCCTTCCTCTGGGGAAATCACATGCATATTAAAGGCTCTGAGAAGCCCTGCAATGAAGACATCTCTTTAACTTGTATCTGTTTAATCCAGTGTTTTCCTTAATTCCAGAACTTTCTTTGCTCATAATACCTGTTAACATTCCCTGGGAAATGTCCCTGTCATAGTCTCATCTGAGAAAAGCAATTTTTCCAAAGCCAATAAAGCTGCTAGATTAGAAAAACTAGGCAATTATTAAGAATACAGGCTGGTGCAGTGGCACATGCCTGTAATCCTAGTACCCTGGGAGGCCCAGGTGGGAGGATTGCTTAAGGCCAGGAGTTTGAGACCAGCCTGAGCAAGAGTGAGACCCCGTCTCTACAAAAAATAGAAAAGTTAGCCAGTACTGGTGGTGTGCACCTGTAGTCCCGGCTACTCAGGAGGCTGAGGCAGGAGGATCACTTGAGCCCTAGAGTTTGAGGTTGCAGTGAGCTATGATGACGCCACTGCACTCTACCCAGGGCAACAGAGCAAGACTCTGTCTCAAAAAAAAAATTATATATATATATAATGTAATTTGAGTCTCTTTCCTCAAAGAAACAAAGTGGAAAGGACAGACCTTGTGGAGTTAGGGAGAGGTGGATCCAGAATTCTCAGAGGGCAGGTGGCTATGAGCAGGACCCGCAGAGGAGGTTTGGCTGTGAATATTCCAAGGTCTCTTGACCAGTGAGACTATTCTAGTGCCGGTTTCCAGCTTTAGTGAGCTTAACAATGTGGCAGGCCCTGGCTCTTTGGAGCATCGCCTTTCCTTCCATTGAAATAAGTTTGCTTGTTTGGGATCTTTCAAAGGACCAAAATAAAATTTACTTATCAAAAAATGTATTTCTCTGTTTTATTAATTAGTCTCACATTATTGAAACTCCTTCAACAAATGTTATTGAGCATCTACTCCATTTTCTGTACACTGCAGGTAACAACAGATAAAGCTCAGCCATTGAGCTCATGGTGTTATACAAGTTATATTCATCTGAAGGATCTGACATAGACTACCTGTCTCATGTGGATCTGTTTCATGTTTCACATAGTTCTGATTTTAAAAATGAGGATTTAAATATTTTTGCTCTTTCATATTTGTATGAAATTTGAAATTTTGAAATATGAAATTTGAAAATTTCATACAAATATGAAAGAGTTTCTCTTAGAAACTTTCACTCTAAAATGAAGTCGGAGACATTTTCATAGCTTATGAAGTCGGAGACATTTTCATAGCTTATTCATCTTGATCAACCACTATACTTGTTTTAAAACAAAGATACTTTTAAACAAGAAATGACAATAGGAAGTACTTAATGTGTGTGTTTACATATGTCTCTGTGTTTATGTTAAAGCTTATATTTTTATTAAAGGAGAAAGGAGGCAGAGTTAGAATCCAGTGATTGGAGGAGAGGTACAGATTTATAGTTTCCTTTAAAATGTAAAATGTTCTGATTTGGTGACATTAGTCCAAGAAAGAAGGATGTGGAAGCAGCTAACAGCAGCTTTGTGCAGAGTTGGGAGAGAACCAGAAGCTCAAACAAATGCCCAAACCCTGGGCGCGTTAGGTTCAGACATGTGCTGAAATGGGGCAGGACTCACTCCAGCTGCTTCGTCTCCACCACCTGGGATGCTTGCTGAGTCTCTGACTCAAGCCCTGGCCCAGGCTGGCATGGAGCTGTCAACTGCATTCCAAGCATTCCATGAACAAAGAAACAAGTGGGACTGATTCATGACCTGTCCTTTAGAAGTCTCAGCTAAGGGACTGGATGCTAAGGCTGTGTTCTTAAAATCTACTGGCTTTAGAATAATCTGGAATTGAGGACGGGTACAGAAGCAAAATAACAGTAAATACTATATATGTAAACATCAGATTTTGTTAGATAGAAATACTTCTTCCTTCCTCTATGTTGTACCCAATTTAAACTGATAAGAACAGATACTACACACGATCTTAGCCAGGAGGCCAAGAAGCCATATGTTGCACTTGATTTAAATTCATGAAAGGAAACAAAATCTTTAGAGTATGCGCTTGAGGTTAGATTACATGAAAATTAGATGGGGCATCGCAAGGCAGTGTGAGGCCATACACACCCCACCCCCCAGAACATTCCATCAGAATTTGCCCGACTTCTGATCGACTGTTGAAGATCTTATCTGTTTTCTAAAGGTTTCCAGCTCAAACTGGGTTTTAGTTGCCTTTAGCAATCTAATTAACCTCTGTGTACCTCAGTTTCTTACTCTGTAAAGTGGAGATAGTCACATCAATGTCATAAGCTTGTTGAGATATAACTAATATGGAGAATCTAGTCCATGGCTGGGACTATACTCAGCTAAGTGTCCTCCCTCTTGATCCGATGAACAAAAACAGCTCTCTTGCCTTCAAATGCTGGATTTGAGGGAAAACAACCTGTTGGGGAATTCAAAATTTTCTCAGGATTCCTAAAACACAAAGAGATGGGTCTGGCACCTCGAGAAGGTGCTGCCAGGCACCGAGAAAGGCAGGAGCTGCTCTTTTGTAAAGCTTGTGTATTAACTTAATCAATTTCTCTCACTCTCTGGCTTGCTCACTCCCTACAGTTCAGGAGGGGACGGCTCCCTGGAGAATGTGACCACCTTACCTAGTGAGTAGCCACCAGGGGCTTGAGTCTGTCTACTCCTTCCATCTGACCCCCAGGGCCTCCCAGCTAAGGAGCAAACGTCACCTCCCTATGGATGTCTGTTAAAGTAGGAGGGGCAGACTGTGGACAGACGGCCAAAGGGGATGGAATAAATACTCAACTTGGAACCTGGAGACCTGGTTCAAGCCCTGGCCCTTCTATGTGTTGATCAGGTGACCCAGAGCAAATTACCAAACATTCTAAGCCTCAGGTTCTTCCAGTTGGCCCAGGGAGTGCTGAGATAAAGTAGATAGTAACCCTTCACTGCACTGTGGATTATGTAAAAAATATATGTATATTTTTTTATGTGAAAGTAAAAGGCTTTTATTGCCTTGACCTACCCTGTCAACATGTCATTTCAATGCAGAGAGGCTCCACCTTCTGTCGGGCACACACTGCCTCCCTGCCTCTCCCCAGGAAGCTTGAGGACAATAATAACACAGCCCACTCTGGCGACCTTAGACCCACAGTACCAGAGAAGACATCCTGGACTTCTGTCCTGAGCTCTCTGTGTCCTGTTCATCCCCTCCTCTTCCAGATATCCTTCGTGAGTTTAACAGAGACCTGACAGGCTACGCGGTGGGCACGGGCCATGCCAATGACACGAATGCGTTCTTCAATCAAGCTGTGCCCGGAGCGAAGGCTGAGTATGGCGTTTGGGGAGGGGCCTGCAGGGTAGGCGGGGAGAGACACATAGCCCCCCCACCCAAGATCACAAAACCGACCTCTGTGTGCAAAGGGGACCTTATCCATTTGCAGCGATGATTTGAGAGACTCGGGCCACCCCTCCTCCCTGCCGCTCCTGTGACTAAGTCGTCATGGGAGGCTAGACAGGCTGTGGCCTTGGAAAGGTGTGACGCCCCTGCAGGTCCAACTCCTGGCCTTGCTTTCACGTGCAGCATGATCCAATGATTGGGCTAACTTTACTGGATTCTTAGAACTTGCCACAGCGTAACTATGCAAAAGAGAGCCACCCTCCCAAGAACCTCACAAGTGGCAACTCCCCGCAAAATCGGGGAGGGGCCAAATGGACAGGCAGGCTTTCTGGCTTCAGAGGCCTCTGCAGCAACAAGTCATGTCCTCTCCCCGTTATGGCGCTGACAAGAGAGGGAGGGGGGACCCCAGCATCCTGGGACGGTCTCCTCACACCATGCAGCAGCTGGCTCAGCCTCCTGAGCTTGTGTCACGCTGTGATCTTGTTCAGGCCACACCCTTCTGGATGATGGGTATGGCCCCCAGACCTGCTCACTCAGCCTGGAGAGACTCTTCCTGGTAATAGAAACAGCTTGGGACAGATGGCCCTACTGCCATGTCCTGAGAGAGCACTGTGCTGTGGATCTATCCGACCTAGGCTTGTAATGGGGGCCCGAACAAGTGGGGAGCTCAGGTGCCTGACATCTATTCTTGCCATGCGTTATAAGCCAAGACATGTGCAGAGAATATACTTATTCCTACCTCTTTCTGAAAGCAGCATCTAGATAAATTTACCAAAAATAACACAAATAACAGATACACAAGAGAAAAATCACAGCCATTGGGGGACACAAAGAAGAAGCAACTGCATCAATATGAACATTTTCGGGGTTATTATGTTTGAGTATCAAACCCTCAGCTTCCTGGCAGCCAGGGCAAAAAGAGGAAGCATGTTAAATTCATGTTAATTGAAGTCTAATTTCGGGATCTAGACTAGTCTTCCAAAATTGAGGAATGGTTTCTTACCTTGAAACCCTAAAAGACCTTTTCGATGTGGGGTCCTAGAAGGAGACCATGAGCAACAGATATAGTTGGCAGTTACTGTTAACTACAGCCTTAGGACAGACGCGATTGGCTTTTCAAATGATTATTTGTTGTAATAACTCTCCAGAAGAGGTAAGGAGCTCCTGCTCTCTGAGCCTCAGGGTCTCTGCCAGCTCATGCACTGGGATGATGCCATAGAAGCCTCTAGTTCAGGCCCTTTAGGAGGAAAATTATGGACACTACTCAACAGAAAGACTGGTTTTCTCTTTTTCTCAGGAATCTTTCGAGTCAAGCCTGGACTGTGGTGCAGAAGATGAAAGATGACCATGTGAGTCAGATTGATGGTTATTTCTAAACATTTTCTAACCCACTAAAGTCCCAAATGGAATGGCCCATGACGAGAAGCTGTGAGTCACCTGTCATTAGAGGCATTCAAGCAGTGGCAGGGCAGCCCCGTCAGAGGTCCTCTGGAGGAGATGATGCCCATGGGGAGAGGATTGTTGCTGGTCGTAATGACCTCGCAAGTCCCCCCAATACGAAGATTCTGTGGTCCAAAAATAAACCTCTAAAATTCCTTCAGCTCTGAGATTCTGATTCTATTATTTCAAGTGAGCAAGGAAGTCCTAGAGGGTTGAATGGATTCCCTAGAGCTGTGATGTTTCCGTGTGTTTGTTGGAATTATCAAGCATTTTCTTCTCTCCATGTAGAGAGTAAATTTCTACCAAGACTGGAAGGTCATCACCGTGCTGATCGGAGGCAACGATTTGTGTGACTTCTGCACAGATTCGGTAATGGGGGCCGGTCCCAGGTTACTCATTATTCCTGACTTTGCCGGGTCAGGAACAATGGACCTGTTTCTGAGAACAGGAAGATCCTCTCTGAGAACAATTCCTAGAACCAGCCCCAGGATTATCCAGCTGCACCTATGTCTACACACATACGCGCACAACTCTCGAGCGCACACGTCTCACCCCGCACCCCTCAGGTCCTGGGCACCATTTCCATGTCGCAGGTGGTAAGGTAGCAGGTGGCAGATGTATGGTGCCTCTACTGTCTGATGACCACTGAGGAAGAGAAGAAACTGTAGACCCCAAGCAGTTGGAAAGAGGGCTCTCCGCTCTCTGCTCCCGAACTGAAGCTCTGGATGAGTTTCCGTTCTTCTGTCTGGCCCGCCTTTGACAACAGCGATAGTCGACTGTCCCTCTCAGATTTGGTCACAGGTGGAGGCCAGAGGGAGAGCAAGTCCTTGGGGCCAGAAGGGACACCTATAAGTGCCCCAGCAGCCTCTCACCCTAACCAGTTCCTCTTCTCCTTCCTGTCTCTTTCCAGAATCTGTATTCTGCAGACAACTTTTTTGACCGTCTCCGCAATGCCTTGGACATCCTACATAGAGAGGTGGGTGGGGGCTCCCACAGCTGGGCGCAGCTCAAGAGTGGTGAGGGCAAAGGTGGAGGGAGGAGAGGATGGTGGCAGTACCTCCTCCCCTTAAGGAGAGAGCCAGGGACAGGGCTCCTTCCCTTTCCAAAGGTTGGGGTCTACCCCCAAGGAAGCCTCATTCCATTTGGAACCAGCCCAGAAAGATCTCAGGTTTGAAGAAGGGAAGGCAGTGTATTGCCTAATTGTACCCCCTCCACTACCCGGGACATTTCTTGGTGGCAGCAGCCAGGTGGCCCCCAGCTGGACACTGCATTGTGAGCCACAGGGTGTGTCTAGAGCAAACTTCTGTCTGGTCCTGCACCCAGCAATGTGTCTACCTGCTGCCACCACCATCCCTGGTGAGCACAAGCTGCACTGCTGCCCAGGAGGGAGCATGCTGACCACCAGTGCTCTGCGGCATGGCTGAGTCCCCACGCCAGCTCAGGAGAGATAGGTCAGAGTGGTCTGGAAGTAACTGGTCATGGGCTAATGGCCTGGCAAGCAGGTCACCTTCTTACCAAATTTAAAGCTAACATATTTGGGCTCACTAAATGATGGCTTAATTGAGCGACCTCTTAGCATTAATTGTCCCCCTCCAGGAGCTGCCTTTCCCACAGCAGCCCACGTGGGTGGCACTCAGTGGGATTGCGTGATGCACAGCCTGCAGGGCCCCACATGGCAGCCCTGTACAGACTCCTGCCCAAAACTCAACTCGGGACAGACTGAGCTGGGGTTCTAAAGGGACCCTCTGGCCAGTTCCCACTTCTCAGATCCCTGAGGTAGCAGCCTGAGGAAGAAGCCCCTGGAGCCCCTCTCTCATCTGCAGCCTTGCCCTTAGGTGCCCAGAGCCCTGGTCAACCTCGTGGACCTCATGGACCCCAGTGTCATCCGTCAGGTGTTCCTGGGAAACCCAGACAAATGCCCAGTGCAGCAGGCCAGGTAGGCTGGTCCCAGCTCACCCCAGGCTGGATGCCCTCTCCTCGCCTCCTGGTCTGGCCCACATGCAGCAGTGACTCCCCAGGGTCTGGGTGACTTTGTGTGTCCACACGTTCAAGTCTATAAAGGAGGGCTTGAGCCAGAACCATGCCCTTCTGGAAGGTTGGAGCTGAGATTCCCCCTTGACTCCCCCTCAGGTGATCTCAATGTGCCAGGCAGGACCTTCTGCGACACAGGGGAGCAGTAGAGGGGAGAGGTTGAGGCTGGGACAAGGCTGGTAGCCTGGACTGTGAGCAGGGGCCACCTATAGGGTTATATACACATGTGGCCAGACTGCACCAGAAAGCAAGGAGAGGAGACACAGGGTTCAGTTACCTTTATGGGGGAAGAAGAGAATTGGGAGGGGCACAAGAAACTACAAACTGGGAACATTTTGTTTCTTAAACTGGGTGATAGTTACATGGGTGTGTGCTTTATTAGTTATATTTAAACATGCACTTATTTATTTAACAAATCTTACAGAACTTACTGTGTACCAGGCACTGTTTTAAATGCTTTAATCTCTCTTTTAACAGTAAGTGCATTTTGTGGCTGCGAAATAACTCACGATAACGGGACACAGTAGGGCACTAGTGTGAAAGGAGGAGGGGTCCGAGGGCGCGAGCACCAGAGGCCCCAAAATACCAGCTGCAATACCAGAGGGTGCATTTCATATTATTTTTTAACTGGACAGTGAACTTTCATCGCCTAAATTCATTTGCTCGTTGTAGACTGTTGCAGGCCAGCACCTGCCGACCAGTCCCTGTCTGTGCTAACATGAGACGGTCTCACTCACACCAGGTTCCCCCCTGGAGCTTTCCCCAGCACCCATGCCAGGCCTCAAACCCCCCACCCCGAGCACGTGTCTCAGAGCCTCAGGCACGTGCTCCCCAAGCAGGGCTCCAGGGGGAGCCGCTCCTCCCCACCCCACCCAGGCAGCCAGGACCAGCCCCTGACCAGAGCTTCTGCTCCAGGTGCCCCTGCCTCCCTCTCTTTGTGCAGCGTTTTGTGTAACTGCGTTCTGACCCCGCGGGAGAACTCCCAAGAGCTGGCCAGGTTGGAGGCCTTCACCAGAGCCTACAAGGTGAGACCCAGAAGGGCACCATTCTGTGTCCTCTCCCCATGACTAGCACACACGGCCCAAAACCCCACTGGGGGTGAACGCAGGGAAAGAAGAGCTATTCAGGGCTTGTGGGGAGACATCACCCACCCTGGGTCCCTTCCTCTGTCCTACCTGGCTGAGGGGCCTCAGGTGTCCCCGTTGGAGTCATCCCAGTGGGATCCAGGTAGCAAAGGCCTTGTTCCCGAGCTACCCTGGGGGGCTTCACCCCAGCTCCTGGCCAGTAGCCCTGCATGCCCCATGAGACTGCCTTGCCTTACTCTGTCCCCTGGAAGCCCAGCTGCCCCCCTTACCCCGACCCTCACACTCCCACCTGCATCCAAAGGCAGCCCATAGAGGGGACATTGCAGGTCTGGAGCCTGGGGTCCTCCGGGGACTCTCCCCAGGTTTTCCGTCCTTGTGGGACTTCCCGTCTAACCCTCAGAGATTTCCATCCACTTAAAACCAAAACAAAAAGGTGGCTCAACCTGTTTCTAAATTCTCTGGAAAGGGATTCGTCATCAGGTGTGTTTGTGTTCTCAAGGGAAGAGCAGGGTTGGCCCCGTGTCCAGGAGATGTGGGGGCCAGGACACTGCCCACCATCCCTGCCCTTGCCCCACTGGGCACACAGCCCACTCAGGGTCTGCGCTGACTGTCCCGTGCCTGTCCCCAGAGCAGCATGCGGGAGCTGGTGGAGTCAGGCCGCTACGACACGCGGGAGGACTTCTCCGTGGTGCTGCAGCCCTTCTTCCACAGCGTCCTGCTGCCCGTCCTGGCGGTACGTCCTCTAGCCCCACCCGTGGGGCTTCTGCCAGGGGAGCAGAGGAGGAAACTCAAGGCAGAAATACCAAGCGCTTCCACCTGCGAATAAAAGGGGGACGACAGAGCTCCCATCTCCAGACGCTGTTCTGGCTAGTGCAGCCTCCTTGAATGGCCGAGCTGTGTTCCCAGAGGCAGCCAGATGTGGGCGTTCCCATTACTCCCGATAGCAGCCCCCACTGTAGTGAGCACCTGTTTCGCGCCAGGCAATGGGCTTCCCGTAGACAAACCATCGCAACTACCTTTGGAGATATTATCACCTGCATAGGACAGAGGTGCAGAGACATGAAGTATACTTACTAAGATCATAAAGGAAGGCCAGGCGTGGTGACTCATGCCTATAATCCTAGCACTCTGGGAGGCTGAGGCAGGAGGATTGCTTGAGCTCAGAAGTTCAAGACCAGCCTGAACAAGAGTGAAACCCCCGTCTCCACTAAAAATAGAAAGAAATTAATTGGCCAACTAAAAATACATAGAAAAAATTAGCCGAGCATGGTGGTGCATGCCTGTAGTCCCAGCTACGCGGGAGGCTGAGGGAGAAGGATTGCGTTAGCCTAGGAGTTTGAGGTTGCTGTGAGCTAGGCTGATGCCACGGCACTCTAGCTTGAGCAACACAGTGAGACTCTGTCTCAAAAAAAAGATCATATGGGAAATAACAGCCAGCCAATAGTTGAACACTCCCAACTCCAGATTAACTTTCTGCCACACCTGGTCTTACTGCATGCGACGCTGCAGTTATAAAAAAGAGTTTTGGGTATTGTCTGTTTCACCCCGGCCATACTGTCTGCCTGGCACTTCTACTCTGAGCAGGTCTGTGAGTGAACCAGGTGAGGACTGGCGTCTGTGCCCCAGGGCCTCCATCCCACGGGCCTCACTGACCTTAGAGGGACAGCAGCTTCGTGTACCCCCAAGTGCCTAAATAGGGGAGAGGCTGGAGACAGAACACCCTGCCTGGGTTTCAGCTCTGCCCAGCCCTGCCCCGAGGCCTGGCTGTGGTCCCCGCACCAGGACCAGCAGGCTGGGAAGGAGCTTTGCCCTGCTGGCTGGCCAAGGCTCTCTCAGGGATGAGCGTCTCTCTCTGTCATCCATGGCATGGGCATTATGTGAATGTGCCTGAAAATAAATATAGCACATTATTTTTTATTACATAAGGGGGAATTGTGGGGTCAGAAAGCATGGTGGGGAGTTGGGATCACCCAAAGCTACTTATTTGTGGAATAGCTCTGATCTCCCTCTTAAGGGGAGTGGGCCCTGGAGGGGCCAGTGACTGGGAGCACTCCTGGGAGGAGGCTGCGTCGTGGGCAGTCCCGGGGCCACGTTACTTGGCCATGCCTCCCTCTGGACCAATAGGATCCTGAAGAAATATATTTGTCTCTTTCAGGACGGGCGCCCGGATACATCCTTCTTCGCCCCAGACTGCATCCACCTGAGTCAGAAGTTCCACTCCCAGCTCTCCAGGGCCCTTTGGGTCAATATGGTAAAATAAGTGGGGTCTCCCTGGGTCCCTGGGGTTCTAGTCTAGAGCAAAGCACCAGCCCCTGTGGAATGGAGCCTTGCTCTTGGCTTCCCTTTGCAGCAAGGCTGAGAGGAGCAGTGGCTGGCACATCTGTAGAAGGCCATAGAATTGGACATACAGAGTCCCTAAGAGTCAGTCCACTCAGCCTGCGTTCCACGCACCCTCTCCTCAGTGCTCTGAACCACCAGGAGGGATACTCTACACAGGAATATGAGGCAGAAACCCCACATCCATTCGCTATTTCCTATGCTGGACAGTTTAAGCCACGTTATCTCATTTAAGCCTCTCTACAGCCCTGCTTGGGATGGGCTATGAGTCTCTGAGGAAGGTGACTCCCGGAGAAGCTAAGCAACTGGCCCCATGTCCCCCAGCTGGCAGCGGCCAGAGCCAGGGATGGACGCAAAACCCTCTGAATCAGTTCCCAGCTTTCCCCACGGGACGCAGCTTAGGGAATGTTCATTTCAGGGGAAACAGATGAGCACAGCCACGGCTCTCTTTTCTTCCTGATCAGTTGGAACCACTCGGAAGCAAAGTGGACACCCTGAACCTGGCAGCAGAGATCCCCCTCACCTGCCCCACGCAGGTAAGAGGTTCCTCTCCAGAAACCCGGTGCAGAGCTCGGCCTCCTCCTCCACAGCCTCCTGTGCCCACCTCGACCCTGTACCGAGCCGTGAGGATGGACTTTGGAGGACGCAGGGGGAGGGAGTGCGGCAGCTGTTATTTCTCTGGGGATGAGGGAGGCGCCTGGGGGAGGGTCCTGGGGAGACAGGCAGGTTCAGGACAGTGGCATCCAAGCAGCCAGAAGCCTGGCAGGAAGGCTCACTTTTGCAGCGGAGTTTGGGGCTGATGGAAAAGCCCGACTGCAGGCTGAAGGCCTAGCAAGCCACCAGGCAGGCCCAGAAGCTGGGATTCAAGGTGGTAGAGCCCAGACTGGGGAGATTCCATGAGGAGAGGGTCACAGAGGGGAGCCAGCAAAGGGCACAGCCCAGAGCGCGTGGAGGAGGGACCCAGAGGACGGGCCTTTGAGGACATAGCAGCTCAGGGCTCCTTTTAAGGAGGAATATGTGAGTGGTGTTAAGCTCCATTTCGGGCCTCGGGGTGGGGGCAGGTTCACGTTCCCATCGCCTCCAGCTCTGTTTCTTGGTCCTGTCTTATGGCTTTTTAACCAAATAAGGCCTAAGGCCAGAGAGCCCTCTGCGGCAATAAAAGCAGAGGGCCTGACCCATCTGGGAGGCTGGGTTTCCCTCCGGGGTGGGCTGTGTCACCCTTTCCCACCCTGCTGGCTGGGGAATGGGCCTGCAGCTCCCCCGTGTGTCTGCTGGGGCCCCTGGGAGAGTGGGTGCACCTGCCCACTCCCTGCCTGCTGCCCTCCCCACCCCAGGCTGTCTTGTGTCCCACCAACCTCATCAGGAGAACATGATGGCAGGAAGAGGGATGGGGACGTGAAGATAGTGGTCGCAGAGGGCTCTGTTTCTGGATCTAGCACTTGGAGCAAAGGAGATAGATTACAGGACAACAGCACAACGTGGATGCCTCAAGGCACGATGGTCAGATGCTGGCCAAGGGGTTGGGATGAGGCCCTAGGGCCCCTACTGTGCCAAGTGTGAACCCTTTATCTGCCATATCCTGAGGATGCCCAGGGAGTTCCAGGGGAGGAGCTGGGGCAACTTTTAGGTAGTGGGGGCATTTGGAGACTCAGAGCAGTGGCTGTAAACCATACTGCAGATATTTCAATATTTTAACAACCCGTATGGCCACACTGAGTATCAGCCGTGGGGGGTCCTCTCCACACTGCCCGCTCCCCATCTGTTACACCCTAAAAGTAATAATCTGACCAGCAGCCATAGTTTGCTCTTTCTCCCATCAAGCATGTATTAAGGACAGAGTTAGAGCCTGGGGACTGGGTCAGGGAGAGCCCTGTCACCATTGAGGCAGCCTCTGCCACTCTCCGCCCCCCACCAGGCAGGGAGCCCCAAATGGATGATGTTCCACCCAGCATCTCCAGCCACAATGGGCTCAGCTCCTCCCTTCCGCACAGAGCCCGCTGTAGCCACTCGTGAGCATGGAGAGCAAACCCAGCCTCCTGGAACCCAGAGCCCAGCCCGGGAGAAGCTGTTGCTAAGCAACCCTGGAGCCATTCTAAAAGGGTCCATCTGCTGGCCAGCCCAACTTCACTGCATTCTGAGCATCCTGTGTTCCTCAGGCCCCATCTGCTCCCTCCCATGTGCCTTGGAGTGATATAAAAGTCCACCAGCATCTCGGTGTGAGCAGACAGGGGCCAGGCAGTACATATTTTTGTCCTAGATGTGTCTAAACATAGAGGTAACAGGCGACAGGCAGGATGTGGTGGGGGAGGGGGCCATGAGATGGATGTGAGCACCGAGGAGCTTTCTCAGCCTCCTCCCTTCTCCCCCTCACCCCTAAACTGCCAGTACTTTCTGCGTGCCGGGTAGGGCAACCTAACCTGACTCTGTGGATTTCTGTTGTACGTTGGAAAATTATTTTACAGCCAGATTTTGATCATTTTAATTTATATTTTATCACTGCTCTGTGGACTAGGCCTGTTCTTCCTCTCCAGCCTTATTCGGCTCTCTGCCCAATCCTTCCCTGACCCCAGGGCAGCCTGTGGAACCAATGTCTGCAACACCAGCCTGGTCCTTTTTCAGCCTTTATTCTTCTTGACCTCTTGGGGGCGTTTGTCCAAGCTAACCTCCTCCTCCTGCTGGAAACTCATTCCTCCCTGGCTTTGTGGCCACTAAGCCACCTGGACCCTTCTAGTTTCTTTTAATGAGCCTCTTTCCTTCTCTCAATTTTGAAAATGTGGACATTCTGGAACCTTCGTGTTTCAGTCCTGTTTCCCTCCCCACACCCCTCTATCCATTTCCAGGATTTCCTGTGAAATCTCTTTGCCCTGGAGTTCTCAGTCTCTTAATCTAACTCTTAAAATACATTTGCCCTTGGAAGCTCTGTATGGTGTAAGGTTACCCAAAAGGCAGATTGACTGTATGGTCAGGGATGCCAGAGAAAGAAGGGGGTGGCTGAAATGGTTTCGTGTATTGCATCCTGCCTTTTCTCGTGAGAAAAAGCAGACATTTGTTGAGTTCCCTTAAACTTACTTCATTGTCGAGCAACATTTCTATATTGAATTACATACAGGAGACAGTATTATCTTTTTAATGCTCAGAGCTTCTAAATCTAATCCTGCCCTAACCCCACCACTGCCTCAAACTCAACAAACATTCATTTGAAAAATAAATTTTTGAGCAAGGAATGTCTAAATAAGAACTAAATATTTGTCTTTCCAAACTTGCTGGTCCCAAGGACTTCCCTGTTTCTTTGAACTTATTGTGGTTTTCAAGTTCTACAGGCAAGAAAAGTCAGTGCCCTAGCTGATGGGACTCTCCCCACAGTCCCCCGCCGCGCCCACCTGCCCTCTTCCCATTCCCACTGCCACCACCGGGGCTCAGATCCCCGTCACTGTGTGTGTTAAAGGTTAACTAGTCCCACCTCCCTATCGTAACACAACAGAGAAGTATATAACCTTAGGATCTCAGTGGAGAGGGGCTCAGACCTCTATGTGTGCAATGTCTCATGTAACAGTGGAATCTTGTACCACGTCCCACCCAAGGCATGCCTGCAGCCTCTGCTTAAGTGTCTATGCTCTCTTAAGTGAGCTTTTCAAACTGCCAAGTGGCCACCTGCTAACAGGTTGAGAAATCAACGCAGGTGAAGAACCAGCGCTGTTTGAATGGAATGGGGTAGAAAATACCACAAAGTCCTGTCCCTCCTGCTGCCACTACTGTGAGCCTTCTCAGCCACTTACTGCAGACATGACTGCCATCCCCGGCTCACATAGGTGTCTCTCCTCGGAACGTGGCCCCCTTACATTGGTGACTGTAACCCAGTTGGATCCAACCAGCACGGCACAGAAGCAATCCCCTCCTTCCCTCTGGAGCGTTTCACCTAGTAATGCAGCCAGGATGCTCGTGACCTTGTCCCACGGCCACTGACTCACGTTGCTGACTCTCATCAGGTAGCTGTCTGGGCCCTGCCTCCCCAGACAGTCCCCACGGTCTGTGCACAGCTGGAACTACCAGAACAGTTCCTTGTATTGGCACTCGGTTGGCTTCACACTCTGCTTGCTGGTGTCCCAGACCTAGCCGTCAAGAGCCGGTCAGACCAAACTGAATCCCTCTCGCATGTAATCTGCCTGACTCTGGGCCTTTAAACCGTTCTGACTCAGGCCTGCACCAAGCGCTCATGTTCCATAAACCCGGCTGGAAACAAGCCCCAGGCACCCCAGCCTGCCTGTCTGTGGCCACCCTAGACGGTTCTCATTGTTCCTCTCTCCCCTCTGTGTTCAAGGGTTCCCTTGACCCCATAGCTTTGTCTCCTCTCCTCCAACCCATGGATCCTATGATCAAATAATTGGATGAAATAGACAGTCCAGGTTGACTCTCAGCATCCCCAAAAGGGCAGGCTTTGTCTCTGCCCTCTGGTTGTTCCCATGCCGGTCACTCTGGGACTAGCTCCAGCCCCTGGACTCTAAGCCCAGTCAGGACTCCTTTGAAGTGGGGGGAGGATAATAACTAGCATCTCCCACCCCCCGTCTTGTCTCTGAGGACCACAGATCTCGGATCTTGCCGCAGTTCCTCAGCAACATCTGCACTTGCTGGACACTCTATTCCTGGGTGCTTTTCCCAGCTGTCTTGCGCCTGACCGGGGTGGGAACCTCTTTGCATCCTCCCTCATCCTGGCACTAGGACAGTGCTCAGGTATTTACAGAATGTCCCAGACTGCCCCATCTGATGGCAAATGCTTAGGGATGCTGAACATTAATCTGAGACGGGCCCAGTTAGCCACGTAGACGTGCCATGAGCCTGCTCCTGTCTTACCTGCGTAGACTGTCTAGGGCTCACTTCCTGCCCTTGGGCCTGGGTGCTGCTCCATGAAAAAGGATGTCCCATTTCAGACAGGAATCTTGAGACTCAGAGGGAAGGGCAGACTTGCTAGGGGCTGAGAGCTTTGTGCATGTGCACTTTGTCCTCCCACTGACTGTTGAGTCCCCTCTTCCTCTCTCTCTTTGACCAACAGGGTCTGTTGGCCTGACTCCAGTGTGAGGAACGGACCCAGGCAGGAGGCCAGAGAGGTCTGGCCCCAGCTCTGCACTCACCACTTGTTCTCTAACCTGGGACAGGGCCCTTCCCCACTCCGGGCTTCAGTTGTTCCTCATCTGTAAAGTGAGGGCATTTGGGTGTTGCAAAGTCTACAGTGCAGGCAGGAACATGATTGTGTGCATGGGATCAGGCAGGAGGCGAGAGGAAGTGGTATGGCCAGAACTGGAGAGAGCACACCCTCTACAAGCATTAGGAGATTCTCTCCCTCCTCCCGCTTGCCTTCCTCCTCCCCCTTGTCTCCCTCCCCTTTCTCTCCCTCCTCCCCCTTCTCTCCCTCCTCCTCCACCACATGGGCCAAAATAAAGTAAAAGAAAACATCTCCTTGTCATGTTCAGCCCATGGATGGTTGGTTTTCAACCCCTAGAATTGATCTCTAAAGAGCCTTCTCCCAAAATTCCGGTTTTCTCTTTTTATTCCCATTTTATTTCCAAATTTTCAGAGTCTGGCCTTTCTCTTCCACTGAGCATGTTGCGTGAGAGTGTTCACAGCCCTGGGCCTGTTTCCTGACCTCAGGCCTATCGCTGTGATCTTGCTTCACAATCATCTTCCCATTTAGCTCGCTTTCTCTCTGCTTCTCCTTTGTCTACTTCCTTCTTCGATTAACCATCACCTGCAACTGGGTGAACATGGTTTCTTGACTGGGCTTGTGTGAAACTGATTGTGAAATAGACAGGTGCGTAGGGAACAAAGAAGATGTTTCAGAAGGGAGAAAAAAGACCAAAACATAAGAAGACAACCTAAACGGGAGAAGACACATAGTTCAAAGGAGGCAGAAAAGAAAAAAACAGACACAATATATTTTTATCAATAAAAATATATTGATAATTGTAACATTTCCTGGAAGAGGAGAAAAATGCTGAAATGTGAATCCATTGCCAGAGAAATTACAAAGGAAAGAAAATAGATAAGTTTGAGGATTAGGGATGTGTTCAAAATTGCCAGGATGAAAGCGAAAGCACAGAGCCCAGACTAGAATACAGATGGAACCTTTCATAACCTTTATTGTACGTCCCTTGCCAAAGCTGTTATGTAAAACCCTCTAGGGGAATGAATGAAATTATGTTTGTACAATTCTTTCTATTTAAGTGCAGGAGAATCATGTTAAATAAATTGAGAGGGCAGAATTGTTAGTTCTCATCTTTCCTAAGCAAACTTCAATGCTGTCAGATAACTTCTCCTTGTGGTTTATTTTCTCTTTTAGAATGAGCCCTTCCTGAGAACCTTCCGGAACAGTAACTACACATACCCCACCAAGCCAGCCATTGAGGTAACCCCTGACTTACATCTGGCTCTCTCAGACACAGACCATTGCCACCTGCCAGGACGTGGGGCGTGGTGCAGGGCTCAGAGCATTAGCCGGAGCAGAAATGACCCTTCTTACGTACCAGGGATTGGAATGTACAGAAAGGCTCCGAACCACGGAGCCCAGGATTATCCTAACATGTTCTCAAGTTGCTTACCTGACGTCAGCAGCCAGCCAGAGGAAGTGCCTGTGGATCAGTTTTCTTTGACCTTTGCACCCTTTGCTCACCGGCAAGGTTTCAGATGGGATAGCTCAGCCTTTCAAGGAGAGAGGAGGGGGGGGGAGGCAGTGGGGCTGATGTTCTGTCGACTTCCTGGAAGGAGGAAGCTGAGTGGGGAGGAACTTCACTTCCAGGGGCTGGGATCGAAAGAAAGCTGAGGCATATTCACGTGGGCTCACAGGCCTTGTCTGGTTCAGTTAATCATTCTAGCTCTGAGGATGCAGGGCCCGTGGCTTTAGAGACCGCTACTCCCAAGATGGCCTTGGAGGGACCTGGACTCCACCAAGCCTTGCAGGCAGGCCTCGTCTCAGGTCTGCTGGCCACAGGACAGGGGCTCGGCCACCAGTTTCGGTTTTATACCTGTGGTCTGTCTAGTCTTGTGCTTGGGGCTGGAGGGGATTAGATGTGGTCCTGACCCCAGGAATTAAGAGCCTATTATAGTTCCATGACTAATGAGCACCTACTGTGTGCCAGAGACTATTTCAGGGCGATAGAACAGAAAACCAGACAGACAGATGGGTCCCAGTCCTCACGGAGCTTCCACTCTACTGATAAATAATCTAAACATGATCACTTCAGTTGCGATGGCAGCTCTGAGGAGGTAATATGAGAAAGGGTGCTGGGGCTGAGGGAAGCTGGCCGCTGGGATGCACTGTGCAGGCCAGGCCTCTCTGAGGGAGATTTGAGCTGAGATATGCACAATAAAAAGACACAGCGGCATGGGGAGCCTGAAACAGAGGATCAGGGAGTACAAAGGCTCGGAAGTGGGGTTGAGTTGGGTATAGTTGAGGAAGAAAGAGAAGGTCAGAGTGGCCATGTGAATGAGGTGGAGAGTGGGAGAGCTGAGATGAGAGGGGTGCCCAGGGGCCAGGTCACAGAGAGCCTGAACCCCTGAGTAACAGGCTAGATCCAGGTGGAGGGAGGCAGGAAGCCACTGGAGTGTTTAGGAGAGAGAGACATGATCTGGTTCACATCTCTGTGAAAGCTCTCCCTGGCTGCTGTGTGCAGGACACTCTGGAGGTCAGCAGGAGTGGCTGGGAAAGGCCTCTTGTAAGCCAGCTGAAGAGACTGACCTGTATGAGATGATCAAAGCACTGTCCGATGCCAGGCTCGGGGGTATGAGCAGTAACAGCTTCCTGGCTGGGGCTATGCCGTCTCTAGCCTCTCTGGAGTCTCTCGGGCTCACATTAGCACTGTGGAGGCTTGTCCTCATTGAACCAGTGACCAAATGCCATTATAATTGAAATGTCAGCCGCATCTTGTCAATCAGGCACTTATTTATTCAGCACTTACTGATTGGCTGCCTCAATGGAGCAGGCACTGTGCTCAGTGCTGGGTAGACAGTGGGGAGCAGAGCGGGTCTGGACCTGCCCTCCTGGCTCTGCAGTCTCATGTGAGACCGAAAAAGTAACGATAATTTATTCCACTGGAAGAGGTTAAAACCCCGGGCCTAGAAGGGCATGTGTGTGTTTTAATAGCTTGCTACTTAAAGTGCCACAGCAATGAAATCTTGTCATCCTTAGCAACATGGATGAGCCTGAAGGACATTATGTTAAGTGACATAAGTCAGATACAGAGATAAGTACTGCGTGTTCTCACTCACATGTGGGAGCTAAAAAAGTTGACCTCACAGAAGTAGAGGGTAGATAGAGGTCACCAGAGGCTGGGCAGGGTTGAGGAGGAAGGAGGAGAGCCAGAGGTTGGGTAATGGATACAAAATCACAGCTAAAAAGGAGGAACAAGTTCTAGTGTTCTACAGCACAGTAGTGTGACTACAGTTAAACAACAATTTATCCTATATTTTCAAACAGAAGAGCAAATTTTGGATGTTCCCAACACAAAGAAATGATAAATTATTGCAGTGATATGCTAATTACCCTGATTTGATCATTACACATTGTAAACATGTATCAAAATATCACACCATGTCCCACAAATATGTACACTTGGGATGTGTCAATTAAAAAGAACAAAAGCAAAAATAATAATAAAGTAGCCACAGACAGGGAACATCAACATTACCTGGGGGTTTATTAGAAATGTAGAGTCCTGAACACCACCCCAGACCTACTGAATCAGAACTTGCAATTTAATCCCAGGGGGCAAGGATGTACTGGTTTAGGATGTGGCATGTGATTCCTCCCATGACAGGTGAGCATGCTCAAGTTCTAACCTGTGCCGACTCATTCATATGGAACGTGTTTGTCTCGGGAGGTGTTTCTAATGTGCTGATGGCTCTATAACTTTTTTTAACATTGCATTTCCCCCAAGTGTCTCTCATCTGCATATAAGCATGTTCTTGATTTCAATGAAACTTGAAATCCATCAGTGTGATGAATTAAGCAACATCTTAGAATTAACTAAATTCCACTAGACTAAGCAAATATTTAAAAGTAGTTTCATTTTTGTCCATCATAATAGAGATATCTTTTTTTTTTTTTTTTTTTTTTGAGACAGAGTCTCACTCATTGCCTGGGTTAGAGTGCCGTGGCATCAGCCTAGCTCATAGCAACCTTAAAATCCTGGGCTTAAGCAATCCTCTTGCTTCAGCCTCCCGAGCAGCTGGGACCACAGGCATGCACCACCATGCCCGGCTACTTTTTTCAGCTAATTTCTTTCTAATTTTTAGTAGAGATGGGGTCTCACTCTTGTTCAGGCTGGTCTCAAACCATCTGCCTGCCTTGGCCTCCCAGAGTGCTAGGATTACAGGCATGAGCCACTGCGCCTGGCTATGATAGGGATATCTTAACAAGGCTTGTCTTCCTCATCATCTGACAGAATAGATGAGACGAGCTTTTAAAGCCTCTGGCACTCAGTCAGGGAGACTCGGTCAACCTGTTGGTGGAGCCCCATGGTGCACTCTGCATTGAGACATTTGGGACTTTGGGAAGGAAGTCACTTCTCCCGCAGCTTTCTGGTACTGGTCATTTCTGTGCCCTCTGTTTCCCACCCCAGCACCTGGAAAATATGCTCTGCATTACGGAGACAAAGTTTACTGAAAGTATTCAGGATTACTTGCATTAATGTATACACATTCGAGGAATTGGTGGCTTTTAAGTTAAATATGCCAAAAGATATACAGTTTTACAGCAAAGATATACAGAAACTAGGAGTTTTGCAATTGTAAAAAGTTTGTTACTTTTCTAAAAATATTTTAATTATCGTTTAGGTCCTGTATAATTAATGCTAAACAATACCGCCAAAACACACCCATAATCTCTTGTATTAGGCATCCAAGTCCTATGTTCCTTTGGGAGACTGAGTGCCTATTGTATGACTTCACTGTTTTCTCCCCTGCTTTGGGGCAGCTTCTGGCTCCATTCAGGATGTAGATAGGCTCTGTGGGGTTGCATTGTTGGGGTGCACGTGTGGGTGCATATACTATGTGTTGTGCCCAGGGGTAGGTAGACACCCATTTCTCCCCTTCTAATTTCCCTCTTAGCCCCCTACAACTAACAGTTCTTACCCTCACACGATCCCTACAGCGATATATTTCTAGCTTCCACCAAAAATTCCTTAGCTGGTTCTTCTTGGGCTAAAACTCACCTCCCTGCAGAGTGAGTGTTGGGTGCTGTGTCTTTTCTCCTATTGATTTAGAACTGGGGCAGTGACTTCCTGTGTATGGAGTTGAATCCTTCCGATGGCATCCCAACCTCTGGTGAGTGAAAACATCACCCCCTTCAATTAAGGGCCTTGCTGAGCATCAGGTTGGGTGGGAGACCCCACGAATGTACCCTGGAACTTAAGACGACCATGCAATGCAGATCAGATCCTGGGAGGCCCAGAAGAAGCTGGCCTGCAGCCACGGCTGGGCTCCCATGTGGAGATGCACAGGCCTTTCTACCAAACCCTACTTCTTATCTCTGGATAGTCCCAGTGGTAGCCCCTCAGTCCTCCCTGCCCAGTCAGACTGTCCTGTGCTATATGATCTCTATAGCTAGAACTTCCCTGGACCACCCCACTGTGATCAGGCCCTGTGGGGATGGATGGTAGTCATTCAGCCATTGACTTCAGTGCCTCAGTTGCTTCAAATGAATGGAAGAGGCTAAATTGCTAAACCTTAGCCTGGAAATGAGAGCAATAGGGACCTGTGGGGCTAGGGCAGAGTTACAGACTTGGGGTAAAGTTTATATTTTAAAAGGTAGACAGTTCCCTGCCTCCACCCCAACCATCTCTCTTCTTGCCTGTCTCTCCTAGTCCATGAGCTCCGACCTGCAGACATCAAAGTAGTGGCTGCCCTGGGTGATTCGCTGACTGTGAGTACTGAGCCGTGAACCAGGGTGGGCACCTCAGCGCCAGCCAGGCCCTGTGCAGAATCAGCTCTTCCTCGACGTGGGCTCTGCATCCGGCATGGAGCACACATGACTGAGGACCTGCCTGTGTCAGGCACTGAAGCACAGCCAGGATACCCTGTCCCTCCACCTCCCCAGTCCCACTCAAACCTCACTTCTACAGGGCTTCCCCTCAATACCCAGGAAGAAGCAACACCCCCTCCCTGCTACTCCCAGACATCCCATCAATGCGTGAGGGCACTTGCCCAGGTCTGCCTGCCATTGTCAGGGGCCTCATCTCCATCTACCCAGACTCAACGGGTGGCAAATCTTACCACACACTGGCCACCGCCCCCCACCCCACTTAAGGGCATGTTCTTTGGGGCAGAGGAAACCCAATTACTGACACACAGCACAGTCTTGCTAAGTGAATTGCATTAGCAACGATTTAGCCATTGCTGTGTGCATGACCCTGTATTAGCAATTCTGAGGAGGGAAAAAATATGAGACACAGCCATAGCCTGCCAGAAACTTGTCTAGCCAGAAAAACAAGAACCTTATGTGGGAGAAGATGCATAATCATATAGGTGACATACAAACTTTCAAATAGGGTAACAACCCCCAGCCCCACATGTGTGTGAATGTGTTTTCATGTTGTATGAACATGGAGAGGCTGTGGAAAGGCACACAGCAGGCGGTTAACCACTCACTAGCTCAGGTGGGGGGAGTGTGGGATCGGTGGCAGGGGGCAGGATTCTTAAGGTAGGCATAGATTATTCACTTTTTAAAAATCTTTGTATCATTTCACTGATTATGGTAAACATATGTTACTTTTATAAATTTCAAAAAAAATTTTAAGACAAGGCATTTAGAGAAAGCTTTTTAGAGGTGGTATCTTAGACCCTGCTGAGGGTCTTAGACAATGACTTTAGAGATTTAAGGGGCTAGAAAGCAGGGAGTTCAGCATTCCAGGAAGGGATGGGCATGGGTGGTAACATAGCAGATCAGCCCAAGGCCTCGTGTTTCAGAAAGGGTGACAGGTCAGTTTGCATAGGCCTGAGGGTCACGTGGAGTGGGGGGGCACACGGGTGGAGGAAAGGAGAAGCCAGATTATGGCGAGCTGGGAACATGGTGGAGGGGTTTAGCTTGACCCTTAAGGAAAAGGAGGATGCTGAAGGGTCAGAGCCAGGGTGGGGCAGGAGGAAAGGTGTGCACGGGAAGGAACAGCGACCTGAGGCAGTGAGGTCAGGCCAGAGACCAGAGGCCAGAGGGTGGCAAGGAGATGAGAGTCTCAATTAGGAATGTGGCAAAGGGAGCAAAAAAGAAGGGAATGGGTGCTTGGGAGGTCGGGAAGGAAACATTGGCCTGACTAGTTACTGGTCGTAGGCAAATGACTAGGGAGGAGAATGTGTCAAGACAACTCAGAATTGAGGGTGGGCTGGAGAAAAGCCACTCCCGTTTTCAGGAAAGGCAAATCCAGGTCCTGGCTGCTACCCTGGGGGGTGGAGAGGCCAGAGAGGCTCGTGCACCAGCCCAGCACAGGCCTGGAACTTTTTTTTTCTTTTTTGCTTTTCATAGACAGCAATGAGAGCTCGACCAGACAACTTCAGTGACCCCCCCACATCCTGGAGGGGACTGTCTTGGAGGTGAGGGTGTTCTTGGCTCATTCTTTCCCGATGACACTCCTCCAAAGGGGAGTGAGTAGCGTGTTTCCCCTCTCACCCGAGACGAGGGTGGGCCCCCAGAGGTGGCCCAGCTCTGAGACACAGGGAGACTCCACGAGAGTTCCCTTGCCCTGAGGATGAGGGGAACAATGCCCAGGGACAGAATCTCGGTTCTGATGCACACATGTGACAACACATGGAGTGGCAGGTTGGGGGGATATCAACACATACGCTTTCTCTTCTCCAGCATTGGAGGGGACGGAGTCTTGGAGACCCACACCACGCTGCCCAGTAAGTAGCAGCACAGAGAAGCACTGTCACTACGGCCACAGCAACCCCTCGCCAAAGCCAGGTGTTCCCAGGGAAGAGGGCGGGAGCAGGTTATCTGCAAGGGGGGATGTCAGCCAGCCCTGAGAAGCCCCAGAACTTTTCCACCCCACCCCTGTGCCCCAACACTGCACATCCATCTCAGTTCCCATGGGGCTCCTGCCACCTCTCACCTGTGCTCCTCCACCTTCCTCCTTTAAAGACATTCTGAAGAAGTTCAACCCCTACCTCCTTGGGTTCTCTACTGGCACCAGGGAGGAGACCATGGGACTGAACGTAGCAGTGGAAGGCGCCAGAGCTCGGTGAGTAGATGCAGGTACAGGAGGGAGAGTGAGGGCACGGCTGAGAGATCAGGGTGGGCAACGGGAGGGGAGAGAAGGGTGGCGTGTGGGAGCCTGACCCCAAAGGGGCGATAACAGCTGCGCACAGGGCACTTCCTGCACGGTGGTCCCGTGTAGAAACTCCCACGTGGACTATCTCCTGTAATCCCAACGCTCTTGGACAGGGCACCATTATAAGGACACTGAGGCTTGTGAAATTCCCTGAACAGCCAAGATTACCCGGCACGGTATCAGAGGGGCCAGGATCAGGCCAGGCCTAAATGCAGAGCCTGCACTCTGACCTCTCCAGGGCAGCAGCAGCGCTTCTGCCCGGCTCAGGGCGCTGCCCTTGCTCGCTCTGCTCTACCTCCTGTGGGCAGAGGCTCAGGTCGAGCGTGCAGGGGACTCCCAGCACCCCAAGAACTCAGGCTGTGGCCCGTGGATGTCTGCCTTTCCTCTCTTCCCCTTCCCCTGCAGTCTTTGACTCTGAAAAAGCTGTGTTCTGACGAGGGGGTTAGATGTCAGAGCCCCCAAGGCAGCATGGTGGCGGTCTGTTTTCACCGGGATTTCTGTTGTTGACAACAACCCGGATAATTAAAGCCGAAATGCCTGAGCGGGTTCGTTGATTTCTGCATGGAGCGTGCTGGGTGCAGGCTTTGTGGCAGGATCGCTATGCTCCGATCACCAGGGAAACGACACAGGTTTGACTCACTCTGTTTACAGGGAACGTTCCTTTCAGAAGCGGTAATGTGGGCCCCACGCTCAGCTTGAGTCTCTGAGCCACAGGAAGCGGTGTCAGTTCCTCAACGTCATAAGCAGGAAAACTTATTTTTCTGCAAAAACTGGGCTTCAAAGGGTCATTATAGCAACATCTAATTACCGTTATGATTATTACTATTATTATCATCATCATCTTACTGTTATTGTACAGCCCAGTCTTCATTACCCAGGGGTTGATTCCTCACTGTATTGACACGGAAGCCCCTTCTCCCTTTCTCGCTTCACTGCCCTTATTGCCTTTTCTGTTACTAGTTCTCAGCGCCTCTTCCAGAACAGTCAGTGGCAGGGGACGCAGTGCAGACATGCAGCTTCTTGTGAGCATCTCTGATGTCCAGTGTTAGGGGAAAGGAGACTAATCTGTTGACTTAAGGCTGGAGAATTGCTCTATGACTTTCCTTCACCTCCAACCTGTTGTTTATCAGCATGGATAAGGATGAGGTCACCTAAACAGAGAAATGCTGTCGCAGAACACCTTAAAATCACGACGTCTTGGTTCAGACCATTTGTGTCCACATTCCAGCTCCAAGACTTGCTTGCTGTGTGACTTTGGGCAAATTGCTTGGCATCTCTGAGTCTTAGTTTCTTTATCTATAAATGGAGATAATCATAGTACCTACCTCTCAGGGTAGTTGTAAGGATTAAATGAGATAATCCACGAAAAGAATTTAATACAGCACATAAATACACATGCACAAAACTGCCATTATTAGGATATTGAGTTTCAGAGTTTTATTCAATGTCTAATTCCCCTTCCATCAATCAATAAGAATTCATTCAACATCTGCAAAGGACTGAGCCCCAAGGTAGTTACTGAAAGATATAAAAGAATCAAAAGGTGAACTTTCTGCCCACGAAGAGCTTATGGTCTAGATAAGGAAACTAAACAAACTGGGAAATACTTTTTGGAAAAGATGATGTCATGTATGGCAATGCTGCAGACTGAAATAACTCGGTACTTAGTCATGGAGTACAGTCAAGAGAACAAGAGTGTGAAATGTTAACTGAGCCATCTACAGACAGATGTGGACCCAGAAAGGGCCCCTGAAATCATCTGGTCTAACCTTTCCCTTTTAAAGATAGAAAAATTCAACCCTAGCTGGATTCAGGAACTTGTACAGGTTCACACAGCAAGACAGTGGCAGAGCTGAAAGTACGACACCTGGCAGTAGAAAGGGAAGTGGAGGAAAAATGGATACATGAGCCTAGAGAGAAAGCTCGTGGGGAACAGGACTTGGTCTGACCTGAGAGCCGGGAAGAGGGGAGGAAGTGGGCATTCCTGACTTACCCTCCTCCCTGCAAAGGCTTATTGCCCATGAAATCTCTTGGTTACATCTTAAACCTGTTATAGGTACTTCTGTGGTCACCTTTAACCAAGAAAGGCTTTCTTTATAGCTTTCTGATGTCCCCATCAATAGCAATAGTGCATGGGCTATGATCCTAGGTATATAAATTCTCTTCAATGAGGAACAAGGGCAGGGATGGGTGTGGTTGGCCACGTGTCCAACTTGTCTTGGACACCCAAAGATTGACAATGGCCATCTGTGCCGGCTACTGCTTTTATGACTTCTCCCATGGAAGCTTCCATTGGCTGTATCCCCTTTGTTGACCTAATTTCTCATATACATATCTTTTAAAATACAGCCTTATTGAGGTATCATTGACACACAATAAAATGCACATATAAAGATATGCAATTTGATCAGTGTTGACATATGTATATATAGTACCTGTGAAAACATCTCTACAATCAAGATAATAAACACGCCCCACGGAAGTTTCCTTATGTCCCTTGGTAATCTCTCCCTCCCATTCCTGTCTCTACTCCAACTCCCAGGCCATGATCAATCTGCTTTTGTTAGAGATTTGATTTTTTTAGAATGTCACATAAGTGAATCAGAGTGTATACTCTTTTGTCTGACTTCTCTCATTTATCAAAATTATTTCAAGATCCATCCATGTTCCTTGGTGTATTGAGAGTTCATTTCTTTTTATTGCTGTGTAATATTCCATTGGCATTTGTATCACTTATCCAAATCTCCAAATGGCATTATTTTAAAATATTTATGGCAGACATCTGGGGAATGGAGGGATAACTAACCCTATCCATAGTGTCTCCCCATCCCATTTTGTTGAGGGTGGGTGAAGAAAAGAGATGGGAAATGATGTAGAAACCTAACTAACTACAGAGAAGAAACAAAAGGATTAAGGGAGCAGAGAGTGGGGCTTCAAAGCAAAGGTTAAAGAAATCATTATGCCTGGAAAGGAGAAAGCTGAGGTATAATTTAGAGCTGTGACTTTTTCAAATATACAAAAGGTTATTTTTAAAGTAGGCAACTAAGAAACAAACAGGCTCAGCTTGCAAAGAAAGATCTTGAGGAAATATAAGGGAAAAGCCCTGCTGGGAAGGTCGACCAGATCCAGCCCGGCCCTGCCAAAGGAGGTGGCCGGATGCAGATTAGGGGGTGGCAGGGCCTGGATCCATGTGGCCCCCAGGCCCATGGCAGCTCTCTGATTATTACAAGGCTGAGATTTCTGGAGAATGGAAAGCCTTTCACTGTATTCTGAAGGAATAAACTTTGTACCATATAACGTTATTCTTCCTGAAGCAGCTCTTTCCTGAGCCAGCCCTACCATCTCTCTCCCCCCTGCCTAGGGACATGCCAGCCCAGGCCCGGGACCTAGTGGAGCGAATGAAAGCCAGCCCTGTGAGTACCGGCCCTGAGGGTGCTGTGTCCCGTTGGCTGGGGAGGAGACAGCCTGCTTTTGAGAGGGGCCAGCGGTGTCCCCTAGAAGCAGGCTTCCACTTTGCTAGCCTTGGGTCCAGGAGGGCAAGGTGGAGCAGGGAGTTGGCCGAGATCGTGGCCTTGGCCTCTGGCAGTTTCCTGCTTTACCCCAGAGTTGGCTTCCCAGAGCCCTATTCTGTAAACGCAAGCGTCTAAAAATAGGCTTCTCATTCCACTCCAATCCTTCCTCCTTCCCGCTCAGCCAGCCCCCTGGAGCTTCTCACCAGCGCTTGTTTCTACTGCTCTGCGTGCCTCGGCCTTCCACTCCGGCAGGACTCCTGTTATGGAGGTGGCCGAGTGGAAAGCTGCCCCCCACCAGGACGCCCACCCAGCCCACCTCTCGGTGCATGCTGGCGCTTCCTACAGTTCCCTTCCCCACTCGGATCCTAAGAACTCCTCCCAGGGGCAGCTCAGGGCTCTGGAGAGCTGTGTCCCTGTCCCTGGGCTCCTATGAAGGCCTTCAGGTCACAGTTCAGGGGCCTGCGAATCCACCTGCCTTCGGTGGGTGCAAGGACACGGGGAACACATCCACACACTGCGGCTTGCTCATGAGGATTTCAGAGCGAAAACAGCCTTTGTCCCGTGTGAGCACACACGCACACCCAGTCCTCTCTGTGGCCCTGCTCGCCCCAGCACCAGCGCGAGGGTTGCGGAGGCCCCACTTTGCACCTTCTGTTTTGATACGAAGAGGATGAACGGCACCTGGCACCTCGGGGTTTGCCTCGCTGGCGTGGCGAGCAGCTCTGCACGTGCCCCCACCAAGGCCTACACTCGGGATCTTCTGTCCCTGCAGGAAATCAGCCTGGAGGAAGACTGGAAGCTGGTCACACTCTTCATTGGTGCCAACGACTTGTGTCATTACTGCAAGTCTCTGGTAGGCCCCTGACCAACCCCAGTGGATAGCTGACAAGTGGCCGGCCTGTGGCCTAGGAACCCAACCCCGTTCCTGACGTCATTTCTACAGGGAAATGCATCCAGACTTACAAACTTTTGGAAGTTATAACTTTTAGAATACATATTGTTCTAAGTTGGGGACATTCTATTTTATTTGGCCAGAGAAAGGCAGCTGCCCTGCCTCAGAGGTTGCAGTGGAAGATTTGACAATCACAGGTCCGTGGGGTCGGGGTAAAAGGCATTTGTCATCCCTTATGGCTCACAGGGGCCAACTGCCAAAGGCTCCATGAGCGTCACCTCCCACGTGCGGGGGTTGGCTTTTCCCTCCGTTCTCCCCCCCACTGCCCGACCTCCTGGGGATGGAAATATCACTGTGTCCTGGACTCCAGGGGCACAGAAACGCCCTCTACTAGCCCCAGAGTACCTGTCCCTCGTGGGAACGGTCAGGTTTATACTCCCGAGAGCACCGTTTTGTGGAAAGGGGCTGGACGCGCCGCCACCGGGATTAACTCAGGCTAAGTTTCAGGAAGGGAGGCGGGGCAGGAACTCTTGGCACGCAGGACCCCCTCTCCTCCCTCTTTAGCTCGGACTGCCGTTTTGCTCCCCACACCCCTCTGCTAGCTGTGGGCGGGAGCTCATCTGCGAGCAGGTGGGGCACCTCCGCGGGGCCGGCGGTGAGCGTGCTGGACCGAGTGCGCAGCTCTCGCCCGGCCTCGGCACCTGGCGCTGCTTCCCGGGCGCCTCAGCCACCTGTCGGGCAGACACGTGTCCTCCGATGCTTAGCGTAGGAGCTGCAAGTCACCACCTACCTTCAGGGATCAGTCTCCCACCACCTTCTAAGGAGCCCAGAGCCATATCCAAAAATATAGGACCGCTTCCCTCATGCTATAAAGCAAAGCCCTCAGTCCATGCTTCAGTCAGCAAGCGTTCCCTGAGCACCTACTAGGTACCCTACACACAGCACCCGGGACATGACGGAGCACCTCTAAATCAGCCTCCAGTTGGGGATATGGGTCAGAGGAGGAGATCCTTGAGCTGAATCACAAGGTAAAGAATGTAGGTGGATACAGGAGAGCAAAGAGTTCCAGGCAGTGGGACCAGCATGGGCCGAAGCCCAGAGGAAAGAGAGAGAGTGGTCATCGGGGCACCACACATGCCTGGAGAAGGCTGAGGTCAGGTGACAGAAGGGACTTCTGAGGGAAGAGGTAAGGTGGAGCAGCGTAGGGGTGAAGATTGTCTGTGGTGTCTCATAGGGGACAAGGGATGATTTCTTACAAGAGTCTCAGTCAACTAGCACCAAGGACTGGGCTTCCCAGCCTGGCCAGGAGCTCCAAAGCCCCTCTGCAGTCACTCTGCTGCCAGCCCAGGCCCTGGGCCTTCCTGTGCTTCTGGCCGCCTCTGAGTGGAGCCCAGGGGCTGAAGAGAGCCCTCTCTTCTTTTACAGGAGGCCCAGGCAGCCCAGGAGTACGTGCAGCACATCCAACAGGCCCTGGACATCCTCTACGAGGAGGTAGGGAAGAGTGCCTGCAGGCCCTGGGTCCCATTTGCTGCCTCAGTGGGGTGTTCCCTCCCGAGGTGCCTCAGGCAGACTGTGTTCAGTGAGACACGGCAGAGACCCGCCGCGAGTGGGCCCCTGGATGGTAGGGAGGGGCCGCTGCCCGGCAGAAGAAATTCCGACTGGATCGGAGACCGGATTGTGTTGCAGCAAAGGGCTTACCTCTGGAGCACTGTGACCCAAGAAGTGACTTCTCTGTACGCTTCCCAATCTATGAAGTGGGGGCACTAAGAAGATCCAGTGAGATAATATTAAGTCACACCCCTCTCTGGGCCTTAGTTTCCTCATTGGCAAAATTGGGGAGGCAGAGTGGGTTGCAGATGATGCCCCGGGCTCCTTCCAGCTGTAGCCAGGGCCCTCCCCCCACCACTGCCAGGGCCTAGTGAGGACATCCCCTCTACTCCCCGCAGCTTCCGAGGACTTTCGTCAACGTGGTGGAGGTCGTGGAGCTGGCCAGCCTGCACCAGGGCCAAGGCGGGAAGTGTGCCACGCTGGAAGGGGAGTAAGTGGATGGGTCACAGTCCCAGGACACAGGCAACTGGGACAAGGAGGACATGAGCAGTTAGGATCTAGAGTGCCTCTACCCGAGTGAATGCCTACTGTATGCAAGTCCTGTCATTTCTCTGGACCCCAGTTTGCTTTTCTGTGCACCGGGAGACACCAATGATCCTGAAGGCTCCTTAGCAAAGTCCAACCTTGGCAAGTTGCTTCCTGCTGAGAGGCAGCTCAGCGATGAGCTTTCAAAACAGCTACATCTGGCCTCCAATCCCGGCTCTGCAGTTTAGGAGCTATGGATGGGACCATGACCAAACCACACAGCCTCTATGGGCCTCTTACTCCTCACCTGTAAAGTGGGGATAAAATACCTTCCTTGAAAGGTAGACGTGAGGTACTTGGCCCACCTGGGGCAGGACCTCGAGAAATAGTTGCTTTCATTCCATCCTTGAAAGCGGGGCTTGGAGGCGAGATACTGTGGGCAAGATAAGCATTCGTGTTGGGGGCTGGAATTCTTTAAAGCTCTGTGGAGCCCTGGCAGGAAGTTGCCATCTCCTGAGGCCAAAGGTGTCCCTGTAGCTTGTGAGACTATTGCCATGAGGGTCCTACCTGGGGTCAAATGGATTTGCTGTGACATTGATCAGCTGGCTCCCTTTCTTGCTGGGAACCCTGCCCTCAGGCAGAAGGGCTCCTCCAGAGGCTTCACGCTGGTGGCCCTCCCCAGCTTCCCACAGTGGAGCCCTGAGCAAGGGGCCCAGGAACATGAAGAGTGATTTCCTACCAAAAGACAGAGCTCTCATGGCAGTCTTCCCAAAACCCCAGCCCCTCTCTGCCCTGCCCTTCTCTGGAGAAACCCCAGGGGCTGCAGGCTTGGGGAGTAGGCAAGGGGCATCCTGCCCCCAGGGAACCCCGGGCATCAGGTGCCAAGTCTTCTACCTCTTGAACCTCATGCCCAGAGTTAGGGCTTTGTCACCTGGGTCCAAGAGTCAGCCCCCCAGGTGAGCAGAGCCAGGCTGCCCCAGGGGGCCTCCACACAAGCTTCCTTGTCTCACAGGAGCAACTGCACTTGCCTCCAATACGCTCAAAACTCCCTGGAGATGCAAGAACTGAAGGAAGTGAACTGGAACTTCCAGGTGAGCCCCGCAGCCCTCCTCTTCCTGCCCCAGCTGGGAGCACCTGCCCCCTCCCCAACTCCCAGAGCAAGGACGTGGACATCACATGTTCAGCAGGGTTTGGCTGAGAGCAAGCTAGTCCCTAAAAGGCAGATCATAGCCCCTGGAATATTTATCCAGGCGAACTGAACACCAAGGCCAGGGAGAGGAGGAGAATGAGAGATCCCAAGTGGAAGCTAGGGGATGCCCTGCCTCCCAGAGTGGACTCCTCCTCCTAACACACCCCTGCTCTCATCTGTCCATCTCTTCCCCTGGTGTCCCCTCTCCGAACATGCCCACCCAGAGCCCTTCTGCAAACTGACCCATCTTCATTCACAATGCAAGTCTGCTTCCCCCCTTCTAAGCAGATCCCCTAGATTAAACTTCACCCTCAGATACCTCCCCAAATCAAATTCAGTCTGCACTTGATGGACCCTAAGGCCCTAGATGGCTCTTGTTTTTACACCTTATCTCATTTTCATGGATGGATAAACTCCTTTAGGATAAGTGTATCTGGTCTATTCCTTTTACATTCTATGTTTGGATACTTACTAAATCCACCATAGGGCCCCGAAATGCAGGTGCTCCTTAGTGGGTGCAGAGTGAGTGCACGCGTCACCCTCGAGTAGCCCCTTTAGTCACCTTTGTCTAGGGAGGGTTGACTCCTGTCCCAACAGCAGGAATTGACCCCTCTGTCCAGCCTTGCCAGAAAGGTTGAGCAGCGTTTCTCTCCCTGGCCCAGAGTGGCGTCTCCAGGTTCTCCTACTGGCATGGGAACCGGCAGCGGGAGGACTTCGCGGTTGTGGTGCAGCCTTTCTTCCAGAACACTCTCGCCCCACTGAACGAGGTAAGCTGCAAGCATTTCTGGGAGGCTCATGTGTGTAGGACTCGTCTTCTCTATGTGGGCTTTTTTCTTTTTTAATCATTCCCAGCGCACTCCCAAGGGTTGATGTTTCTGCTTTAACTTTTTTTTTTGTACGATTGGACCTTAGACATACTTGGAAAGAAAAAAGAGAAAATCCATAGTGACCAAGGTCCCCAGGCATAGCCTTGGTATTTGCTAGATTGGGATAAAATAAAAAGCATCCTAAAAATATTATTACTTTTCAACTATTAGAGCCACCCACAGTCCATCCCTTTACTTTCAGCACCCCTGCCCTAATTCATGTTTGCTTAAAAAGAAAATTCCAAAATCTGGGGCTTTTTCCATTGATGTCTAAGCCAGCTGGCAGCAGAGTGGAAGGGATGACAGGAGAAATGCCCAGGGGATGGGGGTGGGCGTGGGGGCAGGTGGTGGCACCTCTCTCAGGATGGTAATCCCATTGGCTTTGGTCACAGAGAGGGGACCCTGACCTCACCTTCTTCTCCGAGGACTGTTTCCACTTCTCAGAGCGGGCCCATGCGGAGATGGCCATCGCACTCTGGAACAACATGGTGAGCGACTGAGGGCCTGGTGGGCTGTGACAAAGGGACAATACAAGGGTCTCGACTCTACGTACCACATTGACAAACCTACTGGCTGACATGGGTCCTTTCTCCTCAAAGCTCAAAACAGTAGCACGCCTTATTGGTCCTGACAGATTACTTTCTGAGGATTTGTGTACATACATATACACACATCTTGTTCTTTCAGCAATGCCGGGGTCCTGTGAGGGATAACTCTGTAGTCAGGCTGTGTGACCTTAGGCAAATGAGCTCTCAGGCCATCTGTGTCAACGTCTATAAAACAGTGAAAATGTCACAGATCTCAGGAAGTAAACTGAAGTCACATCTCATGGCGCCCAGCACCATGGTCAGCCTTCCAGCGCTCCGGGCTCAACATATTCCCAGCTCTTATTTCTTTAAATATCAAAAAGTGAAAATCCCCACAGCTTATTTTCTCAGGCTGCCACCTATCCCAGTCCTTTCTGATGGAGCAGAAGGGGACTTCATGAAATGGACATACAGTCCCGGGACACCTGGCCACCGACTACTCAACAGTCCAGCTGTGTTTGCACGCAGCTTGACCTGTCACCCCCATCACGGGATGCTCCTGCACACCGAGAATGAAATGCCTTCCCAATCTGATGGCTTTTTTTAATCTAGACCAGTGGGTAACGCAATCTCCAGCCCGACCTGCGCGTCCCCGCTTTGTCCCATGGCGACTGCACTCCAGGCTCCTTTTATTGCAGTTTCAGGCCCACAGCCTCCCCTGCCAAACACCGCCGTGCAAACATTCCCACACCCGCCAGCCCATCCGACAAGCCCCGCATCTCCCTTGGCTGACTCACAATGTTGACTCTCTCCTGAGCTACACCTCCTCAGCAGCCTCTTCTTTTCAGAACAGCATGTAAATCGGTTGTATCCTTGGCCTATTTAACTACAGACTCGGCTTTTCTCTACTTCTGTTGTCCTGGGATTTTTCTCCTGTTGACATCACATATCTGCCCACTCCTAAAACTTCCATCATACTCTCTCAGCCCAGGACTATGAATTACAGCCAAAGCCTTTCTGAGTTCCCACCCAGCCTCCACAGTGATTTTTCAAACCAGAGTTTGCACAATGATAATTCCTGAGAATAGTTATGTTTCTTTTGTAGATCTGGTTTTTGAAGGCTAGTTGTCCTTCGGTGGCTGAGTCATGTAACTATTACTATAAAAAAAAAAAAAAATCCCCCCAAAGAGGTATCTATTTCCTAAGATTTCAACTGACTCCAACAGATAGGGTCCACTGGTCTTTCTGCATGCAGTTCTGGCCTCTTCCAAAGCAGCTCAATAGTTCTTCCCACTCACCCAGGTGAGAGGCGCTTAGATATAAAAACAAAAGGTAAACACTGCCTGGAGCTATAGTGGGAAGACAAGATTGCCCCTGGTTCCCCAGCCATTATTATCTCAGACATATCCTGAATTTAAAAATAACAAAAACAAAGCAAAATTAAAGTCATCCAAGAGTTTCTTAGCCTATGCTATATAATTTGGGGACATAATTACAAAGTCCAATGTTTTCAGATCATCTTTTTATTTGAATTTCACCCCCAGAGAGACATAAAACAAAATAAATAGACTGTTAGAGCTGGAACAGACCTGAGAGGTCAGCTAGCCAGAATATTCTTTAACTAAAGGACAGAGATATGAAGCAATTTGCCAAGCATCACACAGCCAGTGAGTTAGAAGTCCCAGTTTCCCAAGGCCTCCCTAGTCTCCTGGTCACAACACCACCCTCCCCTGCTCCCCACCTGATAAGCACATATGTAACTGGTGAATTCATGTCTCATAATTAGAGTCCTATGACATAGTGTCTGCAGGCTTTGGCTGAAGTTCCCAGGGTACGCTACTGGGGCAAAAGACACACTTTAAACTATTTCATCTCTTGCCCTTCCTTCTCCAGAGATCTTTGCAAAGGCTGAATCCAGAAATACCAGAAGCACCAGGGAATGTTTTCCTCTTCCTTTACCTTCTTTTAAAAAGTTTTTCTTTTCTTTTTTTTTATTTTTTTTTTTTTTTGAGACAGAGTCTCACTCTGTTGCCCAGGCTAGAGTGAGTGCCGTGGCGTCAGCCTGGCTCACAGCAACCTCAGTCTCCGGGGCTCAGTGATCCTACTGCCTCAGCCTCCAGAGTAGCTGGGAGTACAGGCATGCGCCACCATGCCTGGCTAATTTTTTGTATATATATATTTTAGTTGGTCAATTAATTTATTTCTATTTTTGGTAGAGACCGGGTCTCGCTCAGGCTGGTTTCGAACTCCTGACCTTGAGCAATCCGCCCGCCTCGGCCTCCCAAAGTGCTAGGATTATAGGCGTGAGCCACCACGCCCGGCCTTCTTTTTCTTTTCTAAGGCCTATTCCTCCACTGCTTCCTCTTCTGTGGCAATCCTACTCTCAGCTAGTAGCTGCATCTCCCCAGGTGCTGGGTGACAACTCCAGCCTCCTAATTGGCATCCCTGTGTCCAGACTTACAGCCCTTAGGACAGCTATTCTCAGTGCTAGTAGCATACAAGGATTATCTGGGGACTTCTAAAAACAATTAGTGCCTATAGCCACTTTGGAAAACTCTTTGATATATCTAATGACACTGAGCACATGTACCTCCTGTGACCTAATAATTCTAGGTATATACCCAACAGATATACCAAAAGCATGTCCACCAAAAGGTACATAGGGATGGTCTCTCTCATTGGGGATGGAGAGTACTCGAAGAACGTGGGAAGGGGGTTCTGAGTATTGGTAATATTCTGTTTTTTTATCTGGATGCTGGCATGCTCACTTTATCAAAATGTATCAGCTGCTCACTTATGACTTGTGTAGGTTGGCTTCAATAAAAAATTTACTTAAAAAAAAAATACCAATGCCCAACTGGGCTTGTCCCTAGAGATTTCCACTTAATTGGTCTGGGGGGTGGAACCTGGGTTTAGTACTTTTTGAAAGCTCCCCAGATGATTTTAATGTGCAGGGTTTATGAACCACTGCCTTAAATTGTTCTCCACAGGGCAATCAAGTCATCTGCATAAAAGAAAACCTAACCAGTTCACTCCCCAGCTTTCAAACATCCAAGGCCTGATTAACCTCTCTGGCTGCTGCTCCAGCAGTCCCCACCTTTGTGTGTTTGCGCTTACTCTCCACCTTATCCCAGACTGCCCTTCTTACCTCCACACTCAAGTCAGGTGCCAGCTCCTGCAGGAAGCCACCTCCGAATGCCCAGAGAGGGCCAGTGGCACTCCCAGCTACACTGCACCCTGCTCAGCCCTGTCATTTGCTACATGGTCGGCATCCACAGTGCCTGCCTTAGGAAAAGGTTGGTTCTAGGAAAAACAACTCCATTTCCTGTGGCCAACTCCAGGCTTCTCCTCTCTGCACCCAGCTTTTCCACTCAGATCTTCATGACTTCAATTCATCCAACCATTCATTCATTCAACAACCATTTACTGAGCGCTGCTAGGTACTATTATAGGTGCTGGGGATTCAGCAGTGAAAAAGAAAAGATCTTTGCTCTCATGGAATATACAGTCTAGTGGGGAAAGTAGACAAATCAACAGAGTCATTTCTGATGGCAATGGTCAGAGAGGAGGAGGCCTCAGTGAAGAGGTGACAGGTGAGCTGAGAACTGAATGTCAAGAGATTGCCAGGCAGAGGTCTGGGGCCAGAGTGTTCCAGGCAGAAGAAATAGAACCACATGGGCCCGGAGTCAGGAATGCACTCGAAGTGTCCAAGGAACTTGAAGGCCAGTGTGGCTGGAGGGACATGAACAAGGTCAAAGAGGCGGGCAGGGGCCAGGTCCTTGGATAACTCTGAGCAGGGGAGCAACGTGCTCTGGGGCTCACCCTCCACTGTGTGTAGAGATGGGCTGGGAGGAAGCAAGGCTGGACCTAGAATGACCTTTGGGTGGCTACAGGTGTCCCGTGTGGGAGACGCAGGGCTAGAACAAGGGTGATGGCAATGGAGGAATTAGGATGTGTTTAGACTGGCTGGTGGATGAGGGGAAAGAACAACAAAGGATGGCTTCTTGGTTTGGAGTCTAAGAAATTGGGTGGGTGGTTGAGCTGGTAGAGAGAAATCAGCTGGGGAGGGAAAATGAAGAGTTCTGTTGTGGACATGGGAAGTGTGAACTGCCTTTCAGGCATCCACGCAGAGGTGTCCCATAAGCTGTTAAATGCAGGAGTTCAAAGAAGGTCAAGGCTGGAGATTACAAAAAAAAGAGTGGGGCTATTAGCACAGAGGTGGTATTCACAACCATAGGATTAACTGAGACCTGCTGTAGAAAAAAGTGTAGGGCCAACTATCCAGCTGTGGGCATTGATTCCAACTTTTGATGCCAGCAAGGGATGAGAAGCAGGGAGGCAGGTATGAAGGGAATGAGAAGAACATGGTAACCAGGAAGTCAAGAGAAGTGAGTGTTTCAAGGAGGTGGCGTCCACTTTAATGAGTGCTGCTGAGAAGCAAAGCAAGATGAAGACAAAAGTGACCATTGGCTCTGACCACATGGAGGTCATGGGTGACCTTGACCAGAGCTTCCGTCCAGTGATGGACTCTGTAGACTGTCTAGAACGAGCGGCAGAGAGGTTGGAAAGTGCAGCCAGTGACTGAGACAGCTCTCTCGGGAAGTTGTGAGAAGTACCAGCCACAATGGCTGGAGGTGGGGCGTGAGATTGAAGCGATGTGATCAAGACCTTCCCCTGTGCCAGTTAGTTCCTGGAATATCATTGGGACTAAGCTGGCCCTTAACATTCATTCTGTCCTGGGTGGTTCTGTTACTATAGGCTTGGGTTTTCCCAGCTCTAAGAAAGTGGCAATAGCGCCATCCTACTTAGGTAAGCCACCCCCGATCACGTGTGCTTTCATGTCCTCTTCTCATCTGATGCTCACAACATAACACGCCAGGGCAGGATTTCAGTGCCCATCCCTACCCTCAGGGAGTTGAGTAGCCTGCCCCTGTGCAGCTCATTACCCACAGGGCCAGGACCCAGTGTCCTGCCTGTTGTGTTCCATCTAGTCACCTTGCACCTCTCCCAAGACTGGACCAGAGCGGGCCCCTCCTCCTCCAATTGTGTTACTAAGAACTGGTATAAAAGATATAAAAGGCTTAAGACAACAGAAAGTGAGGTCATGGGCCAGGTGTGGCCCCTGGCTCAGGCGCTGCGCTTTCACTTCCCTCTTGGCTGTGCCTAGTGGTCAGGGACAGGCGGGAAGCAGACTGGACAATGCGTGGGGCTGGACCTTCAGGACAGAGTCTGCAGTAGGTGATGGTGCCAGGGGGCCGTGAGGCACTGGCCACCTGCAGAGCAGGAGGCACGGCAGCTTCCAGCTCATTCTCAGAGGGTCTTGGGATCAAAAGTGTTAGGCAGAACTCACTGAACCACAGTTGCTCCCAGGGATATTTCAAGGAAATCTTTTCATTATGTGGAAAACATACAAAGGGGCTCAAGTGAGAAACCCCCCGTTTCCCGAGATTGACGAACCAAGTGTGGTAATGATGTCATGGTAACCAATGTTTCCAAAGTTTTCCTGAAATTGACGAGCCCAACACACTTCAAGAAGTTGGTAAGTATGAATATCATCGTTTTGTAAAATTGGAAACATAGTGTCTGCAATCACAGCAACCCACAAGGGAAACCAGAGATGGACTCTGTGGATTCTGGACTGGTCGGTCTCTCCTGGGCTGTGGTATCCTTCCTGGAAAACCCAGGAGCATAGCCTTAGGGTCCTGCCTTGCTCTGACAGACTCTGACTCATGCCTTTGAGAGTCAGATGTCACCTCCATCCCAGTGTCCTGGCCCTGGGTCTCGCCGCTTTGCTGGGTTCAACCCACCCTTGCAAAGGGAAGGCGCCTGGCGTGAGCCACCTCCTCTGACAGGGAAGTCTCTCCCAGCTTTGGAGAGAATGAAGGTGTCCTTTTTCTCTCTTTAGCTGGAACCAGTGGGCCATAAGACGACCTTCAACAACTTCACCCACAGCCGAGCCAAGCTCAAGTGCCCCTCTCCTGTGAGTAAACGTCCTGCCACCTAGAGGCACAAAGCCGTCCCAGGGCGGCTCTATCAAGAGCACCCCCAATCACTGCCATGTTCTCGGATCTCGCCTCTCCTCACTGCCACTGAAATTCCCAGCTCCTCAGGGCACGGGCAGCCGGGAGTCGGGGGAGGGAGCACTCGGCAGCTCCAGCCAAAGGGAAGAGTCTCAGTCGGGGAGGCAGCCTAGGAGCCCATTACTTCTGAGGGCTCTGATGCGTCCAGGGGCTCTCCTGTGCCAGGCACCGCACCAAGAGCAGGAGATGGGGGGCAAAGATAAGTAAGACACAGTCCTCTAGTCCTCTTCTGCCCTCACCACGCCGTCCATCCTCACCTGGCCCCCTGACTCGTCTCCCCTTTCTGCCCACCCTACACTTGCTACCAGACACAGATCGGCCTGCCTGGAAAGTAACTTGTCTTGTCGGGGCTGCTTGAAATCCTTGCCTGGTCCCCACTGCCTGCTGACCAGAGTCCAGGGGGCGGGATTCACCTCCCTCCATTGCACACTCTATGCTCCTGGCGTGAGGATCCACTTCCCAGACAAGCACCATGCCTGCCCGCCTCCCCGCTTTCCCTCTGCCGTCTGCTCGTCTCCCACCCGCCCAGGGGAATGTTCCCCTCTCCAGGCCCTGCTGGAGGCCCTTGGGGCTGTGGCCCACTCTGTCTCTGCCTTCTGTCCCTGTCTCCCTTTTCTCTTTGTCCCTCCCCTAGACACTGACCCTTCTTCCTTTATGACATGACTGTTTCCACACACATCTCATCTCCCTCCTGGGCAATGAGAGAAGATACCACACCTTAACTCTCAGGTACTCATCGTAGCTCCTAGCATGGGCTCGACACAGCAGGCTCTCAATCAGGGGTCACAGAGAGAGAGTGGAGAGGTGGAAGGAAGGGAAGGACCCAGGGAGGCAGTCCCGGTGCCTCCTCTCCCCGCCCGTCTCATTTCTGGTTCTTTAATCTGCTACAAAACCAGCTGTCCTTCCACACTGACCTTCCTTGACCCCTGAGTGTTCCTAGGATGGGGTGATGGGGATAGTTGTCCAGTAGTGGCTGAGAGAACACAGGTGACCATGAGGCAGATCCCACCCTATCAGTTCCCCATCTTTCAGCTTCAGATTTGACAGGGAAGGAGACACTGGTGAGAAACCAAAAGGCCACAGTGGGTGTTGACCACCTTAGCTTCCAGCCCTGTGCAGAAGGTTTGGGCATGGTGTAAACACAGGAGCTTTACAAAAGGGAAGCGCTGCAAAAACATCCAGGTTATTGTGCCGTCTCAGGGCTGGGGCTCAGCAGGTCTTAGCTAGGCAGATGATGGTTGGCGGAGACCGTCCACCTCTGACCCTCCCCTCCGCCTCCACAGGACAGCCCTTACTTCTACACCCTGCGGAACAGCCAGCTACTCCCAGCCCAGGCTGCAGAAGCCCGCGATGTGTCCTACTGGGCCGTGCCAGTGGCAGCAGGAGGTGGCCTTGTGTTGGGCGTGGTCAGCGCCGTGGTCTGGCAGGGTGTGAGAGGTCGCCGGAGGCAAGGGCCTCAATGAGCCCACACTCCACCAGCCCGCCCGCCTCCGGCACTCCTGGCCACCAAGACAGACTTGCGTCAACACCTGGCGACACAGGCAGCCAAGGAGACAGTCACGACTTCTTGGTTCCTGGGCTTCTTCCAGGCCTGTGCTCCTGGAATAGGCAAATCTAAATAAAATCCAAAGCCCTTTCATTCTCAGGTTAGCCTGCTTGAAGCACTTGCCTTCCATCTGCCGGCAGCGCAGGTGGGGGAGCTGGAGCCTTTGGCGGCCTGCCCCCGCAGAGCTGCCCAGGCCATGGCAGACCAGATGGCCCGTCAGGCTCCGTCTCACACCACCATGGGCATATCCTCAGTCTAAAAACCCACTGCTTCAAAGGCAGAAAAAGTTCTGGTCACCACCAGGTGCTCGCTGGAATTGTGGAGCTGGCTGGCCACCACTCAGGGCAACCCAGCACATACCTGCTAAGCACCTGAGTTGCACCCAGGACCGTGAAGGGCACTGTGGTGCCTCCAGGGCTGTGCATGTCACAGCCTGGCCAAGGAGACAAATGCCTTCAATAAACAAGAAGCCAAATGACAGTGCTCCAGGTTTCTGAGAGGAAGCTAGAGAGAAAATACAGGCTGCCGTTCACTTAGCCCTGCTAGGGGCAAGGCCTGGGCTGAATGCCTGACATAGATTGTCTCATTCTGCACAAAAACCCAGGGAGGGGGGTAACGAAAAGTTTTGAAAATAGAAGTGGTGGTTGCACAACATTGTGAATGCACTAAAGGCCACTGGATTGTTCACTCTAAGAGGATTGTTTATCATGAGAATTTCACCTCAATAAAAACAAAGATTCCAGGAAGGTAGATGTCATCCTCTGAATTTTTAGTATCTCTCTGATCTCAAAAAGCCTGGGATGACAAAGAACCCGAGATAGAATCCCAGACACACCACCTAAAGTGTGTGGCCTTTGCAGCCAACCCCTGCCCCAGCCTGAGCCCGCTTCTCAGATTCCTCATCTGTAAGATTGGAGTAATAGCACACATTTTGCCTGTCTTACAAGCAAAAATGAATTGAAGCACGGCCTGGCTTTTGAGGAAGAGGAGAGACCTAGAGGCGGTTTGGGGAATTGGGGCAGCGCTGTATGGATGAAGACTGCCTGCCACCTTCTCACGAAGGTCATCAGCTTCTCTCTCTCTGATAAAACAGCAGAGAGAACCCAGAGCCCCACACCCAGTTCCAGTGCTCTTCTGGGCTTCAGTTTCTGTACAATGGGAATAATGTGCCTTCCCCCGCTTCTTCCTATGGACTGAAAAGCGTAACTCAATCACACACCCCAGCCCACGCTCCTGGCTTAAGACAGTGTAACAACAAAGATAACTGATTACATCTAAGAGTTCATCATCTCCCTTTTTTTTTTTTTATTCCTGAAAGTTTCCATGCTTCCAGTAACTCCTACCTCAAAGCAGCATGGAATTCATAACCACATAACCCTCCCTTGGGTTGGAGAAATTTACACTAACAGAATAATCCAGAATGAAAAATGAACAAAGTGGTCTCAGGCTGGTTAACCCAGGAACACTTGGCAGAAACAGAGAAATCTCTTATGGAGGGACACAACCACAAAATAGGCCCAAATTCCCACCAAATACATGATAAAAAGCCCAAAATTTAAAATACGTGAGAAGCAGCTACTTGAAACTGGTGCTATACGCCATGTTCTTTTCCTTTAGGAAAACGTTCAGTCTAGTTAGCTCGACACCCACAGCCACACCATGGACAAAGCTACCAAACCCTGAGCAAGCTATGCTCTGCGGCACTCCCCACTGAGACTTCTGAGTTCAGAAAAGAAAGATTAGGTCAAAGCCTTCATAAAAGACATAGAACTTTCACAGAGCTCTGAAAGATGAGAGATGATTTGGTTAGAGGCAAAATGGAATGGGGTCATTGAGACTGGGAAAACTCCATGTAGACGGTTTATATGATGTGCGTGGGGAACAAGAAGAAAGCCAGGAAAATGAGGACACAGGAGCCAGGAGTGGATTAGGGGGACACGATGGAATGGACAGGGAGTTAATAGTGATTACACTGTGATGATGATTGTAATATTAGGCTACATTTGACTGGGGAATAGAAATGTTACTGAGAAAAGATGAGTACAAAGAAAATACTAATAAGAGTTGACATAGAGTCTTGCACAACGGTGGGCCCCACGGTGCACGGTAGTGAAACTTCACACAGCCTATTATCATACCCTTTTTACAGAGAAGGAAACCAAAACTCAGAGAAGAGGTGATTGGCCCAGAGTTATACTTTCATTACATAACGGGACATTTGTCAAAATGAATGCTAGAGTCTAGGGTGGGGGAGTAACCCAAAAATATAAAACAACTGCTTCCAACAATGATTGTGCCGAATTGCAAATAAACGTGATATAAAATTAAAATCTATAAAAGGTGGAGATTATCTTTACCATGTAATGATGGCACCATTATTCCTCTGCTTTCAGCTGGTCAGAAGAACTCAGCCATCTCTAGCTAACAATCTATGATTTTAAAAATTATAGGGACTAAGATTTATTTTGCTAGTGTATACATAGAGTTGTAGCAGCTAATCTTTTAATCAGAAAAAAGATGGCAAAACACAATCCCTGTGAGAATCAGACATAACAACTGGCAACATTTTATGTAACAGCATTGAAGAAAGACTGTGTTTAGAAAGATCAAAGACAAAAGGAATTTAAAACATAAGAACAAAGCATTATTTTTACAAATAAACTTAGATTTATGAAAGAACTAAGAACCAAATAGCAATTCTAGGATGAAATATCAGGCAACCAGTATTTTTTGTGTTTACTGTATGCCAGGTGGTATTTTGAGCAATAAGTCTATATTATTCATTAATCCTCATAATAACCCAGTGAAGTAGGTGCTGTTTTTATGCTGATCTTACAGAGAAACTAAAGCAGATTCTGTGCCTTTCCAAGTTTTTGGTAAGAATTGAATGAAATAGGGGAGGGAGCTGGAAGACCAGACACTCTTGCATACCTCATGGGTAGGTACTATGTGCCCCCCACCACCGCCAGGGGACCTGGGGGACTTCGGCAGAGCAGGTGCCCAGAGACCCAGCACCTGCTGCCAAAGCCTGGGTGGCCCCACCCAGCCATACTTCCCATGGCATGTGGGAGGAACACATGCCCTCATCACCGTCACTCTCCATCTGCACAATGCAGACACTGCCATCACCACCTGGGAAGCCCCACTACAGATGGGCCTGGGTGAGGCAAATGCCAATACAGCCGCTGATGCCAGAACTGGGTGGACTACCCCACCACAGGCTGGCCCTGATCATGGCCCTGCCACGGCAGCCTCATGCTAACCACAGGGAAACAGTGAGGCACAGGAGAACAGCAGTGTCCAAGGCTCACAGTGTATCCATCCCTCCCCTACACGCTCAATCTTCTGGAGTAGGACTCGAGCACACCATCCAGGAACCTCTCCCTCTCTTCACCAAGCAATAGCTGCCCCAGGAGAGGAGAACAGGTATACTGCAAAGCTATCTGTTTTGAGCTGAGAGAAGAGGTTTCAGATGAGAAGGAACCAGCATAAGAATTTCGGCAACATGAAAAGCAGGCTATTTAAACACACCCAAAGGATCAAAATAGCTCTCCAGCAATGGACAACAACCAAAAGAAAATTGTTGAAATGTCAGATATATAATTTAGAATATGGATGACAAGTAAGATCAATGGGATTAATGAGAAAGTTGAAAATCAACACAAAGAAACCAAAAAAGTAATTCAGGACATGAATGAAAAAATTCACTAAAGAGATAGATAATACAAGAAAAAAATATAATAAAACTTCTGGAAATGAAAGAGTCATTTAGGAAATTTCAAAATACAGCAGAATGTTTTAACAAACTATACCAAGTAGAAGAAGGAATTCCAGAGCTTGAAGACAGAGCTTTTGAATAAATCCACTTAGTCAAAAAGGTAGAAAAACAGAATTAAGAATGAACAATCTCTCTGAGAAATATGGGACTATGAAAAGTGAATGTATATAAGAATTCTAGATATCCCTGGGGAAGAAGAAGAAAAAGCAAAAAGCATGGAAAATCTATTTGAGGGGATAATTGAAGAAAACTTCCCTGATATTGCAAGAGATTTAGACATCCAGATATAAGGAGGACATTGAACACCTAGAAGATTCATGGCAAATAGGACATCACCAAGGCATGTAGTCATCAGTCTGGCCAAAGTTAAAATGAAGGAGAAAATCCTATAAGCTGCCAAATGAAAGCAGTAAGTAACTTACAAAGAAAAACCCATCAGTCTAATAGCAAACTTCTCAACAGAAGCCTTATAATCTGGAAGGGATTGGGGTCTCCTATAACTGTCAGCCAAGAATTTTGTATCCTGAAAAACTAAGTTTTATAAATGAAGAAGAAATAGTCTTTTTCAGACAAGCAAACACTAAGGGAATTTGTCACCACTAGGCCTGCCCCACAAGATATGCTTAAAAGTGCTCTATATGTGGAATAGAACAGTCAATACCCACGAGAGTGAAAACACCTGAAAGTTAAAACTCACAGCTCTTATAAAACAATAACACAAGAGAGAAAGAAAATCATCTAAGTAAAAATCAATGTGATGAACATAACAGTATCTCACATATCAATACTAACATTGAATGTTAATGGTCTTAATGCTCCACTTAAAAGATATAGATTGGCTGAATGGATTTTTAAAAAACCCAAATAAATGCTGTCTCCAAGAAACCAATTTAACTTGCAAAGATTCTCACAGACTCAAGATAAAGGGGTGTAAAAAAAAATGTAGTCCATGTAAATGGAAACCAAAAGCAAGCAGGAGTAGCTATTCTTATATTAGATAAAACAGACTTCAAATCAACAATGGTAACAAAAGACAAAGATGGTCACTATATAATGATAAATTCAACAAGAAGATATAACAATCGCAAATATATATGCACCTAACACAGGAAATCACAGGTTCATAAAATAAATTCTATTAGATCTAAGCAAGGAAATCAACAGCCACCTCATAATACCGGGTTTCCCTAAAAATAAGACCTACCCATAAAATAAGCCCTAGCAGGATTTCTAAGCATTTGTGCAATATAAGCCCTACCCCAAAAATAAGACCTAGTGATGAGCGTGGCTACACAGCGTATCTGCACAACCCATGCATTTTGTTTCGGTAAAGATGACGAGCAGCCCTTCTCATCTGCCCCATCATGACAGCTACGATCCCAGAGGTGACCAGAAAGGTGCGGGCAGCCCCACCAACAAGGTTGGCTCCCCCTGTCTAGTCCTGGCCATCCTGTGCATGCTGCAAGCTGAGGCTTTGAGGGGAAAATAACATATCCCCTGAAAATAAGCCCTAGGGTGTCTTCTTGAGGAAAAATAAATATAAGACCCTGTCTTATTTTCAGGGAAACACGGTAGCTGGGACTTCAACATTCCACTGACAGAACTGGATAGATCATTGAGGAAAAAAATCAACAAAGAAATACTGAACTTAAACAGAACTCCAGAACAAATGGACCTAACAGACATTTATAAAATATTGTACCCAAAAACTACAGAACATACATTCTTCTCATCAGCACATGGGACATTTTCCAAGATAGATCATATGTAAGTCCACAAAACAAGTCTCAGCAAATTCAGAAAAATTGAAATCATACCATGTATCTTCTCAGACCACAGTGGAAATAAAACTAGAACTAAGAGGAACTCTCAAAACTACACAAATACATGGAAATTAAACAACCTGCTGCTGAATAATCCTTGGGTCAATAACAAACTCAAGATGGATATCAAAAGAGTTTTAAAATTGAACAACAAAGACAACACAAGCTTTTGAAATCTCTGGGATACAGTAAAAGCAGTGTCAAAAGGGAATTTTGTAGCCCTAAATGCCTACACCAAAAAGACAGAAAGATCACAAATTAACAACCTAACGTCATACATCTCAAGGAACTAGAAAAAGAAGAACAAAGCAAACCTAAAGCTAGCAGAAGAAAAGAAACAACAAAGATCAGAGCAGAACTTAATGAAATGGAAACAACAATAAAATACAAAGGATCAATGAAAGAAAATTGATTCTTTGAAAAGATAAATAAAATTGATAGACTACCAATGAGATTAACCAGAAATAGAAGGGAAAGGACAAAAATAAGCTCAATCAGAAATGAAAATGGAGACGTTGCAACTGATAGAAATATGAAATATCTATGACTACTATGAAATAACTATGACTACTATGAAAACCTCTCCACACACAAAGTAGAAAAATCTAGAAGAAAGGGATAAATTTTTGGAAACACATACCTCCCAAGATTGAATCAGGAAGAAATAAAAATCCTGAATAGATCAATAATGAGTAGTGAGATTGAAACAGTAATAAAAATTTCCCAACCAAAAAAAGCCTCAGACCAGATGGATTCACAGCCAAATTCTACCAGACCTACAAAGAATCACTGGCACCTATCCTACTGAAATTGTTCCATAACATCAAGAAGGAGAGAGTCATCCCTAACTCATTCTATGAAGTTAGTATCACCCTGATACCAAAGCCAGGAAAGGATACAACAAAAAAAGAAAACTAAAGGCAAATATGCCTCATGAACATAGATTCAAAAATTCTCTACAAAATACTAGCAAACGGAATCCAACAGCACATGAAAAAGAAAATTCACTATGATCAAGTGGGTTTCATCCCAGGGATGCAAGGATGGTTCAGCATATGCAAATCAATATATGTGATTCACCATATAAACAGAATTAAAAACAAAAACCATATGATCATCTCAGTAGATGCAAAAAAAGCATTCAACAAAATCCAGCACTTGGCCAGGCACAGTGGCTCACACCTGTAACCCTAGCACTCTGGGAGGCTGAGGCGGGAGGATTGCTTGAGCTCGGGAGTTCAAGACCAGCCTGAGCAAGATAAAAACCCTCTCTCTACCAAAAATAGAAAAAAAGTTAGCTGAGCATGGTGGTGTATGCTTGTAGTCCCAGCTACTCAGGAGGCCGAGGCAAGAGAATTGCTTGAGCCCAGAAGTTTGAGGTTGCGGTGAGCTATGATGATGCTACTGCACTCTAGCCAAGATGA